TTTTTTTCCCCTGCTCTTTCCATATCTGCCCGATGTTTTCCCCATATCGATGGACTCGATGGTGTTTTCCATTCACACAGGACATTGTATATTTACACTTTTTTTTGTTCTGTCACTTCACTTTTCAGCTCTACCCATATTCTTGGATGGTAGGAGTGTTAGGAGTCATGGGTTATGTTAGAATCAGAGCATCGATGGATATACTGACGAAGACAAGTATAGTTAATTATCATAAACATTCATAGATTCTGGACGGTGTACATATAATGGAAATTCAAGGAATGGACGGGTGAGTCCATCACAACGAGAAAGAGGTCCTTATATTGTACTCGGTACAAACAAATAAATAAACCGTGACGTATAAAATATGGTTGGCGATAGACCGATAGATCAGATAAGATCTCCCGATAAGCAGCGAATTGAATACTTGGCCTCAAGCGTGCAACTGCTCCGCCTCCATTGTTCTTCCCCGACCATTCATTCTCACCCTAACACCCACTCCCCGCCCCAATTGGCGTCCATTCATTTTGCCTCCTCTTCAATTCTCATTCATGCCTTGATCCATTGATTTTATCTACCCCTTGCGATACAGATTCGTCATGAATGGCTTCTCATCGCACGGCCTGGACGAGGATGCGTTCGGGGAGAAGTCCGGGCTGCAGGGCGGCCTGAAGACATTCGATGCATTTCGTACGTCTCTTGAACGAAACAGAAGCCCACCGTGATTGTAAAGAACGAACACTAACATACATAATCCAGCCAAAACCAAACCCGACTACACAGCTCCCTCCCGCCGAGGCGGCCAATGGACCGTCCTCATCCTCCTCATTTGCAGCGTCTTCTCCATCTCCGAATTTAGAACCTGGTTCAAAGGCTCCGAAAACCACCACTTCAGTGTTGAAAAGGGCGTCTCCCACGATCTCCAACTAAACCTCGACATCGTCGTCCAGATGCCCTGCGACGCTCTGCACGTCAACATCCAAGACGCCTCCGGTGATCGCATTCTCGCCGGAGAGCTGCTGAAGAAGGACCCCACCAGCTGGAAGCTCTGGACGGACAAGCGCAACTACGACCACGAGTATCAGACGCTTAGTCGCGAGGATCCGAGCCGGTTGGAGGCGCAGGAGGAGGACGCCCATGTGCACCATGTGCTGGGTGAGGTGAGACGGAACCCCAGGAGGAAGTTCCCCAAGGGTCCCAAGCTGCGGAGGGGGGATGCTGTCGACTCGTGTCGCATTTATGGGAGTTTGGAGGGGAATAAAGTACAGGGGGATTTCCATATCACTGCTAGGGGTCATGGGTATAGAGATATGGGCGGACATTTGGATCATTCGGGTATGCTTCTCTTCTCCTCTTTTCTTTTCTCTCGCGCACATACGCACACATTATCTCTCTTCCTTGGTGATTTGCGGATGGTTATACAATATAGGATCAGGGCTAATTCGTCACAGCATTCAACTTCTCCCACATGATAACCGAACTCTCCTTCGGACCCCACTACCCTACTCTCCTCAACCCCCTCGACAAGACCATCGCAGCAACAGAATCCCACTACTACAAATACCAGTACTTCCTCTCCGTCGTACCCACAATCTACTCCAAGGGCCACCAAGCTGCCCTCGACAGCACCCTCTACACCTCTAAACCCAGCCACTCCAAGAACGTCATCTTCACAAACCAATACGCAGCCACCACCCAGGGCACCGAGCTGCCCGAAAACCCCTACTACATCCCCGGCATCTTCTTCAAGTATAACATCGAGCCGATCCTGCTCATGATCAGCGAGGAGAGAAGCAGTTTCTTGTCGCTGTTGATTAGGCTCGTGAATACGGTTTCCGGGGTTATGGTTACCGGGGGCTGGCTTTATCAGATTGCGAGTTGGGGTGGGGAGCTGTTACGGAAGGGGAGGAAGAGGTCGGAGGGTGTGCTTGATGGGAAGTTGGCGGATGAGTAGTAGATTCTTTTTTTTCTTGTTTTGTTGTCCGGGCTGTTGGGTTTTGATTGAATGGTGTCCTGTTTTCGGTGTTTCTTGTTTGTACTATTTCCCCGTTTGTTGTTTGTCTATTGCTTGGTAAATATCAGTACAGCTACAACAGTTAGCACATTCGGAAAGATGTGATAGAAAAAAAATAAACAATGAAACATCATCAATTGGGATATCTACGCATCCGCCGTACTCCATCCAACCACAGTCCGTGAACATGAACATGAACCTTCTCATAAACAATACATAAAGAGATGACCAGCTTAAATATGAAATATAAGTCTAGATCTCGAATATCTCGCCCATTCCCACTCCGGCTCCTTCCGCTCCAGCCCGGCTGTCAACCAGATCCAGCCGCCAGCCATGCCAGTCCTTGAGCTTCTTCTTGATCTCGCGGACCCATTCGACGCGCTTGCGAGCTTCTTCCTCGGCCTGGGCGCGGGCAAACTCTGCCTCGTCGAACTCGTCGTCGAAGTTCTCTTCGGATAGGAGTTCGAGACTGCCCCGTGCAGCAGGTGGATGCTGTTTATTCGAGGGCGCGCGGGCTCTGTTCCCGTACGTGTTACCCCCAGTAAAGGCAGCGAATCCGCTAGAGAGGACAGTCGAGAAGGACGAATGCTGCTGCATGCTGCGTCGGCGGGCATGTTCAGGAGCTCCACCGACGAGGTCAACATCATCGAAAGCATTCGCAGCCTGGTTGGCATTGGAAGGATAAGCGACACTGGGTTCACGGCCATGGGCAATTTCCTCGCGTTTCTCCTTCCATACTCCGCGACGGAGGTCGAAGATTTCGCCTTCCAAGTCGCGGATTCGGCGCTCCAGACGGGACCGTTCTTCGTCCTCGAGTTCGTCGATGCCGTCATCGTCCGCGCCAACGGCGTTGCGCTTGCGAAGCGTCTCCTGCTCTTCCTTTAACCGGAGGTTTTCATTCTCGGCGCTGGCTAGTCGGCTCCGGAGTTGTGCGACCTCTTGTTCTGTCTTCTCGGTCTCGCGCAGGCGGGCTTGGTGTCGTGTTTCGGACTCCTTGTGTAGGTTGCCCATTGCTTCGATCTTTTTCTCAAGCGTTTCGATCTTCTTCTCGGATTCGGATTTGCTCTCCTTTACTTCTGAGAGTTCCCGTTCTAGGTTCTTGATCTGGGTTTCTGTGGAGGTCTTGTCCACTCCTTCCTTGACGGCTTTCTCTGATGCACGGGTTAAGGCATTCTTAGTTTCCGTGAGTTCGCTCTGTGCACTCTCCAGCGCTGCCTCGCTGCTTGACAGCTTCTCTTCCAGAGCCTTGATCTGCGCCTCATGGGCACTACTAGAGGAAGACTGGTCCGTAAGCTGAGCGCGCAAGTTCGAGATCTCAAGCTCCATAGCCTCAATCGTAGCGGACTTCGACTCAAGCTGCTGCACAAGATCCGCAGGAGGGGACTCCGACGAGGCCGGCGACGCAGAACTCCGATGCGTCTTCTGCAGATGCGAGTTTTGTCTCTGAAGTGAGGCAATCTCCGCTTTCTATAACTACCGTCAGTAACAAACCCAACATTGAAACCATAGCCATAGTCACATCCACATCACAGCCGTAGAAAAAAAAAATAAAAAAAAAAAAAGGAATAGGAAACGAGGGGGAAAAACTAACCAACTCCTCAACTTCCCCCACCTTCTCCTCAGCCTTAGTCAACTTCTCCTTCAACTCCGCAACATCAACACTCGCCTCCCGAAACTCCTCCAACTGCTCCTCCGTCTTCTTCCACCGGCCCGTCGCCTCCTCAAGCTCCTTCTCCAACCGCCGATTCTCCTTCTCCACCTCCTCAATCCGCCCCGCCTGCTTCCGATACACCTCATGCACAGACTCCCCATCAGCCGTCAACGGCGGCAAAGAGGGCGACTTCAACACCGCAGACGGCGAAGGCGACGCACTACCCTGCGAGACGGATCCCTTCCGGAATGAAGACGACCTCATCTTCGACTGGATCGATAGCGAAGGCTGGCGGCCGTGGCGCGACGGCGTGTCTGCTTTCACGACGGGCTGGGGTTCTGCTGAGGGAGTCGGGGAGGTGGATTGTTCGGTAGGGGGTTGTTCAGGTTCATCTTGCGTCTGTGTCTGCTGCTCTTGTTGTTGTTGTTGTTGCTGCTGCTGGTCTTCGGACTTATCTTGGGCATCGTCTGCTAGTTTCGGTTCTTCTTTCGACTCTTCCGGGGCTTGTGATTGTCCTTCCTCCTCTTCTTCTACTCCTTGTTGTTTATCTTCAGTACTCGGCAAAGACTCCTTTGTTTCCTTAGCCGTCGTAGCAGCCTCAGAGCCTGACGCTTTCTTATTCGCCTTTTTCTTCTGCTTCTGTAGTTGCGCGACCTGTTCGAGATGAGTTAATCAATTATTCGCCGAGCCCTGTTTGGTTTCCAATGGGACAAAAGGACATGGGGTGGATAAGGATAACATGACATACCCTCTTTTTCGCGGCGGCTAGCTTCTCGGCCTTGGTGCGCTCTTCATCATCGGCCATTTTGGTATATAGTTAAGGGGTTGAGGTTGGTTAATTGCTTGGGTAAGATGAGATTTGGGCGTGTAGGTATGTATATGCGGATCGGAAGGGACAGCTTTCCCCGTCGTGCACGGACCAGGTTGTTGTTCTTTGGACTTCTGTTGAGTAGGTACCTAATTGTACCTTGGAGGCCTAAGGGTGTTGGCCTTCCCGATTTATTGTTTTGTGGGTTCTTTTCTAGGGTATGGATTGAAGGTTATCATTATGGTTTCCTTTTGCCTTGTGTTTACTTTTTGTTTTCTTGTGTTGAACAGTTATCTTGTGGTTACTGGGGTTCTACTCTGTAGACTCTTCACTCCGTGTACAATAGCATAATTAATTCAGTGGTCAAGAATCGTAAATACAAGAACAGAAAGGAATGCAAGCGATTCAACGCCCCGGGCGCGCCGCAACTAATTGGGTATGCAGCGCAAAATGATCAAAACCTACACAACGAAACGACGACTTCATCAATAGGGGCCTATTATCATCCCTGCCGGTCACCAAACGCCCCGAACCTGTGCATATGCGGCAGATGTAGCAAACAACTAAGCAAACCGTTGAGAATATCCATGTTGAATCGAAGAAAAGGGGGCATCAGCGGAATTAAAAGGTAAAGCAGTGAAGTAATAACAAGTCGTAACGGGTTGAATCGTAATTTAAACCTCCATCGAGTCGGCAATTTCCTCACTCATGGCACGTACTGTGCCCTTGCTGCCAGATCTAGATCGGAATTCCTCGTCGCTGAGCACGTAGTTGTCGTATTCGTCCACAACGGGCCGGGATGGCTTGCTGGCGTGCTCTTCGTCGGACTCGCTCTCGTCTTCCAGGTGTACCACGTCGCCGAGCCAGTAGCGGGCCCGCTTGCTTGACCCGAGGTCCGGTGTGAGATAACCGTCGTCGTACGTCCTCTTTGCGGTCGGCGTAGCAACTCCGTCACTAGGCGTGTGACTGAGGATCGGGATGGCTCTGAGGTAGAGATAACAGACACGCTTCCGGATCCGGTTAAAAAAGAAGTAATGCAAACTCCAGATCGCTCCGTCGTCCGCATCGGAAGGATCTTCTTCCGGAGAGTAAGAATAGATGGAGCACTCATTGAGCGATAGCTGCTCATCGATTATTTGCCACATTCTCGGCCCCCACGTAGCAGAGGCCCCGGCATTATATGAGCCCGAGATAGTCACTGGTGAAGGGGGAGCGAGGTCGATGGCTTCACGTGGCCGAAGATTAAACAGTGTGGAATCAATCGTGTTCATTACGCGTTTGATATTCCTCTCACGATGGAAGTCCGACGGGCGCAGCACATGAGAAAAGTCGTAATCTGGATGGCTTGCGTTCAGGGTTGCGATCAGATAGGCGAAGGTTCTCCGGCTGGAATGTTCGCTCAGGGGTCCGAAGGGGCTAGACCGGGACAGATTGAGCGAGGCGGCCGCGTCCGACGCATTTGGAGGCGACAACGATGCGGACAGGCGAAGAGTCGATTCATATTGTGCTTCAAGAGACTGTTCGATGTTCTTGTACAACTTCCGGTCCGCCCGTGCTGCCTTCGTCGTGTAAAGATCGCAGCCTCCGAGAATGTGGCAATCACCGGTGTCGAAGTTCAGGGAACTCGTCACGTCCTCGATCTCAGGAAGGGGAAGAAACTAGTAGGAGCAATACGTTAGTATGGGCAGCAGGGATATGGATTTCACGATTGAGGAGAAAGAGAGGATGCGAACCTTCATCTTCGACAATAGCGGTCAAGAGTCCTGACCGGTCGATCAAAAGGGCAAGGTAAACAAGGCGATTAACACTTTGTGAAAGGCAAGAAGGTCCCTACTTGCGACAAGCGGATGAACCAGGTATTAACGGTATCCTAAGCGATAAGGCAGCGTCCACGTCGGCTGAAACGTAGCCGATCGGAGATAAGAGGTCGTGAGTTGGCAACAAGCGCTAGGCTGGCTGGGCAGTTATTCAATGGACAGAAGGTGAGTTATTTGAGTGAATCACGACCAAAGAGCCATGATAAGTCAAGCGAGATGAAAGAGAAGATGGGAAGAGATCCAGGAGGGACACTTGGGGATGGACTATCGTACGGCAATTGGGGGGCCTGGGCTTAGCTGAAGCGGGAGTTGCGCAACGCGCCCCCGGGTCGGAGAGGGTCACGTGGGGGGTGGTCTCGGCCAGTGATATCATTCACCTACCTCACGGGGGCCGATCCAGAACACGGGGTCAGTACCAAACATTGGGATGAAAGTCACTTTCCTGTGGTTGAATCCAATAATTGAGGCAAGTTCCATAGCCATGTGGTATTAATTAGTGGTCGTGAACTGTGTAGAAAACAACGCCTAGTATGTACGTCCAACGCCAATATGTCCTCCCAATATTCCCCAAAGCGGAAATCCAAATATAGAAACACAGGAACGCTCAGTTGCCGAATGGTAAGGCCGCTACATAATCTTCGTAACCACATCTTCCTCAACCTAGAAAGGGGACAATAGCTATTAGCGTCGATCGACGGTAGGCCAAAAGGAGGATCGGAACGCACGAGATGCAGTAAACAACCGAGGTGGCAAAAAGTATTGCAGGCAAACAATTGGGTGATATATAGCAAAGTGGAGCGAAATAGCAACGCGCGCAAAAGATACCACAAGCCCAAGAAACAACGGGCAGCAAATAGAACCAAGCATCAAATGAGCATACTAAAACAGCCCCGGCAGAGCTCCAACGAATGGATACGATCGCATCCGATCGTAGTGTCTCAGACCTCCTGCCATCGTCTATGCGAACTTCTAAGCAAGATACGGCGGTCAATAACTCACCTCCATGTCTTCCAAACTGTCCTGTTGACTGATGCACCGGAGGACATTCTTCTTGCTGCTCTCCTGCATCTCTCCTGCCAACAGCAACTCGTCTAGGATGAAGTATGCCTTTTGGAAGTTGAAAATGATGTCCAACTCGCAGACGTTGCCGTAATACTTGTCCATCTGCTCGACATAACGATGCACGACCTCAAGGGTGATCAATTCGTTGTCGGTCGAAGCGCATCCGGCGATGAAGAAGAGGGAGGCATAACGACGGTAAACAACCTTGCTGTCTGAGAACAAATGTCAGTTAGTAAAGGGGGGGATTGTGTGCATTAGCAAGTATATATGTGGCTGGGACCCGTACCCTTATACTCGAGGAAGTTGCACATCCTTGTCCGACGGGACAGGACGAGTTGGGTCACATCTTTGATAATCTTAGCCTTCTCCTTGGGAGAAAGAGTTGTGAACCATTTCGCTAGGCGCTGAGAGAAAGAATTCAGTCAGATCCAGCCGGACTTCCGGACCGGTCAAAAAGTTGGGTGGGCCACGAGGGTAAACGAACCACTTTGCCCTGACGGGAGAGGAGAATCAAGTAGCTAGATGGAGAAATTAGCGCACTCCCTTTGCCAATAATTGGCAGGGCAAGCTCACTGGATAGCCATTGTGTGCGGTGGGTGTGTGATTGTTGATGAGGGGAGCGAAAAGGCCACGAAAAGGAGTTGGTGGAGGGAACGCAATTAAACACACTTGCAAGAGCTTCTGGAGAAATTCTTGCACGGGCCGCGCGGAGGGGGTTTTTTTGGCTACGTCCTTTCTCTCACTCACACTGCCCCGCCTGTCAGGAACAACAACTTCCCTCTCTCCTTATAATTCCACTTGCTCTTATTTCAATTTGCTTGATTTTTCGAATATTCTAGGGATCCTTCAGGAAACCATTCTTACGGCACATATCCGGCCTCGTTGCTTCAACCCCACCATTTCTACGCAACAACAAACTTTCGGTCAACCCAAACAACAACAACAACAACAAAAATACACTCGGAGTCTTCACACTTGACCAGTTGCTCCGAAGTGTACTGTAGTCCCATGTTGATACACGTGGGATCATATTCCTTCCTATGCCAAGCAACAGAATCTCCGTAGTTTCACGCTAAGCTTTAGAGCAGCACTCGAACCCAGTCGAAACGATTGGTCGCACTTTGGCTGGCAACATGACCGGAGTGCATCCAATAATATATAAAAGCAATCAAAACACCTATTTGATTTTATTTTATTTTAGTTTAGTTTAGTTTAGTTTAGTTCAATTCCTGGTTTAGATACCGAACATACACATCCATTGCACTTGAAAGATCCGAATAAAGCCAGTTCGTACTTCGATTGGCCCTGAGACGACAAGAGGGTAGTTCAAGTTTTGGGGCGTCCATACTTCAACTATTGAACTCAAAGATCAAAGCCCGACAGGACAAATGCCGGAGTATATCAGAATGTTATAATACAGACTGAGGGTTCATAAAATTGGGATTAGGTGCTACGGCGAAACAGTAAAGTGGGGTATTACTCGATTTATCTTCATGCGTAGAGCTCAGACGACAAGAAATATATTTCATCACATCCACTACTATACTTGGGGCTCATATCCCAGTTGTTCACAACCACACCAGGTAAGATAACGTATAACATGCCCCATATAGCCTACTGATCCTGTTCATTAACCAACCCATGTAAAATCCCTCACGCCTACATAGTGACATCCCACATCCTACTGTAAACCCATAGTCCGCTCTTGATCATACACCCAGTCAATAGTCCCCCGGTAAAAAGAGCCACAGTAAGACACACCAATTCAAGATGCCCTATATCCGTGATATCAAAGAAAGTATAATTCAGATATGAAGGATACTTGCACGCCTGCCAAGGTCGATTGCCTTCACTGGGGCTGTATTTTTCTCTCCCAATGGTCTTGCCCATGCGCGGGACGTGTTTAAAGTCAAAACGAGTGCGTTCTCGTAGCACTATCCCCTGGTACAAGAGGGTTCGGGAGAGCTGGCATGTAGTAATTAGTGCAACTAAGTCACTCATAGTGCCGTGCTTGTAAGACCTACCTTAATCATGAATTCATCAAGCATAGGAATCATCCGTTGCAGCCAAGCAAGCCCTAGAACAAGAACACAATAACTGGCAAACATTAAGTAGTATAAGAACCCGGGCTTCCCAAGATCAAGCTCGTCGCAGATCTCGTTGCCGTTGATCCATCGACTACCAGCCTCAATGAACTTCCTCGAGACATGAAACGGGGCAGGGAGGTTCGCCACGCATTCGACAAAGTTATAAGCGACCACGCGTGACGTCTCGGTGGTATGCAGCTCGTGGGCGACCATACTCTCCATTGTGTGCTTGCCCTTCTCCACCGTCTCGAAGTATGACGTTGGTGTTCCGAGAAGGTAGCCAAGGTATCGAAACAGGGCCATGTAGTCTTCGACCTCATCGGCGGAAGGGGTGATTTTAAACCTAGGCAGTTGGAGCCACATTGGATTGCAGCAGAAAGTACTTATGGAGTGAATGCTATCTAATGTGTTGACGGGGACACCATAACGGTCAATATCGAAGTAGTGAGGTTTTGTGCGACACAGATGTAAGATGCGCTGTCGGACGGATGAATGGAGAAGTCGGACCCGGACGGTTGCAACATGGCCTTCGCCGCCAGGTTGGATGGCAGCGAGGTCATGAGTGACTAGGATCAACCATTGGAAGGTCTCGAGTAGTCTCTTTAGCAACATACGAGTCGAGAAACTGCCAGTCCGGGCGAGGACTTCTACGACGCCGGAGGCCGCCTTAACGTGAAATCTGAGTCAGTTATACAATGTTCAATGGATTCACGATGGTCAAAGGGAGTTATACAGAATTTTCTGCTACAAACCCCTGTAATGCAAAGCCAACAATGTTGGCAATTATATAACGGTGAAAAAACCGCTGGCCTCGCTCGAGTTGCTCCCAGTTAACCCAGTCTGGGACCGTGTGGGTTTCGTTCCAGAGTTGGGTTAAGACCTCATCCTCCCTATGGTAGTCTTGGAGGATGGTGTAAAGATCATTTGAAGGAGGACTAATTCCTTTTGCTTTGCTATCTTCTAGCAACGAAGATCGTATGAACTGAAGCCGTTCCAGAGCAGCAGCGCCCAGTGTGTCGAATTGCTGACGTAGAGACTCTGTCTTCTCTCTAGAGAGATGGCAATCCGTCCAAGTAAAAGAGTAGCCCCATTTGCTTATACGGTCACCAGCATTTGAGTGAGGAGGCAGAGTGGTGTCCATTTCGTTAATAACTTGAAGATAAACTCGAGGATATCAAATGTAAACAAAGCTGTGAGCATTTTCGAGCCATTGAGGGAAGGATGCGAGAATTTATGCTCATCTACTTGCTATAGATCCAGTACAACATCTGAGTTCAGCATACAAGGTCAAGTTCAGACGGCATCCAGCCGAGTCTGTCCTTCTACAAATCCCGGAACGACCCAGGCTCTGTTCTGCCCCCACATTCGTCAGGTTTCGGTGCCATGGAGCTTGCTGTGTACGACAGATGCTAGTTTTGCATCCGGAGGCCGTCCGAGGCCATAGAGAGAGATTACAACCCATGTAGATCAGCGCCGAGCGTCTCATAGTCCAATTGTGTAGAACTACGTATACGCATCACGGTGTTGTATTGCTTTTTCGAGGGGAACAGTGGGGACATTGGCCAACATTGTATGGGCTGACGGGAGGATGGGATGATAAGAAATCATATGAAAGAAATCGATACACACGCGCAACTATACGTGGCTGTACAATTCCACTGGAGCCGCACACAGAACCATGACTTGGTCGATGCCCCATAAAGCGCGCTAAATTCATTAATGAAGAACGGTTCCCCACTCGACTAGAGTCGCCCACTGCGTCGGAGGCCGGATAAGAGATCCGCCCAGGCCTATAATTCAATAGATCGAATTAGTTTGAGGCAACAATGAAGTTCCACATATGGCTTGAACAAGGAACCATGATCATCATGAACAAGATCCCGATCTAAAGATCGATAGTGCAGGATCCTCAGCCACTGTGGCGAAGTATAGGCCGCATTATTGGGATAATCATTTGTGAACTATATGACCATCAACTAATCCACCTTCTTTATCTTGTCTGCAGGTAGCAGAATCCGGTAATGGACTTTCCTGGAAAACATATCATCGAGGTAACCCGCGGCCCGAGATTGTCTTTTCAGGATATCCCTTGACATCATTGAAGTTTTTCTGCGTAATTGGCGATGGTTCGAGGGATGACTAGCCTTGCCTGGAAAATGAGTATCATCATAATCGCAGTATTTAAGGATAGTAGCAGCTAACAGGGTACCTCTTTGTTTTCACAAATTAGCTGTTTCAGTTTGCACACCAGAGCTTTCATTAGGCATTGTCTTCATCATGGAAATCCCACGACTGTCTGACGGATTGATATTGCCAATGGGAAAGGCTGCGTGTAGAGACGCCCTTGTCTCTGTACACCTTCCTAACATGTTTGTGCTCTTTTTATCGGAGAAGCCAGCAACGAACCCGTATTATGAAACGGTAAAGCAGGAGTCCGAACTATGGATAGCAAGGTCAGTATGTCCGACAGAAGACATAGCATGCAGTGCTAAGCGGGCGCACTGCAGAATATGCGCGTTTGGCGACAGGACTCGGAAGACTATAACAAACTGTGATTTTTCGTACTTTTGCTCAATCGTAGTACCGGATGCTTCGCCTTTGGAGCTCCAGACAATATGTGATTGGGGCAACTGGGTATGTGTATTAGTCGTAACACGATTAATGCCTTTTGAAGACATCGACATGCTAACCTGTGCCGCTCGGCGTCACCCCTAGGTCTTCCCATTCGATGATAGTGAGCTTTGCAGCTATTACCTTTCTGGTCAAGATACTAAGTCATTTATCTCCAGTGTTCGATAATGGAGGTCTAAAAGATGACCCTATACAAGCTCAGCAATTGGTCAACAGTCTCTTAAATGGTATGCAAGATTATGGGACTGTGTCAGACGATAGCGAAGAGCACCCTCTGGTTCAGGTCCATAACTCCGTATGGCGTCGCCTTGCCAAGGTAACTATCGGCCAATTTCTTCCCTCTTTTTTATTTTCCAGGATAGATTTGCTAAAGTTCATAGGCTTCTCCAGTTGGTATGACCCTCAAAACCGAGACTCCCTTGGGCCCCCACTAAGAAATAATCAAGGTGTCCGTCGCAGGTTCGCAAAGGCTATGAGAGATTATTGCAATGGCGCCATCGAACAAGTCCACAGTTGCTCTAGGGGCGAATATCCCACACTCGACGAGATGCTCGCATTACGTAGACAATCTGCCGGAGTTTCACCTCTCTTTGCCCTAGTTGAGTACGCCACCGCAGCCACTCCAGATATATTCGCGCAAGACTGTTAACAATGAGCAGGTATGGTCACAAGCTCCATATCCCAGACTCAGTCTTCGAGACTAGAAGCATCAAAGAGATAGAAAGAATCGGAATTGACCTAGTCCTACTGTGAGTGTTAAACCAAAAGAGGGACGAACCAAAACTCAACGACCATAGGCAAAACGACATTCTCTCGTATTGCAAAGAAGAGGTCAGTATCTTTGAAACATAAAAAGCCAGATCATCCAGGATACTCCTGCTGACGTGCTGGATCTGTAGAAAGAAGGTGTAACTCACAATATGGTTGCCATTTGTCGACGTGCGGGAATGCCCGCGCAGATGGCCTTTGACCACATTGGTGGTATGCTCTTTTCTCGTTATCATGACTGGTACCTTGCGCTAGCAGACCTACCCAGTTGGGGTGAGTATATCGATTCGGAGGTTCAACAATACGTTCGTGGAGTACAGAATGTTGTCAAAGCTAATCTTCACTGGAGGTGAGCGATGACCGACTGCGAGTTTATATGATAGCATTTTGGTTCGACACTAATATTTGCATAGCTTTCGTTCCGGACGATACTTTGGAGAGGCGAATGAAGAGGTCCGAAATACTGGCATCATAACCGTGCAGCCACAGAGTGCTGATGTTGAGTTGTCAATTCTCTAAGGATGTCTGCAAGACTGTTTTCCTGGCTTGAGGCGTTCATGAATGTTTTTACTGTTCACTTTCATTTTGTATGACAGTTTAATACTGCCAGTGTTATGAGTCGTTGAAAGAGCACTAGAGGGGCGAGAATGGGGGCCATTGGAGGCGTGACTCAGAGCTGTCAGATCGATTGAACGTAAAGGGTAAGCTGAGCCTCCAACGATTTTGGTATACACGTAATCATGTATAGTTCACTCCTGTGTCTACAACTGATTATTAAAAAAAAAAAAAAGACCAAAGTCAAGCTTCATATAACATTACGATATTGAACATACAGCAGAACAGATACAAACTCCGACCTTCTCCGAGCCACCCAATTATTGTTCCATCTCCTGCTATCCAATATACTCCATATCCATCCCGCTCTTAGCATCTTGTCAATAGCTAGAGAAGATATACAAATACAATTCCGCAACTCCCTCACCGAACCCTAGAGTATTATTAACGGGTGTATGAAATTAGTATAGAATTGTCGGCATAGTCATTTTCACATTGCTGAGAGACACAATTGGTGGTTTTCATCAATTGACGGCGTTTCCAAGGCGTTTAAACGTATACATGTCGTGCGAATTTTGACTAGAACATGAATATGACTCGTGTCTAGTTTCACCGGTAAGACCATGGAATACCAAACAGCTGGCACCGTAAACCCTGTGGAAAACAACACGGTCAGTTCCTCATCGCAAATCCCAAAACATGGCCATCTTACATTGTTTCCTATGATTTTCTTTTTAGACCTGGGCCATGCTGGGACGAGCTCCACGGGCGGGACCTGTCCGGGGCCGAAGGTTGACGGACCGGCGGGCGGCCAAAGATGAAAGGGCAATGGAAGCCGTGTATCCAGCCCAGGCGAGCCAAAGGAAAGCAGTGGATGCCTGCGCCTCACGGCAACGCTTCTCGCGGTGCACGGAGCCGTTGGTAATCTCGTTGTGGAGAGTGTAATCCTAGATGATCGACAATCAGCCGGTGGATCTCAATAGTGGGTGGGTCTGCCGATAGCACGAATCCTGCTGCGATCGAGGTGCATCTCGGATCCCGAGGTTCACGGATCACACGTACGTTGTTGCTGCAGCTGTGGGCCTCGAGCTTAGCGGCCAGTGCGATACCGGCCGTAAGGAAGAAGATCGCATTGAGAGTGTCCAAGACAATCATGAAGATCGGATGGATTGCCCAGTCGATATTGATGGATGCCGGCACCAAGTAGAACAGTGTGAACATGGAAAATGCCGAAACAAACATGGCATAGTTGACGGTCGCAGGGTTTCCACTAAATGAATCGGCGATCATGTTACCAATCAGGGCCATGACGAGCAGGGTCCATAGGAACTGTTTCAAAGCGCATCTTGTTAGCTAATTCTAGCGTGCCTAGTGCGATACTGGACCCCCGTCACTATCGAGAGAGAGTGGCATACCTCCCACAGTCGAAGGCCGAGCTGAATCGCGTTCATAGCCATTTCAACAGCTTAAGCTTTGTATGCGTTGGTAAGTATATTTTAATCTCGGACAGTCGCGTACGGTAAAGCGCGTCGATTGTGTAGGGTATTCGCAGCGGAGCGGAATCGTCTCAGGCGCTAAAAAGGCGCAAAGCTTGTGGAGCTACTATTAGTTAAAGATGGTTTGGCAAAGGTAAGTCAGAATTCTAGGGATGATGGGGTTGATATTGTATGAGCGGAATGTCCGGGAGGGCGGGCGATGACGATATGCTGCGGGATGGCTGCGACGTCATGCGAATCATGAAATCACCACCGACAAAAAAATTTTTAAGCAACCACTCTGAGAGAGAAAGAATTACCCGTATTGGATGATGGTATCCTACATTATATACTACCTAGTCCACCTCGGAGACTATCCAATCACACCTCTTCGAGAAACAGTTGTCAGGCATTTCTGCAGTGCCTATCACTTATTCTTAGCGCTGGTCCGCTATAGTATGCATCCTATAATAACAGAATATCAGAGAAGCGCCCTATGCAGACAACGTCGTGCTCTGTGCAACTTCCTCGGCCCATCATCCTATGCAATCTTCCGCCTCTATCCGACATGAAACGTAAATGCCGTCACCATTCCCTCGAACTCTCGATGAAGTTCAAACTTAAACCGACCCCGATGACGATCGGTTCCAAATGTAGGCGCTCTGTCGCCCAATGATACCCTATACAATTTCCCCTTTACCAGTCATGGCCTGTTCTAGCTTCGACGCATATAGTTAGCTTCGATGGAGGTAAAAATTTGTCACCAGTTCCTATACTCGGTACCCATAGCTCCAAAGTTAGAAGAATCCTGTTCGCCAGCTCGCCCTGGTAAAGACCACAGTTTTGCATCATGAAGGCATTCGTTCATAATGAAGACAGTGAGAACGAACGAGCCTCATAAGTATTAGAAAGGATCTAGTTCAGCTATATTCAAGCGCCAGTGGCGTGACTCGGCAGTCACGGTCTAGGCACTTGGCTGTCCTTTGAACCACACCAGTCCAATATGAAATATATCGAGGTCGTTCCTAGACCATTACCTATGGCACAGTTTAGGGTTCCCTGGCTACCTTACGAGGTCTCCACAGTTACTGGATAACGCAGCGCTAACTCCCGACAAAAGCTCATATGATACCCGAAAACCTATACATTGAGTTTCTATGATCTACAGAGAAAGTTTATCGGAGTATTGCTGCTGTGTTGTCGTGAAAATGATAGAGTACAGTAAGTGTTTGAAAAGCAAGTAACTGTGGTTCCTCGTGTACTAGTAGAAAGATCCATACAACAATGTGCTTACATATGTATGGCTTTACTTTGTAGATGGCTTAAATGCGCTTTGCACAGACCCGTACCTGCATCCTCTGTCAGTATACTGTGTTATATCAGGAATGTGGTAGACTCACCCTTGAGCACATTGCTTGCCGAGGGCCACACTTCCGCTCCTCATGTAGCAGATCTTGGCTTTCCAGCAATCCGCGGTCGTGCACTTGGGGCTCTTGACACTCATCTTACCCTGTAGTTCATTTTGCAGGGTTACTAGGCCTCCGTCTCTCTCCATAGCCTCGGTAACCTGATGCCAAAATGTTGCATTCAGGGGGGCATCCTTGTCCCACCCAGCGGCGGAGCCGTACGTGTCCCGTGTAGAATATTCGAATTGATATACAGGTCCTGTCTCCGCGAGAGAGCTAAAGTCTGACACGTTGCTAAAGAAGGTGTATGCTTCGTAGATGTTGAAGTCCCCTGTATCCACTTCGTACAATCTGAAGCCGCTGTTTAGATTTGTCAGCGGTGTTACGCTGGGTCCAATCCAACCAGTGGTCAAAGCATTTTTGGCGTTCTGCATTGTACCATTGTTCGCGTAGTATACCATGAATTGATCTTCATGTGTGTGACCGAAGAATATGTTTGCAATAACATGTGGGGAGTAGCGGTCTACAATCTGGTAGAAGAGATTTGTTGGATTGGGGAGGGGGTTGGACCCATCCCATCCAGAGAGAACATGACCAACAAGCCAAACTCGCTCGCCATGGTCCTCTGCTTTCTGAAGCTCGGAGATCATCCAAGCGAAGATCCCGGAGTTGTCGGGATTTGTTGTGTTGATGAGGTTCAGATAATTAGACTTATACCAAAAATCTACAAGTCACACGTCAGTCAATCGCATTGTCAAGGTCCAGATGACTGACCTACCTGTGTTGAACGTGATAATGCGCAGTCCATAATGGGTTTTAATGCTGTAGGCCCCATAATGAAGCTTGGCTTCCTGGACAGCGGTTTCATCAATCCACCCTTCGTGTTGCCACAGCCCTGCAACATGATCATAGTTCCAACTCTGTTGTTGGCCCAATGGCCCTGGAAGACTGTGTGGAGATTCAATGTTCTCAGGGCTGGTATCGTGGTTGCCCAAAGCAGCGAAGACTGGCCCTGAGAGGTATGACTTGAGCATACCATATACACTAGTTTCTGTATATTGCGTATAGGCCCGATCAACTTGAGTAGCAGGGTCATCATGCGAGACTAAATCTCCTGTATACAGGGTGAAGGCCAAAGGATTCTTGTCCTTGTCAGTTCCAGTCAAAGGACCGACAGCTTCCAGAGCGGCAAGACCAAGGTCATATGGTGTATCACATTTATATGATCCATAGGCAGAGGCTGGAAGGAGAACCTGGTCCTCTGAATACGAGTTGTAGAGATTGCTTCGGCAACACATGCCCGACGAGCAGTTTGCCTCAGAATTCACGGAGTAACGTGGGTCCAGATGAAAATCCGACAAGTGCAGCACCTTAATCCGCTTACCACTAGGGCTAGGAACCTGTGGGTTTGCCGGCTTTGGCTTTGGAAACCAATCTGACACGTTTAACGGGTTCGTCAGAGGCTGACTGCAGAAAGTGCTGCTCAAGGAATTGCATATGTAGTCTCCGTCTGGACCCTGAACATCTGCATAGGCTAAAACCTGAGTCCAGATCGCCCCAAAGACACTCGCCGTATATTTCTCCTCACATCCATCATCAGAAGCGAACTTGTACTTTTTGCAAAGGGAGATCAACGTTTCGGGCACTAATGTTGGCGCAAACAAAGCAGCCGGCTTAGCCGCGGCCAAAGCTGCCTTGCAAGTGGTGCAGTTACTGTTCGTATTGTTCGCAGTGATGATGCGGGTGACATTGGCCACGACCCCGTGGACCAATGCCTGTTGTTGATGCTCCGATAGATTTACAGATGGCTCTGGGAAGAAGACGGGGTCGTTGTTCTCCGTCGGGATGGTATCAGGATTCGTCAATTCATAAGGGAACGTGATATTCAGTATAGGGTCATAAATAATTGGTTGCGGCTCTTGGGTTGGTTCTGCGGGTAGATAATAATAAGATCTAGATCAAGGGGTTGTGAGTATCTACTCCAAATCGGGGCAGAGACTGAACGATCAAAACGTACGAGAAGGCACTGGTCGGGAAGCCAGCCGGGGCTACATAGGACGAAGCCCCAGGTAGTGACGAGGCAGTAAGGGCATCAGCTAGGTTCGTGCTGACACCGGCCAGAACGGCCTGCATTGTTATAAAATGGGACGCGTAAACCATGAGTCCGATAAGCACCGAGCGTTCGCAATATCGGATGCAATTGAGACGAGACGAGACGACGCCCACGACTGCTAACAATGTGGTCACAGCGAGTAAGGCGTGCGAGTATCAGCATGGCGATTAAATTTGCGGAATGCATCATAATTTTATAGTGGCGGGTGGTAGTTGTTGAGCAATTATTGACTCTTCCTTATCTAGCAAAGGGATGCACGTGGCGCTAATCTTTAGATCGACTGGACACCGTGAGATTAGGAAATGAGATTTGTGGAGAAAGTATCACAACTACTAGTAGTACGTACATAGTACGAGGCAAAGAAGTCGGGCGATTCATATGCAATTATACACATGGATAATCAACATGATGTTGGACATAAAGCGGAAAAGGTGCGGGTGTACTCAGTATAGAGGGATAAGGTACATACTCATACTATGGAGTGTTTTTGCAGTACCCATGGTACCTTGAAGAAATCACGAGATTTAATTGGTTGAATTCAACCCCTGACGGGTTTTGTGCCTTTTTTTCCTGGCAGCCCCCATGTATTCCAAGAATCCTGGCGTCAATGGCTCCCTATTGTTCTCCTTGTTTTCTTTCTTTCCCATTTTGCGACCTCTCACAATGTCTCCATGGGTTGAAGTTGACGTGCAAGGTATATGTTGATGCGCCACCTCAAGCGAAAGCTACCTAGCTATTGGACAGTAAGAGTTTTCAAGGGATTTGCAGCTCCTCTTTAACTTCGATTAATTTTCTCCCTCCCTGTTGGATTAGAACCTGTCATTGTACAGCTCTTGGGCTTATGATGGAGGAGGTGAGTCTGGTCGTTCTTACAACATTTAGGATATCTAGTCTCAGCTTGTAAAAGCAACCACAACCACAAAAGGATTTAAAATACAGGTGATAGTTAGTTAGTAGGCACGATTATATAATAAGAGCACTTAACTAACTTAAAGCCATAATAATTTCTAAACTCCAATTGAGGCATAATAAATCCTATTTCTAATTGCCCTTCTAAACATAATACGAGCACTAGTATATATAATCAACTACCCCAACCCTATTGCTAAATCAACACCAAAGCAACCACAAGAACAGTTCTGAGCAAGATATATTTCCACTTCCACTAAAAGTCGATGTGTTTCACAACGATCCTATAACTACAGCCTGAAATTCCGTTCTAGCTTCAGGTTCGGCTATCGACTCATCATTCAATCATGATTTGGTTGCCAGGGACACATTCAGGCGGAGATCTAGGTCCATTGTCTCGGGTGCGACCAAGCTCAAGATCGACGCGATTATCTTCTTGGGGCTATCGGCTAGATCATGATGTCATGAGATCCCGAGCCTCCCGAGTTGAAAGAAACTTTAGGTTAGGTTTAAACTTTCGGGGTGACTGTGATGGTTGTCATTATAGTCACTGACTGACCTATCTACTGAGTAATGTATAAATCGTGGGCTCTTCGGTGAAGTGGTTACGTAGACAACTTGAGGTTTACTGTAGTGGCCAAAAACAATTTTAATATTCCCAAAATGAATATATTATTCTAATTTCCTTGTGATTTTCCCTCGAATTGCTTGCGCATTGCTTTCGCGATTGTGCTCCAGGATCGAGACTAAACACACCGTTGTCTTCAAAATGCCTGTTCTTCCCTCTTTACAAGGATCTACCTTCGATGAGGACATTCGCGATCGTCACTTGATATATGACTATGCAGCGCAGGATACGGAAGGAAATCCAGAGAAATGGCGTTATGAAATGTGGTTCTATAACGAGGATCGCATAAATTACGCCATTCATGGGGGCCCCATGGCGGGGCGTGCGGCGTTTCAATCGGCCACATACCAATGCATCCGGCCCGGAGAGTTATGGCAGTGTAACTGGCTCGAGGAAACTGGCACCGTCTGTTCATTGGTTTTCGATATTTCGCGGAAGCATATCACGACTTTGATAGCCTTTTCCAAGGGACATTGGGAGGAAAACACGACAGCTCGTGGCGATAAGCGCACCCCAGAGGATCTAGCACGAATGAGAAGTTTGGCTCAAATCGGTAGCCAAGTCGATCGGATACTTTTGAGCGAACAGGCCGAGATCTTAGAGGATTTCCGTGGTCCGGGTAATCTGAAACCAATACAGATGGATTGGCCGACGCTGTGATAAGAGGTAGCGTAGTATCGAGGGCTTCCTTCAAGACCCGGTCCTGTCGGCCGTGGGCTCACGGGGGAAATCCGATCAATATGCGTGGCACGACGATTGCCCGAAAGCGGAGAGCATTTCACTTTGCCCTATTCAATGTATAACCAAACCAGTATACTAGGTTCCAAGAACAGATTTCTTGAAAGGATGCCGCGTGTAAAGTGGTCGGTCCTGGGTGCAACTAATACAACTCCAATGCGAATATATCAAGTTTCCGAGAATTGATGGGCATCCCGGCAACGTATAGTGAAACTGAATCATTTCAAAAATCCAAAATGTCCAGAAGTAGAGCTGAATAATGGTCGCGTCCTCCCATGCCAACATTCGTAGTCCATGCAATCGGCTTTTCCAATGTTGTGGTCCCTAGATCAAGGCAACACGGCCATCGTATCGCTCGATGCGATGACACACACACGGCCCGGGAAGTTGAGAGCCTGCTGCGGATGGGCAGAGATCGTGAGTAGATCTGGTAATCTCTTCCTTAACAATGAATTGTTATGAGGCATGTCACGCGGGTAGACATGCCAGCGAAGAGTGCAATGCAGCAAGGTGCTATTAGTATGGCCACCAAAGTATACAACTTGTGGCCCTTAGAGTATGAAAAGGAATATTCAGACGTGATGTCGAGAACCCTACGTGGAATCTTGGTTCGATGACGAACTCCCGGTTGAAGGAGCCTGAAGGCACACTAGTTCAATTTGAACATCGTCTTTGCTCTTCAGGGGTGGACTGTCGTATGACGGGCTTCGGCTGATGATGGCAACGGCCACTTGATCTGCTTGTTGTTTCGCAGTCATATTGTCGATATACCATGTCTTCCAGGGGTCATCGCTAGAGCCAGAAGTTGACATCATAGCAACTTTGTCATTTACCGTCTCCGAGGCGAACGCTGGCAGAAGTGTAAGTAACAGAACAAAGTAGACCTGTGGCCTATGAGACAAGGAACCTTCACGTACGCTTAACTGGAATTCGCTGGACATCGAAGAAAGGCGGTGGACAGTTGGGAAGAGCAGGCGGGTTGACAAGCATTTCATGTAACACAGTATCTAGGGGGAATGTATAATATTCTCCCTTGGCGGAGAGTTGATAGATAGCTTCCTTTAATGTCTCCTTGAGGTTCATCGAGCATTGTGGTCCCCAAACACCGTCGCATCCATTCGTCCCCCCGGAAGGGGTACCTGTCAAGTTTCCCACACGCAAGCCAACCTCCAACGTGCGATTTGTGGAGATGGCTGAGCTATCGACATGATGTGCTGCATAGCCCATCCAAAAACTAGCTTTAGTCATGGGTTCGTTACCTTTACCCCGAGAGTTGGCGTCGTATGCATAATATAGTGTAAGATCGTCCAAGAAGAGAGGAGAAAAATCGAAGGAAATTGCCGTCTGGGCGTAGGGATCAACACATCCGCCATCCCAGAAAGAACAGATCTGGGCGAGGCCAGGTTGTAGAATTGTTGACAACATCGCCAATAGAACCAGACATGGTCGGAACGTCGACCTCATTCTCCAAGGGTCCGCCATTTGGAGGCCGAGGACTATTCAAGTAGAGCCGTCTCCGTGGGGATGACTGAGTAGGCTCAGAAGCGCAGCGATAACAGAGGAGCAGCGGCCAGCACAACTGGCATGCTCATAACCGAGTTGGTGGTAAGAGGGAGGTCGATGGTGGTCGAAGGGATTCGAGTAACACTACCGTAGTCTTGCACGAAAATAGCGTGGAATAATCTTTAGAACATAATAGTCGCGTCCGGCGATTTCAAACAGCAAAAGGACCCGAAAGTGTAAAGAGGAGAGGTATCTATCTTCAGCGCTTCGCTCGTCTAAACTCCGAATTGGATGGTCGATAGATTCGCCAGATCACCGTTTTCCGTGTCAGCAAAAGAATGGTCTCCTCTCATGGAACGCCTTCCGCCCTGACACCGAAAAGCCAAGGGATTCGAAAGAACGCTAAATCAGATAGCGGTCGCACTGAGAAGAAAGAGGGAGGGGAAGTGCTCCCTGCTGTCAGAATTGGGGAATCGAGTAGAGTAAGGTCCGAGTCGGAACCCTCCGCTAGTTGGGAAAAACGACTGATTCTCAGCACGGGAGTAACGGGGGGGGGGGGGCCAGCTGATTATGGGAGTGCAGCAGAGAGGAGCTGTAACCCAAGGGGGGGAACCACCACTGGCAGAAAGGTTGAAGGTAATGTCAGATAGATGAAGGATCGCTAAAAGGGAAAAAAATAAAAAAGAAAATCATTCATGAATGGCAAGTCAGTCACGATGCTGCTGGTCCAACACACTCTCTTTTCTCGCTCTCCTTCTCTCCTTCTGTGACCGGCGACTTATTATTGTCTTGCCTGTGAAACAGGGAGTGTGGATCCCGGATTGGCCAGAGGAGACTCATCTTTTTGCTGGCTCCCTGGCGTTTTAGGAGGCATTCTTGGCCCTTCTTGGTCACTGACGCTAACAGACAGTCCCCGCATATTTCCTCACCGAATGCGGCAGTTCCGGCGGTTGATCCGCCCAGGGTGCCAGGAGGCGTCCACTAAGAACGCCGAATCCTCACATATTTCGGTCTTCCAAGGGTTCTGAGGGTCCAGAGGGGCCAATGGGTTCGCCTACATAGTCTGCTGCCAGCCACCAATTGTACCTCGAGATTCAAACTAGTAAACAACCTTACCGTATTGTGACGGGCGCAAGTTACCACCACCTACGGAGTACTGTCCTTAAGAGAAGTACTACTACTCCGAGTAGTAGTAAGATGTAACTTATTTAAAGCTAAAATACTCAAGGCAGCGAAGTACTGTACCTAGGCACAGTAAGTAGCAATCTGAGTAATACTTGATTGCCGAGGCATCCCCGGGAAAGGTAATACTTGATTTTTTATTTTATTTTTTTATTTTTCGAATCTTTATTACTAGGTCGTACAGTGCGCTGTTCACAGTAACCAGGGGGTAAAAATAAAAATAAAAATAAAAATAAGAAGAAAAGCATTGTGTACTTACAGATAGTAATCTTGCATATTGAAGAGGCAAAAAATAAAAGGGCTAGAGGAAATCATAAACAATAGTAAGCCAATAATACCTGCTGATGGGTCAATGTCTAATTAAATCTCTATTACCTGATTAACGACGGGGAAACAACGGGAGTGGTTAACTAACTTGGTTTAGGGAAGAAACAAACCAACTAGTATTGTGGTAGCGCGGTACATAATTCCACAGGACCCTCGATCACACTAACGGTGGTGCTACTGTACAATTCATACCAGTGTTCCAAGTTGATACTCTTGAGTATTGCCCTCAACTCGGGCCCTATCAGTAGTTACCGACTAGGATGGACAGCAAACTACTCCCGTACAGTACTTCATTTATTGCCACCTATCAAATTTAGTGTAGTATCGACTGAACTCTCTGCAATATTCCCACCGGATTTCCCTCTGAACGGAAACATCACGAGGTGAAATTGCTTATTACTACTGCACAGCCGCACCCTGAACGCCGTAGATTCTCCGACAGAAAGTCTTAATAGAAAAAGAAAATTTCATGCAATCTGAGCCAGGAGAGGTCACATTAAAAAAAAATAAAATAATAATACAGCAGCTTCTACTCCGTACTGGAAGTGCCATCCAAGTTTTACAAACTTAATCGGATGGGGTATTCAAATTTTCACAACTAACCTCTGTTGAGAATTCCAAACGACCATGGTTCCTATGGCTCCTATCTCTAGTTCTTCGGGCATCCAACGGGGTTCCCTTAGCGTTGGTTGCCATCCCTGGGTCAAGAGGCCCTAGCAACACCGAACAATGGCAATGGTAATAACGATAGAGTAATAATACTACATCATGGTTGCCGAGATACGACTTCGTACCGGCCAACCCTGAGCAGCGCCGAGCTGTCATTCTTCCATCACTAATGAGTAGTTGAAGGTGAGTCTCGGAAATAGCTTCTAACGTTCTCAAGAATATCGCCTAAATGCTGTCAATATTAATATTAGTACAAGGGCTGAAAGGTTAATATCGCCAATGGTGACACCGGGGACACTAACAGCATTCCTGACTCATTCTCACATATATCAGCTGCATGGCAATTATTCTGGCCAAGATAACTCCATACAGACGACTTGGCTTAGATCCTCTGTTGTGCACCGTGGTATACGCTCTAGTCGAAGGGATGTACAGTACTCTGGATGTATGTACGCTATGGCCATCTACTGACTTCTGCCTGGTTGTACAGGATACTACCGAACATTGTTGGCCATGAGGTCATCTGGCGGCCAAAATTTCAATCCCTTCTAGAAAGATGCCGTCATAGTTGGGAAGAATCCGACAGCGAGCCCTACTAAATTGCCTTGTTTGGTGTTTGGGAATGTATGCCAAGGTCAGACTTAAGCCTAAGTACACTGTACAGAAGCCGAGGACATCGCAATTCAGCCATAGAACGACTTAACAACAGCCAAAATGGAGATTTGTTTCGCTTCGGGTTTGGCGTCCTCGGATATGAGTGGATATGGCCCAGATTAATATCCGACGAGCCCGGTGACCAATAATGGATGCGAGCGACTTTTAGGGTCTCTTTTCGCTGCAGTCGAACCTTGCGTCATTACCGGTCGGATCAGGTGATTCTCTGGTGGTCTCGAGAGATATGGAATCGCTCAATCCAGTAATTACCTGCATCCCAATTGAGAACGGGGATAGGAGACCTCACATCTCGGATTCCCGTTTCTACATATCTATCATGGCGTGGACTGACTGGTAAATGATTACGATAAAAAAGTTTGAAAGCAAAGCCTCTCACTTTTTCTTTTCCCGTGCCTCTCAGTTATATACCTCCATGACTCGACAACAGCCGGTGGAACACGCTACCTCTCAAGTTTCTCTAGTCCCTCTGCACGAGACTTGATGATTGCAGCCGACTCACAGATGGATTTGGCCAGCTTGCGGATCCGTTCCAATTCACGTAATCTGTTTCCCTCTGCGACCTCTACTATCCTGCGCACGGTTTCAATCTCTGCAGCCTCCATATCTGTCAGTTTACCAGCCAGAGGATCAGCGTCCTGAATGTGCTTCTGGATATTAGAGACCTTGGTGATCGCTTTAATGAGGGGTAGCATAACTGGCATATTAAAAGTCAGCCATGATGCATGCTCGGGAGTGGCGCCTTGGTGGCCCCAGACCATGTCCATGGCTGCTGCCCGCTGTGTAAATTTTCGGACACTGTGAGCTCCTGTTGGCACAGGAGCTTTGTTCTCGTTCCAGTTGTACTCTGGAATATCCAATGGCTTCTGCTGCTCATTTTGGTTATTGTGCTCGTCCCCGTCATTGCAGGTGTCCTGCATTCCTTTCCAGCGCTCATACAGCTCCCATTCAGATTCCGTCATTTGTGCCCTAGCCGAGCTTTCCAGATCCCTGCGTTTGTTGTGCGACGCCAGCTTCAATCCCGTCCAGAGTGCAAGACTATTGCCCCGCTCAACAACCCTGGCGAGATCCTGCATCTTTCGCGATGTCGTTTCCAGGTCATCGGTGTCCGTAGGCACGGGTAAAATCTTTAAGTGCTCGCCTAAGTCCTTGAGCGCCAGAGGATCCATCGTCGCCCCGTGCGATCGTTTAGAGCTAGAACTCTGCTCATGGCTGTCGCTCTCCCGCTTTAGTGCACGAGTAGGTAGTGGGCTTTCCATTCCAGCTTCACTCTGTCCTAGTGTACGGTAAATTGGACAACACACCACGCGTGGGCTGTAAATAAGAGTCTCGTGTGTATCGTATCACGTGGTAGTGCTCTCCAATCCTGTATTGTTCTCCTTTTGTTATATGTAGACAGTGAAGTAAGAATGGCTGCTAAATGACTCTGTTCTCACTGTGGCCTCAGAAGAGGCTAGAATAGGCTGTCTTTAGATGCTGTACAAGGTTCGGTCTGTCCGTGCGAGGGGTTGTTGAGCTAATAGCTTGCTTCATCCAACAAATGCTGACTTTCCAAATTTATACTCAAATTTTCCTTCTATATTAGACATTCACCTCGAATGAAGTTGCAAGAACCAAAGTGCAGATGGGGTTAGGAAGCCGACCTGTGAATGTAGGTTGTACTCCTTACACCAAACAATTCGTAAGGATTACTAAGTTGACAAATTTTCGTTTTAGCACCCGTGAGATCATCTATTTAGCTATTGAAGTGCTTCTGTCGCGATTTATAGATAAGTTCATACCTAGCCAAGAAAAGCAGAAGTATCAATATATTTAAGGGAAAAATTGTCAAGGTAAATAAAGATTCATACATAGTATAGTACAGTAGGTGTCCACCAAATGAGTGAAATCACCGATCGGCCTCTTGCCCTTTTCCTAATATACAACCGACATTTTGTTTCGTGAAACATCTTCGTGGAATGCATGACCGGCAAATACGCTTGTAGTGTGATAATAATGCTGACAAGAAAAAAAAAGTATGTGAGTCGAATGCAAGATCGAAATGGTAGGAGAGTGTCAGTCAGAAAAGTCCCAAACGCCAAAACTCCATGCTTGAATGCTGCATATGTTTCCCCAAATTGTTCGCCGCTCCCTGAATATTCAACAAAGACTAGTTGTCATCGTCTTCGATATGTGCATGACCCCTTGCCCAGACACGCTTCCAAGGGCCTTCAGGTCCAAAGGCTGCCTCTCGATCCTGGCGCATCCCCTCGAGGACGCCGACTATTCCGCCACTACGCAAACGTTCTAAGACAACGTTCATGCCTTGTTTGCTCTTAAGCACGGCATCCCGGGTCCGCTTCACCCCAATGAGTTCGATTGTCCGCTGAATACCAGCGGTTGATAGAGAGGAGAAAAACCCCCTCTTTGGTGCATCTTCTTCAACCTCGCCATTGTGGTCACCAATTGGATCTACCTTTTTTCTTCCAAGCAGCTTTCCTTGTCCGAACCGAGAACGGAACGTGACGGTCGTCTTCACGGTCGTCTGCTCGCCTCTCTTGTCGTCAAGGGCAAGCCCCTCGAGACTATCAAGAGCCCCTTCAATTGGCTGACGCTGGTAAACCTGCTTCTCAACGACACTGAGGATACCAGTCCATTCCATGTTACGTGATTCACTTTCCATCCAGCCTTCCTTGGGGTCGACGACCGTGGTCTCGAGAATGTAGCTTTGACCGGAATTGTCGGATCCTCCAATGCCCTTGGGGAGCAATTTGAGTATGCCAGCGGGGACTTTTGATTTTTTTAGATGAAGGCGAATTGTATGAAGACGCTGTGTCTTGGGATCGACGTAGCGATCGATAACATCAGTCGTTAGGACATGGCGAGAATACGGGTTGGGATAGCGGAGGAAGTAGGCTAGAGAGACAGCAGGGAAGGAGTAATCGTAAGTAAATACGTTCTCGAAGAACTTCATGATTGCAGATGCATATAGTCAGTCTGAATGATGGGGAAGCGATAGAGGAGCTGTGGCGATGGGATGATGCTCTGTGAGCTGTTGGGTGCTCGTCTGCTCAATCGCCTTTCTCAGTGGTCGGACAATTCTGCTCGGACCCGGACTCCTTTCGGCGACGGAAGAATTTCTGATAGCTTCTAGAGCCATTGCGCTAGCCTCATCCGGGACGCGGGGTGCTAGCCGTTCGGCTTCACGTGATGCAGTACAATAAGCCAATAAGAGGAACAATGGTCGCTCGATAGGATGACTCATCATTGGCCTACTTGGAGGGGCAGAGGTACAAATTATATCGGTGTCAAGATTAGCAACGGCAGTGCTATTACAAAGACCCCGGTCTTCAATTCCGTTCTAGCCTTTGGGTGCCACAGAGCGGTAGCCAGCAAGTTCTATACACTATAAACCCTTTGTGTCTCTGCAGACGCAATCTTCGAACATGGCGGACGAACCTGGTCAACCCCCCGCTCTCACAACTTTGAGCCTTGCCGAAAAGGCGCCCGATTCCAAGGCAGTCGGACAAAAGATTACACCTTTTGACGTCTCTGGTGGAGTCGATGAATCTGGAAAGCTCTTACCGGTTGACTATGACAAGCTGGTGCGCGAATTCGGTGCCACTCCTATCACACCAGCCTTGCTCGAACGCTTTGAGAAAGTTACCGGCCATCGCCCTCACAGGTTTATGCGCAGAGGAATTGTTTTTAGTCACCGTGAATTGACTACCATTCTGGATCGCTATGAAAAGGGCCAGCCATTCTACCTTTACACTGGACGAGGACCCAGTAGTGACAGCATGCACGTTGGACACACAATTCCCTTCGAATTCACCAAGTATGTGTTCTTGATCTGCCAACCACATCACACGATCGATAACTAACGATACTGTACTATATAGATGGTTGCAAGATGTTTTCGACTGCCCATTGGTTATCATGCTTACTGACGACGAGGCATGTTCCACACATTTCGATCGGTTATTCCTCTTGGGATGCTAACTGGTCTTCAGAAATTCATGCATTCGCAAAAGATCGATGTCGAGGACGCAAAGAGATATACCAAGGCGAATGCCATGGACATTATCGCTGTTGGTTTCGATATGAAGAAGACGTTCATCTTCAGCGATTTTGATTTTGTGGGCGGCGCTTTCTACGAGAACATGTGCAGGATGGCCAAGCGTATTACAATCAACTCTATAAAGGGAACGTTCGGATTTAACGACAGCAACAACATTGGTGAATTCCATTTCTGTGCTACTCAGTCCGCCTCGGCCTTTGCCACCAGTTTCCCGCATATCTTTGGCACAGACAGAAAGAAGGTCTCGTCCATCCCGTGTCTGATCCCTTGCGCAATCGACCAAGATCCTTATTTCCGGCAATGCCGTGAAAACGCCGAGAAGATGAAGTACAAGAAGCCTTCACTGATCCATGCAATCTTCCTACCTGCCCTTCAAGGCCCTGGCTCCAAGATGTCCGCTAGCGTGGACACATCCGCCATCTTCATGAACGATACCCCCGCCCGTATCAAGAACAAGATCAACAAGTATGCCTTCTCGGGCGGCCAAGATACCGCTGAACTCCAGCGTCAGCTCGGCGGAAACAGCAAAGTCGATGTTCCGTTCCAGTACCTTACTTTCTTCCTGGAGGATGATGAAGAACTTGAGCGCATTCGTACTGCATATGAGAAGGGAGAGATGCTCACTGGCGAGATGAAGCAGAAGTGTATCGCTGAGCTGCAAACCTATGTTAAAGATTTCCAAGAGCGCAGGGCCCAGGTAACTGAGGAGATGCTCAAGGAGTATATGAGTACTCGCCCACTTGAGTGGAAGGGTAACCCCAACCCAATTGTTGTCGAAAAAAAGAAATAGAGCAAGTGGTACCTTCCAGCCACTACAGTTTTAGACGAGTTCTGTTTAGAGATGCATTACCCTGCAGCTACACGATCAATGACCACCACACAATGTCCCTTGCACATCTTCATTTCAGACCACGTAAAGACGCTATATGTTCCGAGTTAATTCGAGGGTATACTCGGATTCGAGATGAAAGGTTCTATGTATTACCGTGGAAGGGGGACCCTTTCGGACCCTTTCGGGTCCATCAATACAATCCTACCGGGGATGAAGCCTCTGACACCGTTACTAAGCCAACACTCCTCACCGTCTACTAAATCAGCCACTGTAATAACCTCTTCCGTGCAAAACCCTTCTGCCAGGGCGTATCGTCTAGTTGTACCTGCATTGCCACCACTTAAGAGCGATGGTGTGGCCCATTTTGGTCCGGAGTCTTTGCTCGCGATATCCTTCTCAGATCCAGGTTTGCGCCGCCTGAAGTACGGGGTTGTGATGCTCCCTTCCATGATTTCGCCCTTTGGATTCACTACAAGCACCTCTGCCTGCTCTTGGGGTGAAAGGATCCCGGACCGATACCTGGCAGCTGTATAGTCTCCACGCGCAGTAGTCTTATGCGTAGTAAAGTCCGAAGGGGCCGTATACTCTGAGTCAACATATACACGCCACGTATTTGGCTGTGGAACGTCTCGGGAAGGGCAGAGAAGGTATAGGGGGTCCATTGATGCTGTCGGGTTGGCTTCGACCTTGCACGCTCCACTGCTGTCAATAACAACACGAAGGCGCCATGGTTGTGATTTGTTAGGTACAAACGTCTCTAAAATCCGAGTAAACTGGTCCAAATCCTGGCGTAGAAACTCAATAGCTTTTGCCCAATTGAAACAGATTGCCGCGTTTAGGAGCCGATCCCGGTGGTAAGGTAGAAGGTAGTATGGTGTAGCTAGAAGACGGGGTTCTGCAGTTCTTTCACCGATCGCACGCGGAATCGCAGGGTCATAACGGAGAGAAGATATGATCTGGAAGGAATCCGAAGAGGCTGTTGGTGGAGTGGATGCCATTGCGACGGGTCTTATTGGTTAATATTCCAAATTTAAGGTGATGTTGGAATGGATTGCTCAACAGCCCATGGATCTGGATGAAACCCTTTAGTACTAGCCTGGAGCCAACAGCGCACACGACCGATCATACAGCAATAAAGAGGAAAGCACTGGATACAAATGGACGTGGTAGAATTTCATTCGGTATCGGGCATCGCAGTCCGGTTCCTGGTATTCGCCCTCGACGCTGATATTGTGGAGAAAGCAAGGCACTGAGCATCCCTTTGTGGTGGGTGTGATTGGCTTGCGTTGCATGACGAGCTGCCCGGGCGGAAAGCCGCTCCTGCGTCGCCGGACCACCTTCTACGCATAACTTTTCAAGCCGCGCTCCTTCCATCTTCCAACCCCGAAAAAGTAGCCCTTCTGCCGACAGGCTTCCGCTGTGCACCAAGGACCAGTTCGTATTTCCCAATCTATGGATTTTCTTTAATTCTTATATACTTTCTCTCGTTAATGGATACTTTGCTAATCGTTGCAGAATTCGATAAGATCGAGGAATACGGGTTCCTAGCCGGGTCATCATGTCGAACGAATCACCACTACCTCAACCGGTGAAGAACGTGGTTGTTGACACTGCTTCTCTTCCGGCATCTTCATCGGCATCGGTCTGGGATCGTGTCTCGAAATGGGTGTCTGAGAATAAGGCTCTTGTTTATACCATTGCTGGTGTCGCCGTGGTCGTGACCAGTGCGGGTGTTGTCTACTATCTCTCCGACTCGAGCCGGCCGGCTCAAGCTCCTCAGCCTACAGAGAAGAAGAAGAGCAAGAATCAGCGACGCAAGGAGAAGGAAAAGGAGAAGAAGAAGGCGGAAGAGAAAGAGAAGGCCAAGGCTGCTGCTGTCCAGGACGGTATGTCCCTATAGATGATCTCCCAGGTTTCCGACCGCTCAATACTGGAACTAATGATCCCATAGAGAACAAGAAGGCCGAAGAAGCTCCTGAAGAACTCCCCGAAGTTGACGAAGCTACTGTCGGACAGCTATCGGAAGAGGTGGGTTAATGGTGTTGTGGTGACAAATGAGCGCTGGCGCTGACACTGGACTGTAGACACGGAAAGCCTATGCTGCGAAGCTGAAGGCTGCCGGTAACAAGGCTTACGGCTCCAAAGACTACAACAAGGCGATCGAACTCTACGGAAAAGCTATTCTTTGCAAACCTGATCCTGTCTTTTACTCCAACCGCGCTGCTTGCTACAATGTCCTGTCCGAATGGGAGAAGGTTGTCCAAGACACCACTGCTGCCCTTTCAATGGATAGCGAGTATGTCAAGGCCCTGAACCGGAGAGCTATTGCATATGAACACCTCGAGAAGTTCAGCGAGGCCCTTCTCGACTTCACTGCCAGCTGCATCATCGACGGCTTCTCCAACGAGGTCAGCCGTGTCGCTCTTGAGAGACTCTTGAAGAAGGTTGCGGAGAAAAAGGGTAAAGCGATCCTGGAAGCTAAGGGCAAGAAGCTCCCTAGCCCGACCTTCGTGTCCAACTACCTCCAGAGCTTCCGTCCCAAGCCCCTCCCCGAGGGTCTCGCTGAATCCGTTGAGTTGAGCGAGGATTCTGGCAAGGGTCAGTTGCGCAAGGGTCTGCTCGCAATGGCGCTGAAGACCGGTGATGGCTATGACGAGGCTGCCACAGCCTTCGAAAAGGCCCTGGAGCTTGGCGACCTTGGTGAATTCGAAGCCCTTGCCCTCAATTTGAGAGCCACCTTCACTTACCTCGAGGGCAATGCTCAGGCTGCCCTGGCGGACCTCAATAAGAGCGTTGAACTCCAGCCATCTTTGGTTCAGAGCTACATTAAACGTGCTAGCCTGCACCTTGAACTTGGTAAACACCATCTCCCAATTTCAGCAGCGTCGTTGCGTAGTCAATGTCATTTCTAACAGAGAATGGATAGGAAACAAGGATGCCGCTGCGGACGACTTTGAGCTCGCCATCTCCCACAACAAGGACGACGCTGATATCTACTACCACCGCGCCCAGCTTCACTTCATCCTCGGCGAATTTGCCGAAGCCGCTAAGGACTACCAGAAGTCCATCGACCTTGACCGTACCTTCATCTATTCTCACATCCAGCTGGGTGTAACACAATACAAGATGGGATCTGTCGCATCCGCCATGGCAACTTTCAGGAGATCTGTGAAGAACTTCGAGGACGTGCCGGATGTCTACAACTACTACGGTGAACTTCTCCTTGACCAGCAGAATTTCTCTGAAGCCATTGAGAAGTTCGATAAGGCCGTAGAGATGGAGAAACAGAGCAAGCCCATGGGAATTAACGTTCTGCCCCTTATCAACAAGGCGCTCGCTCTGTTCCAGTGGAAGCATGACTTCCAAGAGGCCGAGAATCTGTGCCAGAAGGCTTTGATCAGTAAGTAACCGCCGCTATTATGTGCAAAAACGGATTATAGTCTAACCCCGCTCCAGTTGACCCCGAATGTGACATCGCTGTGGGAACCATGGCACAGCTCCTTCTGCAGCAGGGCAAGGTCTCGCAGGCCCTCAAGTATTTCGAAAGAGCCGCAGAGCTGGCTCGTACCGAAGCTGAAATTATCAACGCTATCTCATACGCTGAGGCAACCCGGACACAGCTCGAAGTGCAAGAGAAATACCCTCAGCTCGCTGCACGCTTGCAGACCATGGGTGCTGGCCTAGGTGGACCCCCGGGCCTGTGAATTGAGACGTGCTTTCCTTTTTTTCTTTTTCCGCGTTTGAAGTGACCAAGAAGTATATGTTGGATTAATAGTGTTTGTCATTTTTCCTTTCTCCCCACTTTCATACCTCAGCTAGAACGAACAGGCGATGGTTCATGTCTGGCCATGATCCTTTTGTTTCTAGTCTCTTCCGATACATCTAGGGTGCCGGAGCCTTTCATCTGCGCGTGTACTTACTAGCTTTGCTTCCCCTTCTTTTCCCCGGTTTCCATATCCTTTCGCGGTCCCCTTGTTCGGGTAATACAAGGGTGGTCACTTTCATATTTGTTCTTTTTTTCTCCCTCTTCGTTATACTTCACTTTCTTTCGAATGCAGCACCGGGCTTTTTTTGTGTAGGAAGAATGGCTGAAATGAGCAGGAAATTGCAACGAAGGCATGTTCGGTGCCTGAGGCGTCATGTTTAAATGGGAAGATGGGAAGAAATCATGTATCATAGCCAATGGAAGAGTTGGAAGGGTGTCAAAACAGTCCTACCGTATCTGCCTAAATCAGTAAGCAATTAAAGAATCCATGATGGAAGTTTTGGTTCGCATTTCTTGGAATTTCATTCATGGTTTTGAGAGAGTGAATCTGGTGCTTCTGCAAGCGTGGGCCAATAATACTCGGGGCAGGGGGTTTTATGATATATGGACTGGTTCCAGCCTAAGGGACGAAACTAAAGCTAAACAGCTCATGATATGGTCATGGGGTGTCCACCTGACGGGGCGGGCAGAAACCCCACTCTTCCGCCTATCAGTGCTTTGCGTATCAGCGTCATCATTGGAATCTCCATCTTGATACCAACTCATCCATCCCTTAGGATTTTCTTTCCTCTTGTTGAGCCACTCCGGTTGCGAATATCGGTCTTACATTTGGACTCTCTTCTGTGGACTACTATCGGTTGACCCGGAAGCTGTGTTCCTTCCTCCCCTCTTCACCTCGTGTCGCTCTCATACCCACCTACATAGTACTAGTAGCATCAATTATATCATCAAACTACTTACTGCCTGATCTACGAGATTTGAGGTTTCCAGCTTTCCACCTATCAACGAGCAGTTTTGCTTGAGTCATTTTCCAGATGCGTGCATTTGCTACGTAGCAGGATAGCATAAGCCAGTGGTTGTCGTGTTTCACTGCCTGACAGTGACCGTCCCTTACACTCAGGCTGACTTGATTGCATAAGGTACGCATTCCTTTCCCCTTTCCTGCCCCTCCTCTCATCTCCACCATCCACAGAGCACGCCTTGTTTTACTACCAGCAACATCCCCGACACCCCACAGCGTTTAAATAGCTGGTGGATGTTTTGGTACTACTTGCTGTACCAACTACTAAGGACTGGCGTTGTAGATTGCGTCGGGAATATTTGGCTTCCTCAATACTGGCTTTGGCTATACCTTATCTCCCTGGAACGGAGTTGTGCTGATCAAGCCAAGATGCCTGGCAGAAAGGGTATGTGGATTCTCCTTCAACTTTAGTCAACCATAGCTAGTGAATTTTGACTGGCTTATACCACTCTGCATTCTAGCCATCGTCAACCTTTACCCGCTTAACATATCGGACGTTCTTCCATATCGTTCCTTGACCTTCACGTCGGACTCCGATCATATCGAGGTTGGCCGCGCCTCGAAACGTGAGAGGAAGAACCTCATCCCTACCAACTATAATGGACTGTTTGACTCTCGCGTGATGTCACGGAATCATGCAACGTTACGTGTATGTTTTAACAACAAGGTACGCTAGCGGAGTGTCTCTAACAGGACCTATTGTTTTCTCGTATCCATCATGTGGACTGTGCTAATACTTTTGGCTTTAGACTCTCTATCTCAGTGACGGCAACTCTATGCACGGCACCTGGGTGAACGGCGAAAAGGTACGCGCTGGGGAGGACACTATACTTAGGAACGGCGATGAGGTGGTTTTTGGAACAGAAGTTGTCCGTGGCCATGGTGAGTCTGTTGTTCAAGTAGAGTTCAGAGACTTTCCTGACCTGGTTTCAAAAGAGACTTTTCCTCCACTCAAAGTTCGCTGTGAACACCAGTGGATAGATTCGGGGTATGCTACGCGCGTACAACTGATGTTGGGGTCCACTAACACAGCATATAGTGACGAGGTTGCCTTAGATATTAGTAACAACCACCAGCCGAACCGGGCAACTAATACGTTCTGTGTTCCTGACGACGACGACGATTATGACAATGAAGTGATTTATGATTCAATCCCGGCCCCAGTAGTGACGGCTGTTGAAAGTAGCTCTGAGTCAATAGACTCGGATCTTGGCTCGGATTCGGATGACGTCTCAGTCATGGAGATCTCCTCCCCAATTACTTCTCCGCCTAAAGGTGGTGACATCGTTGGATCACAGCAAAGTCCGATTGATGTCGACAGCGAACAAGCCGAACAGCCTCTTGCAACCCCAAGAATGACTCCGCCCTCAGCCGTTGATATCGCAGAAGGGGCCAGTAACAAGGTTCAAGAAAAAACCTCCTATGTCATTCATAACCCCAAAAATACAATAGTTCTAGTTTCTGAAGAACAATCGGTTGCTGAACCTAGTGACTGGGAGAGTGAAGATGACGACCAAGCTGATTCCATGGATGACTCAATGTCCGAGTCACAGTCGGCATATGATGGCGAAGAATCTGACCCAGATAGGTTTTCCGTGAGATTGAACCCTGATCCATACATGACTATCAATCAGGGTATACAGGCAGACACGACTTGTGGTGATTATGATACTTCGACTACGGATTCTTATTCGAAAGGCAAAAAAGCAGAGGCATGCACACCGGATCTCACCCGTCAGACCGCGGCCAGCTGCGGAATTGGTCCTCTCTTTAACAATACCTCTCCGAGTCTTAATGAACCGAGTACATCTTGGTCAGCCACTGCCAGAGATGACGCGAACTCCGGCCTCCCCTTACACCCGAGCGGAAAACTATTCGATCACTCTCTGGCCGGGTTCCATTGCGCTGCTTTCACACAGGCAATGGAGCCTTGGCAAGCACACGCTGCTCACGGTCCTGCCTACCCTTTTTCAGATCACTGCAGCCCACGCCCTCCTTACAAAGATGGCCCATTTGTCAACTCGCTGTCCCAGTTTGTTGATAGTAATCATCGAGATAACACTATTGTCCCTACCGCTACCGCCTCTGCTCTTGGTAACGAAAACATGCAGAGCCATTCTACTGATATTGAGATCCGTGGAACGGAGGCGGGTGACAACACCGACTTGAGTAATGTTGGCGTGCAATCTTCATCACTTCTAGAGAAAATACGTGGACCAGAGTGTGATACCTCTACATCATCCCATAATGACGTTGATCCGTCGTCGTCAAGGATCCCTGGGCAGGGACTCAAGAGGAAAGCAATGGATGCAGAGATAGATTCTCAGGATGAAGATAGCGTTGTTATCCATGATACCTACCCCTGTACTGAGAACGATTGCTCGGTGGATGAGAAACCTACAGTGGAAGAGGTTGATTCATGTCTTCCTGATGCCCAGCCGCAAATCACCGTATCCGAACTGGGAAACATACCATCACAACTCACTGAATTACCTGCCGCACACGCATCTCAATTGTCTGATAGCCATGCCCTTTCTATTCCAGACAGAGGAAGACCGTCGAAGAGGTTGAAGACCACTACAGCAGCAAGTTTCAAGAGTCATGCTGCTAGTGCTGCCCTGGGCGCAGTTGTCGGTGCAGTCGGTACTATAGCTATCCTTGCCTCGCTCCCTACGGATTACTTTGCTTAGAAACCCCGCTGGTTGCTTTGATACGAGTTGGGTCTTCTTGGCCATTGCATGACTTTTACGATTATGATACACTATCACTCAACTAGGAGTTTCTTTCGTTTGTGAGTTTAATGATTGGGAATGTTGTCTTTTGCTCTTAGGTATTATCGGTCAGGGTTAGGGTCAGGAGAGTTACAGGCTGGTGCATTCGTCTATATGATATTTTGACATGTTTCTCCTTTAGGCCAATAATAGCAATGAGTTCAGTACCTTCCATCAGATCTATTACTTTTGAACGTTGGACGCACCGTACTTTTGGCCGAGCTGCGCCGGTTGGTGAAGTAGCCTTCATCTTCCAGGGTTGGTCCTTTTGGACCTACTTTTGCTCATAGGTAACCCAGGATGCGTAGTCAAAGGCTGATTACGTGCTTACAGGAACCGATTGTTCCAAAATCCTTCTGGTTGTGCCAGCACCGAACCTTCTTTTTTCTCCGGTCTTCGGCAAGATATTGTGTTCGATCAACAGTGCTCGGCCGGTGTTGAATCAGCTGATAAATATAATGATCGGTGTGCGTCGCGAGTGTCTGCCGTGTTTCGCTTTCGTGGTGTGACAAGTGCCTTCCAGTGTTCATGCTCGAACAATCAAAGATGATGTGACAATGTTCTTTCCCCAGTCAACCGACTCCAGTTCCACTGTACTAACTGGTAGTCACTTGTACTCTGTATTCCGGGATACCATTCAGCCGCAGCTTAAGTGGCAGGCAACTCGGAAGTGCACACACGGAGAGCAGGATGGTGCATGCTTCGGGCCAGTTCCAGATTGCATACGCGCGTGATTTGTAGGCCCGGCTACTTGCATATATCTAGCCTCGTATACGCATGATATTTTACCCTTTTCAGATTTTGTTTGGCATTCCTCGTCATCAAGCCACACATGTTTGGCTGTCCAACGAACGCAATAAATTGAGCTGCCGACCCCGTTTCTAGTGTCCGAGCTCAGAAACACTAGGCAACTTTTGATTGTTTCCATATGTTCTGTTCTTTTCTTTGTCTTTTCTTTTCTTTTTTTCCTCCTGCAAGGACCGGATCTTGAATTTCAATAGCAGGCAAATCCCGTCTTCAAGAGGGTAAAGCCCCACGCAGACGACTGCAAGGTGACGAAGTCTTATCACTCTGCATCGTACAGGTAATCCGAGGACAGCCTCCTCGATGGCCTTGTTTCATCATTTTCCCAGGGACACCCTTTTAAATGTGACCAATAAACGATCACAGGCCATCCCGGTACTAGTAGGCATCATGAGCCTGATTGGTTTGAATAAGGATCCTTACTCGCCGAGCGCACAAGTCCACACCGAATCACTGAACCGTTGTGAAGCACCACATCAAATCTTTCCGGTTCCTATGTTAGGCGGCAGCGTGCAGATGAGGCATTCATATCTAGATAGAGCGCGGACATCTCGGCGCCGAGGAAACCACCATGAGGTTAACGTATGTTGATGCTGTACTCGAGCTTCGGGACAGTTCATATTTTCCGTTCCATTACCCGATGTTGTGACTGTTCCTCGCACAAGAGCCGATTGAGCAGGATTCTTACGATACTACTCCTGTACTCTTTTCTTTTTCTGTCTTTCTCGTTCTTAGATCTCGGCCTCTAGTCCAACCGGAGGTAGCACTTCCTCCGATATTGCAGCGCCAGCCGTTGTTGGCCTTTCTGTCACAGCACGACTGGGAATGGGGCGCGACTGCATTGCGTGGTTCTGCATTAGCAGTAGCCAAACATATCACTGGTTGGTGATCGAATGATTTTCCGATTCCTCATCAAGGAAACAGAGATATGCAGTTCTACTCTAAGGGCCTTGCCATATTACTGACTGGATGGTCTACCAACAATTGTTCAAGCTTGCGCATGATCAAATCCTGCGAACGTTGAGTGTGGACGGTTGATCACATCCACTACGAACGCCATCCGTTTGTGCCAACACATACTGACCGTTCGTCCAGCGTTACCACACCGTCTAGAGTTTCCGGTTGCTGATTAGACATCCCTATACCGAGGATGATTCCGAGGCTGCACGCCTTCCTGCACAAATCCGTGGGTAGCAGTGGCCTGAACACTTAAAAGCGACATACCGGCTGGTTTGAAGCGGTCAGTATGTATGTATGTACGTCCGTATGTATCTACTCAACCACTTTGTAAGTTGAGTAACACAACACTTTGTGGCTGCCATGCCTCTAGTTTAATGCCCGTCATATACACCCCACCTTCCATTGTCTTCGGCACTGACAAGCGCCTGTCGTCGTTTCTTTTCTTTTTGCTATTTGATGATTGATAGTTTCAATATCATGTTCGATGTGCCGCATTTATCCCAACCCGCCCTAGGCGCAGCTCGCAGGCACACCCTCGGTCCGGTTGATAATGTTCGGAATAACAACTATGGTTCTGACCCGGCTTAATGGGTCAAGAATGTCTCAAAGTTCCCACAGTCCGGCATGGCTCAAAATATCTGTTGGGTGTAGTCAACTTTTGCTTACTTACTGCATTCTAAGCTGGTTATGCAGCCATTTGATGACCCTGGACCATGCCGCATTGCCCGTATTCGTGTCATTGATATGGGTAGAATACCGACTTTACCGAAAACCAACATCCTCAATCACTGGGATCGATGTCCTGCTGATCCATTCAGAGTATCCTCCGACAAGAGGACGTTGGACAATGATTCCACATTGCCAATACGGATTCCACCAGCGTCCATTGACTCGAGACTTGGTAGGACAATCTCCCCGGCATAGTACTACGGTTCCAATATAGAGGACAAATAGCAATCGCCCCGTGCAAGGAGCAGCCTGGCTTCACTGCTGGCATCATCCTTCTGCCTTTGGCCTTGGCTTTTTATGAAATGGTATGCCGACAACCTCGATGCAAAAATATACCCCTCTGTCGGAAGAAGCGATTCAAAAGAGTATTTAAGTATGGACTCTCCCGCCAAATCGGCCAAACAACTTGTTCACTCTGACTGTCTCTATATTGCTTCTTCGCTGAGGGTTCCACCAGCATTTTGTTCAAACATGGCCCACCAGGCACGTTCAACAATCTACCTTGATCCAGAACACATATCCTGTACGGGTGGAGGACGAATAGCCCTGACATGCAGAAGTTGCGCAGGAAATCCTCGAAGGTTTGCTCCCCTCATTGTACCCAACCTTCTGATGTTAGCTTAAGGCTCCCCAGAGTTATGGATTGCAGTAGCTGCCAGGGCCTGGGCTTTAACACATTCGTCTGTGCGCACTGTAACCCTGAGGCAGCGGCAGGGACAGTACGAAGTGCAGTATCATCGCTGCATCATTCCACCCCCGAATCGTCACAGCCCAATTCTCCCACGTCGCTGAGCAGAAGTTCCTCTAGGTCTATGTCTTCGCAAAATAGCGGGCAGCAGAGATAAGGTTGAAACAGTTGGGAGTTGGCAATATTCATTATGAAACTGGAAGAGTGGATAGTGTACTGCAGCCTGGCGCTGCTCATATTCTGGCTTGGGGCCGAGGGGATCAATCCTTGCTTTCTGCCTACTGTTGGTTTTTGCAGGTGAACAGGAGCATTAGGGAAATGCCGGTCATGGAGGCAACATCTTAACTACCACATATTCTGTGAATATGTCTCTCCTTCTTTATTTTGCCATTTATTTTTCCATTCCCTCTTTTTTTCTCTCTCTTATTTTTGCATGTGTTGACTTACAACGTTCATGTATGGCTCCTATCTCCCAACCCTGGCAGATTGAGAACAATTGATGGCAATAAAAATATAAGGTCGCGTTATGTCAGGCTTCCCCGACTTCATTTCATATTCTCATCGATGCTCTACCGCTTATTTTAGGCTTTGAATACGTACATACGGCAAAGGAGAAAGTGGAGTAGAACATGACAACATACGAAATATTGAAGGCTTTCATTTAACACCCGCCAGCATCGGATATTCCGGTCGTTTGATTCGCGGCTTCTCCGAGTTCGGGGAACATGCGGGTGGACTAATTATGACGAATCCCCTCAATGATCTACATGTCCATCAGGTCGATCAATATGAAGCCCCCTTTTTCGCGACTGGAAGCCTTAGATTTCTAAACACTCTGCAGTTGATTTCAGAACTTTCATCTCATCTCATTATGGCTAGTATCTCATGGACGAAACTCCCCCCTCCGTCGAGGGTTCCCTACGCAATCCCTCAATTGGAGGGGGAGCGTATCACAATTCCTGGCAGTAAGGGGGTATTTCGCATTCTGGCATCTTCAAAGCAGACAGATGGCTTAATGGCTGTTTTCCAAAGTGGCGCAGTGCTGTCCGACGCACCGGGATTCCATTACCACAACCACGCCCACGACGTGTTTTTAGTTACGAAAGGCTATCTGAAGTTATGGAATGGAGATAAATGCCGCATCATGGGCCCAGGTGACTTTGCATATGTGCCGCCGGTACTTCACTTCCGCATATTCTGCATAGAAAGAGAAGCAAGATCTGACACATCGCTAGACAGTCGTTCATAATCCCGAAATGTTAGGTCCGCATACGGAAATCTACGGCCTGATCACACCCGGTGACTGGGTTGATTTCTTCCGACACGTCTCTGAGCCCTACGAAGGGCTACTTGTTCCCGAGAGTGACGACCGTGATTTAAAGTCCCTGTTGATACCCAAGGTTATGGCTGCGAAGGAAAAGTTTGATGTTGTTTTCCAACCAAACTACCAACCCCCAGATTTAGGAGACTGGACAAAAGATGATGAACGTCTCCCGGATTCCTCGCAGCCGTTTTACTTACGTGCCAACACCGGCCCAAGGTGGATGTTGGGAGGTGTTATGTCTCGGCCATTTATCACAACGACCCAGAGTGACGGGGTGTGCGCAATTTCAAGCATTGAATCATCCAACGAGTATGGCCCTTCACTACTATCAAAGGATATGACGTTCCAAAACGTGGATCACTGCTTGTGTATTCAAGAGGGAACCCTGGTCGTCCGTCTGAAGGGCGTACCGGATGCCGTCTTTCGTGAAGGCGAGACGGTGGTCATTCCAGCAGGGCAGACATTTGCTCTAGCTTTCAACAGCAGGTACGTGCGTGTCTGGTCTTTCACAGATGGCAATGGTATTGAGAGCCTGGTGCATCGGTTGGGGAAGCCATTTGAAGGCGTTGTTCTGCCTGATACGGAGTTGGAATGGGATTCGGCACAGGTCGGATCTGTTGCAAAGGAGCTCAATGTGGAAATCACCTTGTAATAGTTACTGTCACCGCCCATGTCTCCTTTCGCTAGTCAATACCCCGAATTCAATATAAATTACTCAAACAAATTAAAAAGTTAGGCCATAATAGTGTTTTAACTTCCCCGCGGGGCACCCCGCGGGGCTGTCATGTGACGGCTAGGCAGGTCGGCAGTTGAGTTGGTGTTCGGCAATTCCGATCATTTTTTTTGTCGCGTCGCATACTCTCTCTGTACGCTGTGTTTGTCCAGATGCACATCCCAGCATCATCACCCCATACATACATACGTACAACATATCTGGATGTAACGGATATGACTATAAATGGATGATGCAACGCCAGACGCAGCGATCGTCATCATCAATTCGTACCACAGTGGATGATTCTGGTCCACCAAGGGCGAAGCGGCCGCGTGCTGCTCAAGCCTGCGACAGGTGCAGACTAAAGAAATATAAATGCGATGAATCATACCCTTGCTCGCACTGTAAGAGTATGTCATCCATCTAGCCTCCTCTCAAGGAATAGATCTAACCTGCACAGAAAGCGGCATCAGTTGCGTATATCAAGGGAATTACCGACAGCGTGAAAATGACCGCTCAGTCAGGTGAGTTATCATTCCTGGTGTGCTGTGGTAACGTCTCTGATGGCGTTTATTAGCTATGTTTCCGATCTAGAGAAGAAAGTAGACGAGCTTTCCGCAAAGCTTCGGGTGGCTGAATCTGAGATTGCTTCGCAGCGCTCTCCTCAGTCTCAGAGAGAAGCGACAGCCCCTGAAACCAGACAGGTGCCCCATTCCATAATAGATGCGACCCCATGTTCTATGCCTCGACATGGCTCGACTCCAAGAGAAGAGATACCACTGTCCTACGACAACCATGATGAGGCCGGGGACTCCGTGGAGGATGAAATCAGCGAGCTTAACCACCATACCAATGGTATCGAGTTCCACGGTAGCACATCGTCAACTGCATTAATAGGTCATCTTCAAAAGAGACATGAGCCCAGACGAACTCAAGAGCGACATAGTCTCAGTGGTGTGCCGGAGTATTCTATAGTCTCGACACTACATAATTCAAGCTTCTCACCCTCATACACGGCTGGTCCAGCGCAACCCGCAGCACTTCATGAACATAACTACTACTTTGAGCAGGCTCATGCATTTATGAACGGATATTTCGAGAACATCCACTTTATTCATCCTCTGATTGACAAAGAGGACTTCTGCCTGCGAGCCCATGATCTGTGGTTCAACCGAACTAAACAACCAGAACCAAGTTTTGTCGCGTTGTATCTGAGCATTCTCTCATTTGGTGCCTTGGTTCGTGTTTGGGATGAGGAGCGACTGGGAGGATTAACTCGTTTCGAGTGGAGCCGGAAGTTGTTCGGTGAAGCTCAAGTCTATCTGAACTATTTGCAGTTTTCGAATAATCTGGACACAGTCCAGTGCTTGTACCTCATGGTATGCATGGCTTCTATCTATTCACAGACACACACACACACACACACACACACACACACACACAATTTGGCTAACGTGGATAGGCTAAAATTTGCCAAAACGAGCTCAACCCGAACTGTCAGTTATCCTATCCTTATGGTAATATCGTATTGCTAATGTCTGGTAGTGGCTTATATGTACTTGGGCCTTGCTATACGCACCTGTCTAGCTGCTGGTTTCAACAGGGAAGTGCGTAACTCCACAGAGCAACGGGCGGGTTGGATCTCGAAGACTTGGTGGTAGGTACACCTAGAATTATTCGGTATCGCCAGTGCTAATGATCTACAGGGGTCTATTCTCTCTCGAGATGTGAGTCCTTTCTGAAGTTGTAAATCTCTGTGATGTATACTTATGAAGCAGTGAGATGAGCTTTTCTGTTGGCCGTCCCGACACTCTAGGAATGGATGAATACCACAATCGAGCTCTACCGGAAAGAGACGATTCCGAATACGCCATCATACCATGGATGGTTGATTTTGCACAAATGATTCGAAAGGTGTCTGTGCAAATCTATCATTCACGCATCACTTTGCAGGATAAATTGCAGGTTGCGCTGCAAATCGAGGCTGAGTTGGATCGATGGATGTTGAGACTCCCTGAAAGAATTAAGCCGGATGTCCTGAGACAACGAGCATCTAGCGGTGCACTGCGAGACCCAAAGTGGGCTCGCCGGCAACGGTTAGTCTTGGGCATTCGTAAGTCATCCACCGTGAACAATTCGAAAGTCACGACTAATCCAGATAGGCTATTATAACGTCAAGATGCTCCTGTTTCGTCCATTCCTGAGTCACTTTACACGCAAATTAAGACACCCACCGATCGAGCTGGAACAGGCTATCGGGAAGTGTCTCGATGCTGCGATGAAAACAATTGAAGTCATCTACGATATCTACCGAGTCCACACGTTCTTTCGGTGCTGGTATGTTCTACCCATGATATTCTCAGATTTCCTTCCACCCTAATCTTATTTCATAGGTGGTATAACACAACGTACGTGATGTTCGCCACATCAACACTGTTACTCCCCATGATTAAGCTTGGCATGTGCCCTGAAACTATCCCATGGCGACGATCCGTGGAGAGGGCGCTGGAAATCTTGGAAGCAATGGATGAATCTGTCGTGGCACGGAAGTCCGTTGATCTTATCAAGCGTTATCTCAGGGAATTTAGCTTGTCGGACGCCCAATCAAGTATGGCGAACATTGAGGGAAGTGTTCCGGCATATGCAGCGGAGACTCCTAGTCAGGGTACATTTGACATACCGGTATGTGACTTTTGTTTCTCTATTCAATGCCTTCGGAACCTAACGGCAACGTGACAGGAATGGGCTCATGGCTTTGGATTTCCGGATTGTTCGTTTGAAGGAATCGCGCGGCTCTTCGATGATATAGGGGGACTGCCTATGTTAGACAATTGATTGTAAAATAATGTTATTCGTAGCTAAATATTTCGATTTTGTACATACGCCACCCCAAATCGCCCATACATTTATCTACGACCGGAACTCACAATGTCAAAATCCCTATAAATCTAGCACATCAAATTGACCATACATACGCACATCTCAAAATATCAAAAAGAAAACAGATCTAAAGATTCGCCTTCTTCTTCAAAAATAACTCTGGATTCTGCACAACAGCCTTCTCCACCTCCTGCAGCGCATCGTACCCATACAACCAGGGCTGCACCTCAGGACACGTCCTATACACATACCCATCAGCACCAGGCCAACGACCACAAAACACTCAGAAGAAAAAGGGAAAAGTAACTCACCATCGACTAGGAAACGCCCCCTTAATTTCCTTCCCCAACTGTGACAAGAAAATCTCATCTCTCTTTTCCTGCTCGGGTCCGTTGTACATGTGGAAATCGTTTCTCTACAGTGATTCGTTAGTTTTAATTTTTCCCATGAGCCAAGTAAAGATTAAAGGGGAGAAGATAGAGCAAGAGAGACATAGGCCTTACCTGTTTAAACGTCTCCTTAACAATCGCCTCCCCTCTAGACTTCCTCAAACTCTCGTATAAGCGGAGAATCTCTGGAAGTTGTGATTTACTCTTCATGTGGCCTAGGAGGCCGCCGAGGACGGCACCGTCCTCGAGGGAGGAGTTTGCACCTTGGGCTAGGTAGGGGAGCATTGGGTGGCAGGAGTCGCCGCTGGGATTATTAGTTAGAATTGCTGAGAGAGATAGGTTAAATAAAGAGGTGTGGGGAAAAGAGCGTACATAAAGACGAGGTTGGATTTGTCGTTAATCCAGGATTCCATTTCGCCATCTGTATCAAATGATTAGCAAAACACCCAATGAAAGGGGGGGGGAAACAACAATGGAAGAAGGGACATACGATGCATCAGCTTCCACTTATCGACCGTGTCGACATAACTAAGGAACTGGTTCAACCTAGACGGACCATGTCAGTCAAATTCCCTTTCCCAGGAGAAGGAAGAAACATACACAGGATCCCATCCCTCAAAGAGCGCCTTCATCTCCTCCACACTCCCCTCCTGCCTCGATACTCCGGGGGGTAAATTATCTGGCACAAGAAGCACAATATTAAACATGTTTCCTCCACGCAACGAATAAGCCACCGCATGCGCCCCGGGCCCAACCCAGAAATGACACTCCGGGTTCTCAACCCATGCCCTCAGTTTTGGATCCGTGATCTCCTCAGCCCTGAGCACAATGCGATATGCCAAATCACCCGTCGGCAGAGGATCGTCCTTCCTGCCCTCGAAACACTCCCGACATTTTGACCACAGCCCGTCCGCCGCGACGATCAGATCGCCACTGTAAGTCTTCCCGGAGAGTGTGTAGACAGTGGTGGAGTCGAAATCGAGGCGATCGACCCGCTCGTTGAGGTGGAATTTCACGCCGAGGTCTTGCGCGCGGGTGAAGAGCGCTTGTTGGAGGTCGACGCGGTGGAGATCGATGAAGGGGGCTTGGTATTTTGAGCGGATGTTGGTATGGAATTGGTCTTCGTGGGCGAGGATTTGACCGGTGTATTTATGGACGGTTAGGGCTGTTGGTTCGGCGGCGGATTTCCAGAGAGATGATGGGAGGCGCCAGTGGTTGAAGAGGCGGGAGGCGTTGGGGGTTATTTGGAGGCCCGCGCCGACCTGGATATTATTATTAGCTTTTGGAGCTTCTATATCGGGGAGGTTATGAAAGTGGATCTGGGGAGGGGGAGGCGCGTGGCGTATATTGTATGTGTATGTGTATGTACCTCGGCCAGTTCCTTTGCTTGCTCAATAACTTCGACTGTATGGCCGGATGTAGCGCAGGATATAGCTGTCGCGAGGCCACTGAGGCCTGCGCCGACTATGATAATGTGAAGGTGGGCGTCTTCCGGGACCTTTCCATTAAGTTAGCCTTTTTTTTTTTTTTTTTTTTTGGTATTCTCTATGTTTAACCGGACGACGCGATGAACTTACCATGGTTGTTTCCTCCTTGCGCGGCTTTCCTCCCGATAACCTAGTTAAAAGACGATAAATGTAGTCGAACATTGAGATGCGCTGCTTACTAGGATTTTCAAATTGATTTGCACATAACAGCCAGCGCAAGGGGGCAAATGAAGCTCAAATACGAGCAATCCGGCATCCAATCAGACGATCGTGAAGGCATTACCGGGGTCGGAATTGCCGACGCTATCGGATATTCCACGGCTGGGCAGAACCTGGCGGCTGTTTTTGACATCTTTTAGTTAGGTTTTGATTGGGCTAGACAAGGAGGATCCTATCTGAGGTTGATATGGGGCCCCGGGCTAATTTGGAGCTGGTGGTTAGGGCGTTGGTCTGAGCTTTTGGGGTACATACATGATACATGTGTCATGTATAGCTTATCAGTTTCCGTGGTGAGTTTTTGGGCTACATGGTTTTTATTGGATTGAGGTACATTCTTTATATAATACATAATCTTAGGATTTTTTATAGAGCTGTTACTTTATTGTGGTGTGTTCTCATTTTCTGCTTGAAAAACCTAGTCTTGGTAGTATTGCAAATGCTTCATAGCTATGTGGTTGTTTCATAAAATAGACCATCACAAAGCTTCTGATATCCGAGCCCTATCAGCAGGTACAGACAGGCAATAGTCCGAGCCTCTCGGCAGATCCGAGTCATAGGTCTACACATGCGAATTACACCATAGCTCTCGACAGTGGTGACCATTGATCGTACGGTCCAGTGGCGAATTCTCCACAGGCAATTTCATGGGTAAACCAATGCCGGGTGGATCTGGGTTGACACAATATGCTCGGGTATATCGGCATTTATGGAGAGTGGGCCAGCCGGCAAGATGGAAGTCAACATATCATGGACGCTTCATTTGGCACGATCTAGTATCTCATATGCTCACTATATACAATCTATTGCATAACATCATCTAATATCAACATCGGTACACCCTAGAGAGCCGACTTCTCCCACGTAATGTCCTTCCCCACTATTCCCTCCACAGCGGGAATCAACGGCCGCAGGGCATATCCGTAGTCACCTCCATTAGGCGTGCGCAGCAAAGTATGAATGTGGAACTTCTTCGGCTCTTCATTGTTCAAAAAGACGCCAGAGTGGTGATCAAACTCAACGAGGATAATAGGGCTCTGAATCCGATAGTAGAACGGATCCTCATCGCCAAAACCACCAATCCAGGAGAAATATGTCTCGGACTCGAATTGCCGGATGTGATCCAACTTCATCTTCCGGGACCGCTCGGGAAGGTAGAGTAGATACTGCTCCAAGATACCGTAAAGCAACTTCTTCTGCTCCTCGTTGAGCGATGAAGCGAGGATACCCTCGTACGGAACCTCTCGGTTGTCCCGATACGCACCACACACATGCCGCTGATCATCCTTGTTCCAGCGACCAGGTGGCATTGCGGGGTCATGCATATCAGCGTACACGCGAGCCTCCCGCCGGAGATCTGGACTGAGCGACTGCATAAGTCGGAGACCGAGTTCCTCCTCCACCTGCATAATGCGGGTGCCTGCATACGGACCGGAGTCGATCTCATTGGGTTCTGCGCCCGTGAACCACGGCGAGGCGACGATCTGGCCCTTGTACAAGAACACATTTAGACAGAGATGGTGGCCGTAGAATGACCAGCCCCAGGGTCTAGTGGTGGAGGGGCGTCCGAACAGGACGAAGTTGTAGGAGAACTCGTTCATCACCTTTGGTGATTCGACGAGCTCGCCGAGGAAGTGGTTGATGCGCATAGCTTTAATGGCTTTGTCGTAGCCTTCTGGTGATAACGTGGCCCTGAGCACATTGAGAATTGTGTCGCGGGTTTCGGTGTTGACTTCATCGAGACGGAGACCTTTGTGGCTGAGGAGGAATTCGGGGTTTGACCATGTGCGCCATTCGGGAGAGTCGATGTGATATGAGAGTGCTTGGCGTTGTTTGTCGTCTACTATGGAGAGTAGCGACTCAACTGCGCTTACTATTTTGCCGATGGGAATGTCTTCATCTTGTAATGTGAAGAGCCCGGGTCGGACATTTCCTTGTCGAATATTAGTAACAGAATAGCAATTGCGGGAAAGGATATACCATACCATCAGTTGTGACACCCTTAAATGGCTCCTGCAACAAATCCAGCCAGTGCATGTACAGCGCATGCAACCATGGTGGGTTGTGGAGTGTCTTGAAATCATGGGCATATTCATGCGCATCTTGAGTGCGCATTACCTGGAAGCGTTTCAGGCTCAGGTCGGGTAGATATTGGCGGTACTCGCCCGTAGGCTTGTCTGATTGCGCGCGTGTCATGTTGGATAGCAATTGAAGTAGATTTGACTGGTTGAAGAAAGTTGGAGAAGAGGAGGGGCGCTACGTTTTAAATGCAGCTTATTTATACTTGGATTTTTATTTCCCCATATCGGATGATCCCCCGTGGCGTTCTCTCCACACCTTCCCCACAACTGCGCTGTGGAGAGCGGCAAACTCCTTACCCGTCGGCCGTTGATTCCATTTCAAGAAAAAGCAAACGTACTACGGATTCCTAATTCCTGGGGTTGGACCTGTGGGGTGATGTTGCTAGGGCTTACGCATATTATGGTGAAGGCCCCCCTCGGTAGTTCTACCGATTCACGTATAATGCTATATCCATCTTGTGGTTCACGTCATTTTCCTTGGTTAGTATAGGTCCAAGTACCGTCTTTGGTGTTAGCACTCTGATAAGCTTTTCCATGATGCACAGCAGCATCAATTGAAAGTTTGATCAGGTTGTTCTACTGCCCTTCTTATAACTTTTTGCTATTGGTATCAGTTACTTGAGATGTGTCTTCCATGCGATGTCTAACGCAAAAAAATAAAAACAAAAAAAATGACAGTTGATAAATACAAGCAGCAATAACTGAATGTCCAGCTAGCGCCGAATATTCTACCTGTCTGTCTTTCTCATGCCGAGGGAGTCGCACTTCGTGACCCGACATTCTATCTATTCACCCAAACTCTAGGAAAGCAGACCAACTAACAAGTAAGTATGAAACAATGAAGGAAGCCCTTGCACAGACTTTGTATGCTTACTCCAGCTGACCAGCGGCCTGCTGGGGATTTGATCAACGCCGCATTCCGATTCCTCTGGAGGCATTTGCATTGTACACTGAACTGCCTTCTATCTCGATCACTCCTCATGACCGTCAGAGTCGCTGTCGTCGTTATCTGCCAGCTGCGCATTTCTTGACACGACTACCTTGGAATACCCTAGTTGAGCCTGAGCACCATATTCAAATAACAGCATTTCAACCTCGTGGTGACCTTTCCTCTTCGCCCACTCGAGGCTTGTTATTCCATGGCAATCTTTTAAGTTCGGGTCTGCACCTGCATCAAGTAGCATCTGGACCACTGCCTGCTGCCCTCTGTATGACGCGACTGTAAGGGCAGTGGCATCGTGCCGGCCACCAGGGGAGTCCAAATTGATGCCGCTTTTTATAAGCCTTTCCACGACGAGCGTCATCCCAAATGAAGCCGCATAGTACAGTGGCTCTGTGGACCAAGCCTCTTCAGTAGCAGCCTCGGGGATCAAGACCTGGACCCAGGATCTAAAGTTACCGCCACTGTGTAGAGCACATGTTGCGAAGAAGGCCATTATCTCGTCCAATTCAGAGTCCTCAAGCGCGAAACCAGCAGGAGCATGCAATCCACAATACTGTCCCCAGGTCATGGAGGCATAGTTCAACAGTGGAAACTCCTTCAGACGCCTTCTAAGGGCATGTCGGCTTCGGCATGGTTTCTGGAATGAATCAAACATCAAGTACGTCAAGCATTTCTGAAAGATACATCGTGTAGCCTCAACCTCCTGCAAACTGTAGTATCCGGCAGGGCCTTGTCTGATAGCGTCGGATGTAAGGAATGCTTTGACCGAGGAGTGGGCTAATGTTATAACCGAAGTCACCTCATCATACGCTACTAGTCCCTGGCATATCTTCAGGATGACTGTGGGTGAATATAGCCTGCATTCGTCGTCTAGAAATTTATCTCCCTTGACGATGACCACAGCTTCGCTCAATGCCGACAAAGTTATTGGTTGCCGGCTAAATGTAAGCCAGAGAAGTATATCTCTTGCTAGTTCACGGCTATACGGGGGAATCTGTCCAAGAATCACTTCGTACGTTCCGTTTAAGCTTTCTGGCAATGTCGCGAGCGCCTTCCGGACACCTCGACCGGTTGCTTGGGCGCTGAGCAGGTCAATCTGACACTGAACGTATCGAAACCTACGTTGGCGGTTAGTTGAAAATGCAACTTATTTACATTATGAATTCCGATGGTCGCGCTTACATTCCGTTGGCCTTGGTTATAAGTGTGGTAGTTATATCTCGTTTGGTGTGTGGAGGGAGATAACGAAGGCTTGGTCGTGTCTCCAACTGCGCGTTTACGAAATCCTGAATGTCGTTCTGATTTGAAGATGGTTTCATTTGTGCTCTCAGGAGGTCATCCTTACTCAGTGTCACTGAAGCTGCAGTACTGGTAGCCATCACATGTATCTGATATTCAGATTCTGCGAGGGTTAGCAATGTCCCTATAATGTCTTCACACTCATCGCTCTCATTAACAGCATCGACAAAGATATACAGCCGCTTTAGCTCACGCGCATAATTGCGAAGTATCTGGAGAAGTGTATTCGGAGAAGGAAGTGACTTCTTCCTAAAGTCAGGCTCCAGTACGTCAAGGGCTTGTGGAAAGCGATCGGAAAGCTGCGCGAGTAAAGCACCGAGAACATGAACCAGCTTCTGGGAAGCACTGAGCTGAAACGAGCAGTACGTAAATAGTGCTAAGCTGAAGTCTGTGCTTTGGGTGGCCTTCCTTGCCTCTTCTATAGCAGTCGAACTGTAGCCAGTGCATGTTAACGACTGTATAAGATATGAAATTATTCCAAGAGTCGAGCATACCAGAGAACTGTTTTTCCAGAGCCAGCTAAACGAATGGTTAGTACGTAGATTTAGTGAATCATCGGGAAGCCAAAGCTTACATTTGCCCTCAAGATAGAGCACCCGAGACTTCTCCTGTCCGCGAAACCATCGTTGAAAAGGACCATCGATAAACCAAGATCCAGTGCCAGCCTGGCATACAGACCGTGCTTTGCGATGACTTGTTTCCACATCAAACGGACATATCCATTCCCTTATCTTCTGACGCAGGTCCTCTATGAAAGAAGCTGTTAGATGGTGCTCGAAAAATTTGAAAAGAGACGATTATCCTAAAGCTCAAATCGAATAGGAATGGAAGTTCTTTTAATATCTCACTTTGACTATCTTGTCTCATCAGCGTTCCCAGGTCCGTCAAGTAGTTAATTGACGATAGGACCTCCTTGTCCATTGCCCTGATGATATAATTAGCCCCAGTCCCAGAAATTTATAGAATGGGGAAACATACGAGTTCTCATTCACCATAACCAAGATAAAATAACTTTTGAGCCGCTCAAGTTGGACGATGCTATCTTGAAGCTTCTCTTTCTTCCCGGGCCATCCTAACTGCTTAAAGAATGACTTTCCTCGTGCTTGTCTTTTCATCAAATCGTCAAGGATATCTTTCAAGATGCCGTTCGCACTAAGCAAGGCGTGTCGAAACGATTCTGACGAAAGCGATTGTGCAGACTTGGGATCCTGTATGTCCAGGGTACCTTGCATTTCTCTACTCATTTGCTCAAGAACTGCCTTTAGAGCGAAAAGCTCGCCAAATAATTCTCGGATCTCATTGTCGGCATTCTTGACCTCCTTGCAATATCTATATACCTGGCCCGCAGTTTCTATAACTTGAAGAATCAATCCGGTTATTGCGAGGGGGTCCGCCATTCCAGCCTGCCCGGTAACACCTGTCTGTTCGAAGATGAGGCTCAGTGCTTCTTGTGTAGTTTCTAGCGTAGATTTGAAAGCAATCATAGAGGGGGTTCGGATGTTTGAATGTCGGGAAGTCGTCGCGAAAAGTGTCCAGCTGCACCGATTACCTCCAAGATAGCTGGGCGTTGATTGAAAATTTTGCTGAAGTGATCAAAGAATTGAATTGCTTATGCGGGGCAAAGGTGATCAATTTTAAGTCCCGTTCTGATTGGTGTTGGTAAAGATATACTAATAAATAAGCCCGCATTTCTTGGAGATGCACAGCCTTACCGCCCATACGAGAACTGAAGATTTGGTACCTATTTCACGAGAAATGCATAATCGCCATGTTATTGTCTGAATATATGGTCTGCCCCTAGAATTCCAAGTTTCTTTCGGTAGGAAGCGCCTGCTGCGTCTGGTATGGAGCCTACAGTTTATTTGAGAATTTCCAATGAGCCAAATAGCCCCGCAAGAGAAAGAAGTCAAAGATTCAATGCCTACCAAGACACCCCTCCAGTCTCTCCATTCTCACTTCAATAATGGACAAAGCAGTCATCATAAGACGCTCTTATTACTCAGTATGCTCCTTCTCTAGGTGAATATGTCTGCCCAGCGACCAATACCGGCTTCCTATATCCACTCTGCACAACAGCCTTGCTCTGTATTTGGATCCCGTTTAACTTTGCCCCATTTTCTTCCAGGGCCCAGAAGGTAATAGCGAGGTAATTCTCTCCGTGATGATTGAGGATGCCTTCCGATATAGGGTATTCAGTCTGAGGGCCGATATTATTTACTGTATCCAGGTTAGTTGGCTTATGGCTTCAAAATTAATACATGTGTACATGTGGGAGCAGAAAAAATATGGATTCACAGTACTGCTTTGGTGAGTGGACAGGATGGTGACATACTATACTTCCCAAACTACCACCCATTGACAAATAGTTTGGATCTGAAAAGCCCCCGACTTGTCGTTTGTGTCAACAGATTGAACACTACACTGGTGGGGATGTCATATCCTTGCGGGTAGTCAAGTGAGAATGTGGTCGCGAAAAGGCCAACTCCGGCTGCTGAGAGGCCTTCCTGTGGGGTCCGGGCCTGCCATCCTGCTTTAGTCGAATTCAGGGCCCCTGGAAGATGGTAGCCCTGCCTCTCCACAAAAACAGACCCTTCGTTCAAGGGACCACGGCCGTGGTCGCGATACTGCTCCCCGCCGAGGTTACCAGTGATTTTCCACGAGACGTCAGATTTCGAGTCATGGCTGGATAGATCATAATCTAGGAGGCCGCGCGGCGATTTCATGGTGTTGGTATTCAATACTGAGCCGGCATGATAACCGTAGTCGCTAGAGTATGAGAGGTTGGAGTGGTCAGATTACGAGGGTTGTTGGATGAAGTGCGATTGCACGATGTCCAGAGATCGTCGTCATATATAGGTTGGATTTCCGGTAGCGAATCAATGCATCCCCATTCCAGACTGTCCAGTTCTGGTAAGGCTATTTTCGGGTCTATATACGGTACCACTCCACTCACCCTATCATTTGTATTGCTGATGTTTTGAAGATGGTTTCCGTTAAACAGCACGTCCGAACAGCAACCTGGAGGGGCTGAGATAACCCCGACGGTCGATGTTGTGTTGATATCGCCCGTCAAATGTAGGGCGCTCCCTGAAATAGAAGCATTGCGTAATAGATACCCACTCTTGACAATCACAGATGAGTTTGTTCGTGATGGAGAGAAGCATACAGGCCCAATGGATCAGAAGCAGGGAGGTCCATAACCCAGTATCGATAGGCCTCGTTCCACCAAAGTACATAAACGTTCAGATGCTCTCCAAAATGTACGACTTGTCGAAAAGGTATGACATCCCACTGCATGACAAATATTGTCCCCTTTTTCCCAACCCTGACATTAGAGCCTTCGATGATTGTTGCATTCCCGATGCTGCTATCCACCGCGAACTCATAGGTCTCGCCTTCGCCACCGTACAGGACGAGGACAGACTTAGACCCATGCCTTCTCCAGGTGAAGATTTCCGCAGTTGAATAGACCAGGATGACGACTCCTAAATCATAGCCTGTAACATGGAATCTGGAGTCACGTCCATGGAGAGTCAAAAAACCTCCCAGTTGAGGGACTGTGATATTCCCCTGGCTCGTATTAACCTGCCATTTGTAGGATGTTGACTGCTTGATGATATAGTTTGAATGGCGTATGATGTAGGAATTGGTTTTTGCTCCTTGAAGGCGAGTTGTCATTAACACGCTTGTATTCGTATAGCAGCCACTATAGGAACTCGAGTGATCTGTCGGTCCTCCATGATAGGTGCGCCGACATCGTAAGAAGTATACCCAGATGAATATCCCAAATTACCCCAGTTAGTGCCGCCAAGCATCTGGGAGAGTCAGTCAAGTTATGGAACAGAACGGCTGAACTGACAAACCATGTAAAGGTTGAAAATAGTGATGCGGAAACCGTAATTAATCTTGTAAAATACTCTTGCAAAGATGTTACTTACCATCTCGGCGCAGACATCAACGCCCGTGTCACCCCTATACAAATGGTAAATCATTGCTGGCTGCCGCAATAATGAAATTGTGTGTCACATACCATTGATCTGGAGCACCTCCCTGGAGCTCGATGAGGGAAAACGGGGTCCCAAAACTCATAGACTGATGCTGGGTAAAGTTGTACTGTGTCAAGGGTCTGTAATCTGTGTCCAATTCTCTGGACTCGCATCTACAATGTATCAGCTGCATCAACGATAAAGCCCAAATGCTTAACATGCACCCGTTGCCCCATCCAAAGGGATAATTGTCAAACCCATAGATATCAACAGCCCCTTTACCAGTCCCAGGTGCCCAATTACCCAGAGCTACGGCGTCGTTGTTGACAAACGGCACAACAACCCCTGCATCTCTAAATTGTTGTTTAATGGCTGCCATGTAGTTTTTCTCGAGACAAAAGTTAAGATCCTCATCACTGGGGGCTCCTTCACACACCGAGTATTCGTTCTCTGGCTGGAACAAGATAACCGGTCCTCCATTGGTGATCTGCGCTTTGCTAATGAGTCCACCAATGGTGGATATATAATTCTCTATAGCATTTAAAAAAGATGGGTCAGTTGTTCGAACACTGCCCTCGATCCGTTGGACCCAACCGGGGAAGCCACCACCAGAGACCTCGGCATTGATATACGGTCCGGGCCTAGCAAGGATGAAATTCGCCGGAGAAAAAAAGCATGCGTTCCCCGCGAACCAGAATAGAATATTCATCCCATGTTACAATATCCTGGAGGGGCTTCTCCGGTTAATTGTAGAAAGAGATATCTAGAGCTAGTTCATGTCGATTTGCGGGGGGGTTCTGTGCAATGATGTCAACCCTCATGGTTTGTAGGCTTTTATCCAGCTTGCCACACGTATGCGGGGAAGTCATGGGGTGTGATGGAGAGGAAGAGGACTCTGGAGATCTACGATAAGAGAGTGTTGATCATTCAGTCCTGGAAAAGCACCTATGGGGTGCGATGAAACCTAAATATACGTTTTCGATGTCGGATAATTCTTTTGTCATGCTCCTCTCTACATCCATATACAACAAAGCCTCCATACAGATGTAGTTCTGGCTTTCGGATATAAGCCGATCGATGAGTGCGAGACTCGGAGATGGAGTAAGGAATGCCCTGTGTGTGTGTGTGTGTGTGTGTGTGTGTGTGTGTCTGTGTGTGTCTGTGGTGAGAATTAAGGGATCTCTGCAGTTCTCCGCAAAGTGTCACATATTTTCGAAGACATCCAACATCTCCAGTTCTGGGGTAACAACTGTAGAGCCACGTCAATAGGTTGCTGCTCCTGGTTAATTTGATGGACTACCCGTTGTACTACGCTGCATCACGTCTGTGAGATGTCTTCGAGGACAGGCAAGGTATGGACATCCACTTGTCTAGTTAGATAGAACTTCCCCCCTCGACTCCTGGTACACAAAGCAACAACCATTGATTAAAATGCTTAGGTATGTACCCCTATCAAACACTGTCAACTTTGTCCCATATCGGGGCCACAACGTCCCACGCCAAATGCTCTCTCAGCACCTTCAGAAGCCCACTATGTCCTGCCGGGAACTTAAAGCATTCCAAGATGTGCTGATCTGGACGGACCAGTATAGAATACCCATCGTACAACTTTGTGAGTTGAACCCAGTCTTCGCTATTTCTGCCAGGTTGAAGGTCAAAATCCGAGCCTCGAATAACCAAGCGAATTCTCAATTTATTTGATATATCTGCAGGAAGACATTCGCGCATCTCCTTCAGGGCTTGTTTCCAATGTAGAGCCGTACCCTGGTCCGCAATCAAAGTAAAGGCATCGAATGTGCAGAGATCCAGCGTCGAGTATCGTTTCAATTGAACTTCCTCCGACGAGAGCTCGGCCACGTAGGATGAATCAATCGGAGGTAACGCTATTTCCTCTCGTGCGTAAAGTCTAACCCAAGCATGAGGCAGGCGTCCCCCACGAATACAGACTGGACGGTAGATTGATGCACTCTCAGGGACCCGGTGAACGCCGTAAGTGTAGCCTATATGGAGACCTAAATTATCAAAATGCTCTCGTTGGTTCTCAATACCTTGGTTGATTTCTTTCATCGCATGAGGGTCTTCGATGTTCCGGTACAAATTTCGCCTTGCTACATCCACATTCAGGTCAGTGGTCCCAAAAGCTCTTAACAGCCCGAATATCTGCTTCTCATTCTTAACGCTCTGATGTGAGTTTACCGTTGCCACGTGTCGCCGGTCGAACTCGTAGCTGTCCAGGAGTGAGTCCCCGCCAAGTCCACGAAGCACTGCTGCTAATTTGTATGCGAGGTTGTGCACATCGCCCAAGCCACTGTTCAACCCGAGGCCTCCAGTCGGAGGGAAGGAATGAGCAGCATCCCCAGCTCTGCCAGTAGTATTATTAGAAGGTGCCAAACAAGCAACCCTATGGTACTTACAAGAAGACCCGATTGACTCTGTACGATTTGGCTACTTTTCTATCCAGAATCCAGGGTCGGTAGCTGAGCACATCATAAGGGATATTAGTGCCTATGGCAGCGTTGACCACCTTGTGACAAAGTGCCTCATTCCACGACTCAACTGGATGTGTGATGCTCTACATAACGGGCGGTCCTGTCAGTGTATAACATCGAAGATGGATCTAGTATGCCTTTTGCACATACATCGAAGTTACATATTAGTACTTGATTCCCTGATAGATCGTAGCCTATTATAAAGCCAGATACTTCGGGATCTATCACCCAATGCAGCATGCCCACCCGTTCTTTAATAACGGGACCCATGTCAGCATTGATATGTATGGTCATCATAGTTTCGTCTAGATATATTGTCAACGGTTCCTTAGAGCTCCGAGCTTCTTGGTTTGAACTCACATGAATCTCCTCCCTCACTCTCTATACCTAGGAACCTCCTAACGGCACTCTTCGCCCCGTCGCAACCCACTAAGTAAGAGCATCTCACAGTATACACTCGCTGGGTGGAGCGAACCTCAATGCTAACCAGAACACAATCACTACGCTTGAACCCACGGAGATACCAAGTCAGGTCTGTCTACAGACTATTCGGGGAAGGGTGATCTTCATATGTGTACATTTTCCAACTGAACAAAAGAATGGTTTTTGCGCACTTCCACAAGGCCATGGTTTGACAATTCTCGAGCAACCAGATCCTCGAATTCCGGCTGGGGAATGTTGTGTATCATCTAAGTCAGCGTTAGCGTTCATATATAATGGCACAAGACTAAACACTGAGACACATATTACGAACCGTAGGCGTGTCATTCAAGACCCCAGCGTCCATCCGCTCATATGGAAGTCTACCGACAAGCTTCCCGCTCAAACTAGTAACGAAGTTTACCCAGTGAGCGTCTTCACGATTTGCCCCAATGCTGCGGATCTTGTTGACATCCAACCCGAATTGGCGGCATAGCTCCAGTGATCTGGGTGACAGTGCGTGGGCCTTTGGTGCATCTAGTCTAGTGGGATAGCGTTCGACGATCAATGTCCGGACTTAATTAAGAGGGTTAGTGCCGTACACAATAATGATTGGTGCTAGAGTAGAGATAATTAATTACCTCCGAGCCGCGCGAGCATAAACGCGAGTAAGAGACCACAGGGGCCACTTCCTATGATTAAGATAGGGACATCATCATGGGTGACTATATTTTGAATGGGGGACATTCTCCAACGATTTTTGGGTAATTGAATGACGGCCCGAAGATATGGTGAACCGATGTCGTTCTTTCAAGGTTTACATACCTTGCTATTAGATTAGCAGCTAATTCCCTCAGAAGTCCGACGTTTGCCTCTCACAATTTATGAGGAGCGAGTCATTTTCAGAATTCCTGAATTTACCTACCTATCAGAAATTCGCATTCCTTGATATCCCCTGCATAGAGATTCCCCACTCAGGGTGGGAAGGGCGAGTGGGGAAGTCGGAAATAATGCATTCGATGAAGAAACCCCATGGAGCTCAGCCAGCATTATATAAGTACTTTAGCGAGATATTGAAGACAGTGGGAACGCGTTGATTTGAAACCATAGTCTGGTATGATAAGTAGACAATAATATTACGAACAGTATGTAAAATCGGCTGCTTATATATTCAAAAACCTGCAACTTCTTTTGTCGACCGACTTTTTGTCCGCTGACATGCAACAACTCAAGCAAAGGCAGGAAAGTAGAATAGTTAAAGAATCAGAACGCCGCGCCAGATGCACCGATTTCCCCTAGTACGCCGATCAATTAATCCCAATATCAGGACCACCGGCAATCTAGCTTGCCACCGCTAATTGTGCCACGAGATCAGAGGCAACATCAAGGAACGGATAAGGGCTAGTTATCTCTTTTTCCTTGTTCCGGAATCTTTTGCTAATAGGATGCCATTCGGTATCGCTCTCCGCGCGAATCACGTTCTGGTATCCATCACACTTGAAGTCCACCATGTAGTTATTTTCCTCCAGTTGATACAACTGGATATCGACGAAGACCCAGACACCGTAAGCAACACGCGGAATTGAATGATGTTGCGAAGCGGAGGAAGGGCCTGATGTGCTCCAATGTTCATTGGGGCTGTGGCTTTTCTCATCCACTGAGGATGGCCCACCGGTCAAATTGAACCTCCGACGAAGTTCGCTGATATCACTCCTGCTGCTATGCACGCTGCCAGACGAGCCAGGTGCTTTGACGCCTTCTTTCAAGAGACGGGCCCGTATGAACCACGGATCCTTTGGGATGTAGTAGTCCGAAGGTAGATCCGGATACTTGCTTTGGAGCGGTGTGGGTTCATCTGGAGACTGAGAACCTATTTGAGTACCTTGACAACATGATTAGTTTAGACTAAACCAAAGCTTTGAGCTACAGACGAACTAACCTGACTCGGCTGGAAGGATTTCCCATCGTCCTCTCTGCGCTGCAATAGCTTTATAGAGATAAAGCATTGCCTCGTATGGTTGGTTACGAGACCGGATCCCAAATTGCCATTTCCGAGTTTTCCTGGGTTGATGCGGGGCATTACGAACTTCGGGTGGTTCGAGGCGCAGCTTGTCTAGATCGACGATGCTGCGAGAATGAGGCTTCAGGGCCTTGGCTGTTGCCTCCTGTTCATCTAAAGAACGCCCATCAAGGCCAGACCGATGTGGATCTTCATGGGCATCCAAGCCTGACCGAGCTTGCTCTTCCGCCAGACGGTCTGCAGCGCGAGCTCTCCGTTCCCGCTCGCGTTGCTCCATCAGTTGGTCATGGACGTAAGGTAAACTAGTTGGCAAAATCCTAACATGGCTTACGCGTGATGTTTCCAGGTCATCCGAATCACTTGGCTGATGTAATTGGAACGGCTGGCGCTGTGAACCACTTCGAGTTCTGGTAGGCGGCCCGGCCGGAGCTCCTTGTGAGTGAGCAGCAGTAGTCCGGCCAGCTGCTGCCGACGAGTGTGATGTCCGATCCGAAGGTGGCAGGGGTGCAGAGGGCATCAAATTCTCATCAGTAGGCGCTAGGGCAAAATATTAGCATACTACCGTCACTCAAGCAGCCTCTATCGATATCCGGATTCTGGGAGAGAAGAGGGGGTAGAGAATATCTCTCAAAACTCACAGTTAGTTTGCATCATCTCATTTTCTACGATGATAAAGAAGGCATCTTTGATTGCACTGGGTTCAGGATTTTTCAGGGCGTCCTCAATATCCTCACGACCATATCCCATATTTCGTTCCAACTTGGCGATGGCAACCTGGTGAATTTTGTGTTGTACTGATATCGGCTTCCCGGGCGCAATTTTGCGTGGATCGATGGCCTTGTTAGGATCCACGCCTGTTGCAATAAATTCCTCAGGCGGCGGCTGAAGATATTTCGGAAGATCCTTTTGGAACCATGGGTCCTGGCGAATTTCAGGAATTGTAAGTCTATGAACTGGGTGCACCTGTAGCATTGACCTAATTAGCCGGGCGGCTCCGGAAGATATATAAGGAGGCATATGGAAATTGCCAGCGGCAATTTTCTTGAAAAGCGCCGGAATATAATCATCGTCGAATGGAAGCCGTCCCACTAAAAGCACGTAGAGAATGACTCCACAGCTCCAGACATCCACCTCAGGCCCCGCGTAAAGCTTCCCGGAAATGACTTCAGGTGCTGCATAGTTCGGGCTACCACAGCTGGTCTTGAGGAAGTTCCCATCTGTCATAATGTTGCTCAACCCGAAATCAGCGATTTTGACGTTCTTTTCACTATCAATGAGCAAGTTCTCAGGCTTCAGATCCCGATGAACGATCTTATGGCGGTGGCAGTATTCCACAGCACAAATTATCTGCTGGAAGAACTTGCGAGCTTCGGCGTCATTGCATCTGCCCCTCTTCACCAGGTAATCGAAAAGTTCACGTTCCGCATATTCTAGGACCATGACAATGTCGGTTTTAGTTGCAATGACGGTGTATCTGTCATAGACATGAGCCGGTCAGCTATTTAGTTCGCTCGTGGCTAACTTGCTAACTTCCAAGAAGGGGTATGGACTATACAGCTTGATAATGTGCGGATGTCGCAACAATTGAAGGTACTGGATTTCACGTTCAACACGCCCAACCATGTCCCTCGACAGCAGCTTGCGACGAGATATGATCTTCAGAGCGACCTGACGACCGCTAGGTTGGTGAATAGCCAACTTGACTTTACCAAAAGAACCCTCGCCTAGAACCTTCACGGTTTGATACTGATCGAGGCGCTGCATGTCCCTCGTGGTCGCAGGGGACTGCATTGACGGATCACCGCCCCTTCCGATAGGCCGTGATGGCGGGGGCATTGTCATACCAGCGAAATTCGAATTGGGAGGAGTCGCTCCAGGAGCACGTTCACGACGGCGATCGCGGTCGTATGATGGAAGGGGGACCGAAAGGTCTTCGTCATCGAAAGCGGCGGCCATCCCAACGGACAGCAGCGGTTCGGCAGGGTCGGGGAGAACAACGTGACGTGATGGATTTTGAGTGGTTCTCGGGGGTGAACTCCGACCGTATGAAATATTTGAGGAAAACCGAATGGGAGAAAATTCAAATTGTCAAATGATGCGTCGCGGGGCCCAGGTACACTTAAATCGGATTCGATGGACGCCAATTAGAAACAAAATCGAAACCGACACAGAACAGTTTCTCCCCCACAGCAGCTCAGGGTTGGTGAAAGTGGAGCGCTGGAGAGAGCCGACAACGCAGAAAGAGCCTGACCTCTGGCGGGGCGGGATGGAGGGGCGGAAGGCCAGTCACATAGACACGGGAGCGAAGTCGGACGCTGGAAACGATTATATTTGTATCGGGAATTGGGTTGATTCTTCAGGCGAAAGGAAGACAAAAAGAAACGAATCAAGAGTAGGATGGCTGGTGAGAATTGGTGGGATTGCGATAAATGAGGAGTAGTTCAATGGCCTGGATTATCAGGTTATTATCTTACCGGCTAATTTGGGAGACGCTATGAACCTGGGAAAAACAATAGTTTAAGAGTCTAGAACCTCGATCTGTATCCAGAACGTCGTAAATCCCCTCTTTTTTTTATGGATCTTGGTAATTTCACCTTTTCCCTTAATAACTATCTTCTTATACAACATTGGCTTTCGTATGTGTGGTTTGGAGTACCGAGGAAATTCACTATGTATTTCGTAGTAGATCACGCTTATACTATCAGTATTTTTAGAACAAAATTTAACGGTCCCCGTGACTATACTTCATCAGGGCTCAATTTTAAAGTAGCAATTTGCGAAGGAAACATTGATATTCTCAAGAGTCTAAAACTCACTTACTGACTCTTGATAATTGTTAATATCAACGCTATGTGGTTGAGTACTGTACTGTCCATATACACCAGCTTTTTGTCATGCAGGAGACATTGAATGTTGATGATTTACCCTGAACCGGAAAAGCGACGCTCTCTAGTTCTTGGCAGCCGCATGTCATGTGGTGGGGAAGCTCAAGCGGTTCAAACAATTAACCTTCATGCTTTGGGTTTCTTTTGCACCCCTTGTGCTCAGGAAGAGAGGCTGTGCCTGTTTCTATCATTAATTCTTCAAGCCTCATTGTTGCATTTATTTCTCTTCTTCAAACCTGTCATATCTGTGCTGCTGGTCAATAGCGCAGAGCTCCATCATGGCATCTGAACCAACAGAGGAAGCCGTTGCGAACTTTGTGAGCTTCACAAGCACAAGTCGCGAACAGGCAATCAGCTTCCTTAAAGTTAGTATTGAGTCGCACCTGTTCTTCCTTTACCAGAATTTCCGTCATTCTTCACTATGGTTCGCGTGCTAATGTATCATCTACCCCAGGCCAATGACCTCAACTCAAATAAAGCCATCAATGCTTACTTCGAAGATCCCACGGGTCCGCAGACACAGGTATCATTCCCATTTTTCTTTCCAGGTGCATTTCGTTTCACTTGGTATTTTTGCTGACCAGAATCGTTCTCTTTATAGGCCTCGAATTACCTGAATGATCCAAACATACCCTGTGCGTCCAACCCCGGTTTGACGCGGACCACATACATTTGCTTACTGATTGTCTGCCATTCGCAGCGTTTCATATCGAACACTCGGACCCAGTGACCAGCTCAATTCCTCCCTCACGCCCACCGACCACATTAGGCGAGCAAGCACAAGGACCTGAGTATCAACAGGCGACCCCTCCGCCTTCGCAGAACGCTACGGGTGAGACCACCTCACTGCGAAATTGTACCAAGCTCACTAACTTCGATCTTACCGGGCTATGGCAGATCCCAACAAAGGATTATCACTTGCTGAGCAGGAAGAGCGTGAGCTACAACAAGCAGTGGCCATGTCCTTGAACCAAAACCTTGGACAACAAGAGACAGGTGTTACAACTTCAAACAAGTCGAACTTTGGCCGGGCCACCCGTGACTTTTATGATGAAGGTGCATGGGCAATGACTTTATTTAATTCAAGCGCTCGCGAAATCATCATCAGTCCAAATCCGGGGGACCGTAAGAGAGTGGAAGGCGAACCAACATTTCTGCGTCCATCAGAAGACAGTCTATATCTAGGCGGGCTGTTGACCATCCTTCACTCTATACCCCTGGCTCGGGAAGCTCTCCTACAGAGAAATAGGATCCTCTCGAACTATGGGCACGACCCGCAGTGGTGGAACGGACAGACTATAAACCTTCCAAAAATAGTTACAATTCAGGATGCGCACGATGGCGACACGGATTGGGATGATATCATCTACGAAACGCAGAGGCTAGTCGCCTTTCTAGATATTACGGAACGCTCCTTTGGTAGCGTGGATGCTCTTGCAAGTTTAAAGAGCATGTCTACATACGACTCGGAAGGCAGCATAGGCAGGTTTTTGGAAACATGGCAAGATGCCGCTGTCCGAGCAGATCCTGGGAATCAGTTGGCGACTGTTTTCTCGTCGAAGGCATATAAACGACCTCTAACCGTTTATGACACACCTATACACAAAGATTTCTTTATCCTTGAATCATTCGTGGATCCCGAGCATGGTCAAACCCTCTATGACGTCTTGGATCGCGCCATTTGGTCAGACAGGCCTGGTGAAGAGCTCGACGATGTATGGTTGGAGCATGTAGGGGAGATATTCACTATCAAGCTGGAAAGCACCGACAGTACAAAACCTGTTGATGTGAAGATCCCTGCGGTCTTCTACCCTGATCGATATCTCGCCGACTCCAGGGACTTCTCTCGCGACTTTCGTGCCCAAAGACTCCATGAATATGACGGGATATTCAAAATAGAGAACCTAATCGACCGCTTTTCGGCGTCAAAGTCTGCCATGCACAGTAAAGGGATGACTCTGAAGGAAACGCTAGAGAAGGCTGCTTCGGCTGTCTCCGTAACATTGCCCAAGAGCCTTGCAAACGGCGCAAATGGGTTGTCTTTGAGCCCAGAGGCGGCAAACGCGGAGGCGAAACGTTTAGCAGATGAACTGCGAGAAGTCTCCAGTAAGATTGATGATAAGCTGAAAGGTAAACCTTCCGTTTTCGAAATCGTGCTTTTGGGTACTAATGCTACCTTTAACAGAGCTGGTTCAAAGAAGAGAGAGCGCTATTGAGACCCTTCGAAGCTACACAAAGATCTTGACTGAGCCGTCGGACATCTCAGGGAAAACACCTCATTATAAATATACCCTGCGTGGCGTGTGTACTGAACCACACGTAACTTACGTATTAAGACCTAGCAGCCATACGAAGATGGCGGACACCGAACCTACAGCCGTCGATGAATGGCAGTGGTGGCGGATCAGCTTTTCAACAGATGACACAAAAGCTCGGCAAGCAGAGTCACAGCAGAGTGATGCATCCACTTCCAAGAATGCAGATGTTATTGGATATACGGCGCGCAAAGTTCGAGAAATCGAAGTCCTTAAAGCGGCTCGTGAAGAATCCAAAAATGCTTTGCTCATCTACGCTAATAGCAATGCGATGAATTTCCGAGAGGAGCCAATTCCACCTCCACTCCAGGTATGTCTGCTTATCTCTATAATTAAAACTTAAGCTAACGGGTCTAGGAATTTGTCAATGCAGACAATGCAGCATTTGACGTTGAGTTCAAAGAACAAGACCGGGCGGAAGATGCATCTGGCAGGCAGAATGAGGACTTGAACTCTGCCACTCGCCAGGATGAGAGCACAGAAATAAATGAAATAACCCACGATGATCAGCGAGTAACCACCTCGGCCGCTGCAAATGTGAACGTGTTCGACTATCAAGTTTCAAGCTTCAGTGACGCGGTGGAGTCCGGCCAGGAAATGCAGGAAAGGGGAGGGCGAGCTCTGCTAGGTCAGGGTAGTACAGCAGGTCCTGTACAATATTCGCCGGGTACCAGTACCGCATGGAACCAGTAATGGTAAAAGTGCGACGACGATGTAGCTGCTATGTATCACCAGTGTCTATATGTTGGGAGCGATACATACGAAGTATTAAGGATACATATTTTGCAATATACCAAGTACAGAACTCAAGTACGCCGGTTCAAATGTAAACCACCTTTATATCTCCACTTGAGTTAAAGCTGCAGAATATCAGCAGGATTCATTAGGTTTATCAATGTTCCCATGCCCCGCGTTGTCGTCTACATAAATCAATCTACAACGACTGTTCATAAACAGTACAACATCCCCACACAGTCCCCTATTCGGCATGTTTGTATGCCATGTTTGCATCCAAACCCCAACGTAGGTTTGATTTAACGATGACGCTCAGTTTCCATAGATTACTACTACACATATACAATGACTCTCGAGAACGAGGCAGTAGCCGGGGCGACAATTGAATTGCTCGAATCTCGCCTACGGCGACTCACCTACCTTCTCACAGGCGACGCAAATTGGACAGGTGTTCCCACCGCACCCGCGAAACCAGCTTCTCTCGATGACAGTGTCTCGCGTCGTCTTCTCTGCCTAGAGCGAGAGCTCGAGAGACTTAGTCGAAACATTCCCGCGGTGCGGGATGTACTTCTTCTCCGTACGTGAACTCATCATACTATCATTGTACGCACAAACTAATATACCGTTCTAGATGATCGCTTCCCCGACCTCTTTCGCCCAACACCACCGCAAACCCTCCCCGAGAACTTGACAACCCAGAATCTCGCCTCAATTGTGTTATCGTATGCTTCCGCATTTCCAGAGACCGCCTCGCGACTCACGTCATTGAACGATCTGCCGATCCCGGATACGCAGACATCGGCCTCCCTCATCCAGCTTCAGCCGCGATTGGATCAATTGGCGCAGGTGCAGGAGGAACAAGCGAAGCAGATCTCAGAACTACGTGTACGGACAGCGCGAGCTTTACAGCGGTGGTATGAGGTTGCTTTGGTTGGGGGTGGCGAATGCTGGGCGGAATGGGAAGGGCGCCTTGAGGATGTTGAGCGGGAAGTGAAAAGGGAGGAAGTGATGAGGCAGCGGAGGGCGAAAGAACTCTGAGCGACTTGATGATGATTTTGGTCTTGTGCGTTACGACTTGTGATACCTCATAGCTTACATTTTTCGTACTTTGGATCGATGCAGCACCTAGTTTACTGTCGTGGATTCTCACGTAATCTCCGGGATATTAGAAAGAACGAAACTATGACTATGTGACCAAAATTACCACATAAGCTGTCCTGGTCTAGAAGAAGGCCGCAACCCCTGCAGAGAGCGCAAGGTACAGACACCCATTGCAGATGGCAAAACTAGGCCGATCGAAAAGAATTGTTCAGGACTGATGTTGACTCACGACAAAACAAGGCAGGGGGTTTGTGCATGACCGCTTACTTTTCTACACATACTCACGATCAGCATGCACGATTCTTCGGAACTACAATAAGATGACGGTGCAAGGCACATAGGAAGCCCATGGTCATCATATGGACCCTTGCATGCTTCCGGAGCTCGGAGAAGTTGGGATCTTGCCGAAATTATCGTTATAGAGTGGGTATTGAATTTTATACCTCGCCTCGGTTGCAATTTCCCCATCTCTTGGCTAATAAGCGTTGTGCATAATTGTTAAATTAAAACGACCAGTGTATCTGCACATTGGGGTCTGCAAGTATTGCCTATCGGACCAAGAGTTGCAACAGGGTCTTTGGATCCACGGCATGGATGGGTCTAGGTTCAGACAGAAAAAAATAGGTTATCTTCGAGTGTAGGGTTCTGCGACTACATGGAATATAGTTTTTTGGGGCGTTGCTTGATAAGAGCGAACGGATGCGGGTCTGGCACTGGCCCATCCATTACTGGAAACAAGGAAAACCAATGGATAGAAAGTAACAAAATTTCTCTGCATTTTCCCATTTCTCTGCATCTTTACTCCACCCAAAAAAAAAAAAAAAGCCTTACAGTTGCCTTCTTCATGTGAATACGTAGCCCTACTTTTGTGGTGTTCCCTTTTCGTTTTCCGGATCCCGACTATAGGACCTCATTAATTAGCAATTTAGTGTAGTAAGTGTAGGGATCAATAGTATGGTAATGAAAACTGAAGGATTTCCCAAAACCTACTCATGCAGATTACAAGCAACGTCCCATAAATCAGGATCCATTCGTGGATATGAAATTTGGACACCATGTTGATCCTTTACTCTTTTATGATGCCGTCAAGCCACTCATGCCACACATTTCAGCCTCAGCCCTGGCCAGAATTTAATGAGAGGAATCCACTCTCCGCACTAACAGTTATTAAAGCAAAGACCGAGTTGCGTGTCGTCCATCGCAAGCGGAGAAGGGGGATCCATTCGGACAGGTTTAAATCAAGATCTCATTTCGATCTTTGAGTGCCATGGGTCTAATCATACTATATGGTAATAATGATAGGCAGCGCCATTTAATTGTCATTCGGAGAGTTCAGTCGACGGGGACTTGTAACAATGAGGGTGTACGTGGGGACAAGATGATAGGCTATGAGGGAATAGAATTCTTTGGCCGTGTGTTACCAAGAAAATTATAACGTATACTAGTAAGTACTCCATACATAGGTAAGTAATTGTAAGAACTAGAAAAAAAAAATTCCATACTGTGTCATCGCGTACTACTTAGTACTAATGTTCATAATCTGCATAAGAATAGTAACGACAGAAACTTAGTTAGGGTGAGGACCAGTCGTTATGCGTTCTCGATCTTCTAGGCCAGGGGCCAAACCAGGAACAGCAACCAATCAAGTGGAGTCCGTGTGTTTGTGGAAACGGGGTTCGCGTGGACGCTTCAACACCAGTGGGTGTGAAACCTGCCAAGCCGTACTCTAGCGTCGTAGTATCTCTGCCTTGCTGCCTCAGTGTCCAGTCCACATTCTTTCCCCTCCCGTCCCATCTTCTCTCCTTTTCCCGACTGGACGAAGTAATCGACTTGTTCAACGTTTTGTACTTCACTTTCCCCATCTTTGTTTCCTTTTCTATCACTCCTTCACTCACCAGTCGCTTTTACGTGATCGACTTTTCACTCGTTTCCACTCTTTTCCCCTCTCTTTCGCCGTCATCCCTTCTAACGTTTCATCTTGATCTTTCCTTCCTCCAGCCAGGTGCTGTTGTTTATTTGCTGCCTGCAAGGGGCATTCTTGTTTCCAAACTTCCCTTAACCAACCTCTCAAGGAACGCGCTCTTTGGACTCTTGATTGTTGTCTCAGAATATAGTGCTCCTTGAATTTTTTTTTTTTTTTATCTTTTAACTTTACCTTGACCAGCCTCCTTGTCAATATTCTTGCTTTACCTCCAAGGTACGATCATGCATTTGCGCTGACTGACCGCCTCTGTTCTTCTATATTATTTTATTCTTATTTTTTTTTCTTTTTTTTTTTTATCACGAGTTACTGGTTCGTGTTGTTGTCATTCACGATGTTTTTGATCCACCGCCAATTGATCTACATGTTCTCTGTCCTTCGCGTCTATAACTAAACAACGAAACTAACCGCTTGATAGTAACACGCTGACTTCATCGATAAATGTCATATATTGTCATAAGCCACAACTGATATTTCCTGGGAACCTTACTCGGGTCATTTGATCTTGTTTAAAGAAAGCAAAGGACAGATTATAAAGTCATCACGATTATACAGCTAAGGACGGGATATACCTCTTCGGCCACTTAGTTGAACGGAGTATACCGACGGCAAATAACCAGTCTCAACGCCCTATATATTCTCTTTCGCCCTTTTACCACATTCATGGTGGCTTACTCCACGCATTCCTCATCTCTACATAAGCCGAGCCCTTATAACGAAAGTCCTCGAAAAATGGCGAGATTCCGTCCAAGCAATATCCTCGGCGACCCGTTCGCGCTTGCAACGATATCCATTTCGATAGTACGTGTCTCAGGCAGCGGAGTGATCCAGTCTCGGTGGTTGATGCTAATGGGGTCTCATTTGTAGCTGGCATGGGTCATTGCATTCATATCGTCGATTGTCTCGGCTATTAATGCCCGTGGCTATCCTACCTATTCGTGGTGGGGAGTCGCTTATTCGCTATGCATTATTCTTGGAATGACGTTCGTGTTTGGCACGGACACCGGTTCCGTCTACGGTGTAGCTGTATGGTTTTCCTGGTACCTTTTATGCACATGAGCCAAAGCTAATCTACAATAGATTGTGGGGTATCTTTCCGCTGGCATGGTGATCACAACGCTTGGTGTGAATTCGTTGGTATATCGCAGCGATTCTGCGTCGCAAGCTGCAGGTGCCGGATTTATCCTCATGTCTATGGTGATAGTGAGTCTCACTACAGTTTCAAGGTATCGAATATAACTCACGGGTTGAATAGGTTATCTGGATATTCTATTTCGGATCGACGCCTCAAGCCTCGCATCGTGGATTCATTGATTCGTTCGCTCTTCAGAAGGAACATGCCGGAGCATATGGAAACGGCAGGCCTATGTCTACGGCTTTCGGAAACCGACCTGAAACGACTTCCAGTCAGGCACCTCAAATGTATACATCGGCACAGCTCAATGGCTTTGAGACGTCATCGCCCGTATCGGGCTACCCAGGTGGTGCCCCCGGTTCGGAAAACCGCAGCTCATCGCAACCTCGATTTGGCAATCCTTCGAACGCCAACTTGCCTGGTAATAGCAACGAGAACGAGGTTCCTCAACCAACCGAATACCCGTACCGGGCAAAGGCAATCTATTCGTATGATGCCAACCCAGAAGACGCCAATGAGATCAGCTTTACCAAACATGAGATATTGGAAGTGTCCGATGTTAGCGGCAGGTGGTGGCAGGCCAGGAAATCCAATGGAGACACAGGTATTGCTCCATCGAATTATTTGATCTTGTTGTGATCTGGATGGAGCTTCCCTGTGTAACGCTTTCTTTCTTCTCTTTTTGGTTTTTTCATGGTCCTCGCCATTTTGTTGCGAGTAAAATTATCTTTGATACCCTTCGAGTAGTATCACTCGGCGCGAGTCTGGTTTGCGAAGTTACGTTACGTCTTGATGGCTTTTTCTTGTTTCAACAATCCTTGGTCGGTACTTTCTTTTCGTTTTGTAAAGCGCATGTTCGGTTATCGATCTCTTTGTCGGAGCTTCTTTGAGCGAGCATCTGCGCGCTGATACATTATGCTTTATAAGTTTCATATGTCATGTTCCGGACATAACTCATTACATGCTTCGATGTTTATTTATGTTGGATTAGAATGGTTAAGCTTTTCTTGGGTGTTTGAAACCAAGGCTTTGTTCCAGCCTTAAGCAATAAAGACGAGTGTAGCTTCTGACTCTTCTGAGCGTAGCAAGGATCCAATCCGCTTACCAGCGTGTGTAGGATAACACAATGCCAAACAGCGCAAGCGAAATATAGTGCAGAAGAAAAAGGACGTTGGTGCTTCATACCCTGAAGCATGTCGTCGAGGTTGTAGTAAAACTACGATCTTCTTTTGATCTTGTGTCAGCAGTTGCCACGTGCGCCAAATGCCGGGGATTTGTATCTCCAAAGCTTCGCTCGAGTCGACATCTAGAAATGAAAAGCTTACCTGCTGATCATGCTACAATACTATATTGTCTTTATATTTTGCATCTCCACCTTGGCCGATATCACTTTAAGGCGAATGGCCTTCAGTTTGTGACCAACAAACCTTGATAGTTCATTAGTGGTTGATCAGGAGGTCCTCAGCCGTTCGGCCTCTCATGTGGTTAACCTGTCTCGTCTTAGTCGCGAAGTTTGAGTCTTTTCCGGTGTCCCGCATTTTCCATTAGGATTTGGTAGAGAGTGAAAAGTCGGATATCGTAGAGTATAGATTGGACATGTGATAGGCCTGGATCTACCAAAACCTTATCCGGAGCTTCAGCAATTTTATGGAAGTATAAATGTAATCACTCCGAACGGACATCCTCGAATGTGCATTCTTCTATCGAGCCATGAGAACAAATGGAATGTAATTGCAATGGTTCGGTACCATCTTATCGATCAATTGGAATTCTACGAGGAGTCCGTGCACTTCTTCCGATGGTTTTATGAAACCTCCCTGACTTAATATAGATAGTGTCAGAGACTAGCTACGATTCTAAACTAGTTAGTTCCCTTAGGTACTACGGTACATGCATAAAACGCTGACATGTCAACGCTGCATGCACCATCGAAATGAGGCGACGACCGCCGAAATCTCTTTCCCAATAATCTTTGCTCTTGTCGGGTTTCCCTTCGCTTCTGCTCTCATTGACAAGTCTCACTTCGCCGGGGGCTCTTTGCGGCCCAAGCGTTGGGTCTTTCAGGAGAGATTGACTGGATTTACGCCCTCCTCCTATTATCATCCGATATTATTATTACTATTACGGAGTACTATTTACTATTATTATACTACAAGGTACGGGGAATCGTACGGGTTAAAATCCCTGGACTTAAGGTAAGGTAATTCCCCGTGACTGCTGAAGCAATTGCCTTGTCGAGTAACCAGACAACAACTACCGGGGTCGTTCGACGACTGAACTTCCCCTCAACCTCTCTCCGTTCCCTCTTTTGCCCTCGTTTCTCTGTTTCTCTTTCTTTTCCTTTTCCTTTTCCTTTTCTTTTTCTTCTTATTCTTCTTCTTCTTTTGCTTCCTTTTGATTTTCCATCTCGGAGGAGAACAGTGGAAAGAAAGACTTATAAGATAGTTCGACTTGCGTTCATTCCTGTTTCTCTCCTATAAAAGAGATGAGGAGCTCAATCGTCCGCGCTGCCCTTCCACTCACCCCGTCCATCACCGCACGGTGTGCCACAGTTATAGTTGTCGTTGTCATTGCTGGTGATGGTCTTAGTCTCTCGCCGTCTTGACCATTTCAAGCGTGAGGGATAATGGAGGTGACAGTATAGTGACCACTCATTCATCTGATACACTCCTTTACATTCTGTTTCCTGGCCTGTTTTGTTCGGTTCCCTTTTTTCCCTCTCTTTTTTCTTTCTCATTTTTTCTAAAAACAAAAATTATTTTTTTTCTGGTCCCTGATTGTAATAAGCTATCGTGGTTGAGGCTCAGCCATGTCGACGACCAATTCCTGGAGCAAGTTTAAAGCCAAAGTGCTGCGGCGATCGTCAACTGTCAAGGCGGCCACTGGGGCGGAACCTTTCCTCGTGCCAAATTCCAGTACCGCCAACTCCAACTCCTTATCGCCAGTGCCTTTGCGCTCTCCCCTCACGTCCGACAAGGGCTTCGCTCAACCCCGTTCGTATAATTCTGTCTCTTCGCTGTCTACTGCTCAGCGTTCAATCTCGGACGATACCTCCGCTCCCCCCGCGAGTCCATCGGCAGAACGGGGGCGGTATTACGGTTCCGTTGACGAAGGCTCGGTAGGGAAATCACATTCTCCTCGGGAAGAAGAACCATCACGACTACGCAAGAAGACCCGAGCTCTGGGACCATTGAATCAAGATCCCCTAGCTCCCACCCCAGGGCCACAGGAGCGACAACTATCCGAGTCGAATCTCGATCGCGTCCGCGCTGTAACCGACCGTCATAGCTTGCCCCCGGACTTTCTTAAATCCCCACCACGGTTGCTTGGTTCGAACGAGCTACTACAACAGCTACCTTTTGCTTCAACAGCGACCCCGCCTCTGCCGACTTCGGGCAGTGGAGCGTCTCAGGCTGCGTACAACCAAGGGCGGGACCGTACAGGGTCTACGGTCGGCGAAACCCAGTTACCTACACCCCTGACTGCTGTTGCGGAGAATCCTTCCGCTGCACCCCATAACCAAGCACCTATCTCCAGTACCGTTTCAATCCCAAAACGTCCTAGCCTTGGCTCACGTCGTCAATCGCTTTTTGCCCCGTCTCATCAGCACTTGATTAGCGATCTACTCGAGCAGCCGAGAACCTCCCTAGAAAACGACGGTAGTGGCCGCCTTACCACCGGTACTGCTGGGATGCAACAACGCAAGATCTGGGTTAGACGGCCAGGGGGCTCGGCCACTTTGGTGCCGACCGCACATGATGCTCTTGTTGACGAGCTACGCGATCAGGTAATCATGAAATACGCCAACTCGCTGGGCAAGACGTTCGACGCACCCGATATCGTCGTTCGCATCGCTGCTCGGGAAGGGCCGAACAAACAGGACACCCCGGATCGGATGCTAAGTCCAGAAGAGCCATTGGTCACAGTGGTGGACTCTTATTTTCCAGGCGGCCAAACGATAGAGGAGGCCCTGATTATCGACATACCGCCACGACGAACGCCGAAACCGTCACCGCGTCATTCGATCTACTATGAGCAAACTGAACCGGGCGAACACAACGAATATTTCCCTCTCATGCCGATTCATCCCAATATTCCGACCCCGCCAGCCCATGCATCCAATTCTTCGGGCAGTGCCAGTGCCCATCCGGCCCCGTCAATAAGTATCCTCACGACCGGGATGGCACCGCCATTACCTTCTCCAGGGAGCCGGGGCAATCGCCATACCCGCCGGCCTCCTCTTACTCGGCATACTACAAATTCGCCCACCGTATTAGGGCAATCAGCCAGCTCCAAGGGTTAGTGATCTAATATTTAACGAACCTAACCGGCTTGGGGTTCACTTTGAAGACGTGTAACTGACTGCTTATAGATGCTGGGGCCCAACAGACTGCCATACCTCCGCAGCCGGCTCCACAAGTCCCTACGCCACCTGTCCCGCCTCCGGAGTCACCTCAGAATAAATCGATGACACCTCCTGCACGCGGGGCATCACCTCGCCCTCGCCAGTCGGGAAAACCCAAAAAGAGCCCTGTGCAGTCATTGAGTGCAGCGTTCGGAGGGCTCATCGAGGGCACTGTGCCACCAATCAATGTTCTCATCGTTGAAGATAACGTCATTAACCAGAGGTTGTTAGAGGCCTTCATGAAGCGTCTTAGCGTGCGCTGGAAATGCGCCGCAAATGGTGAAGAAGCGGTCAAGAGGTGGCGGGAAGGGGGCTTTCACCTTGTCTTGATGGATATCCAATTGCCCGTTATGAACGGCTTAGATGCGACGAAAGAAATTCGCCGGCTTGAGCGGTTGAACGGAATAGGTGTTTTCCCCAAGACGGCGTCCGGACGATCAAGCGCTGCAAGTGCCACCGCAATGACCCCACCGGAAATAGACCCCGAAACCCATGATTCTCTGAAAGAGGAGGACGTATTGCATGACCTTTCGTTGTTCAAAAGTCCTGTCATCATTGTCGCGTTAACTGCCAGCAGTCTGCAAAGTGACCGACATGAAGCATTGGCTGCAGGCTGCAATGACTTCTTGACCAAGGTACGCCTTATTGTAAATGTCTTGCGTGTGACTAAAGCTGATACGTTTATAGCCTGTGCGTTTCGAATGGCTGGAGCAGAAGGTGACGGAATGGGGATGTATGCAGGCTCTGATTGACTTTGAAGGCTGGCGCAAATGGCGAGGGTATGCGACTGATAACCAGTCATCAGCGACACCTACACATGCACAGTTGGAAAACGGACGTATGACAAATAAATCTTCTTCCTTGCCGGATTCATCTTTCCAAGACACGGCATCCCAGTTTTTGCATCTTCCCAAACCATCGGATCTCTTGCCAGAAGACTCTTCTGGAGGGGAAGCACCTGACTCTCCTGCAAGCCCGTTGACTACTGTGCCTGTTGAGGAGACTTCGAGTCACCACGACGCGGCTCCTAATGCCATTTAAGCTGCAGGAATTCACGTCTATTTTAATTTTCGGCCCTCTCGGTTAGCCGGTCTCTTTTTGTCACAATACATGCATGGTTGATGTTGTTGCGTGAGTTTGTTCCGCTATTTGAGGCTTCTATGGATACCCAGCATAGCCCCTGTTGATTCGATTATAGCACAGTTGTTCGCTGGTTTAATTGGGGGTGGGAGTGGCTTTTTCATCTTTCGTGGTGTTTTACAGGTTATTTTCACGTTTATATATCCACCTTCAGGGGCATGCTCAAGCATACGATCGAGATTTCACATGTTCAGTTGTTCCATTCAATAAGATGTGTAGTATCCTGGTAGGGCAATGTAGGCATTAATGTTCGTGATACGCCCAGAGGGTAAACTTGAATCACCTGAGATTGTTGTGCTAGCACTGTTCACGAAACTGCACCAACCAGTATCTTATCGGTTTTCAGACTATAATTATTGTCTACGTTGCTACATCTTACAGGACTCTAACCAAAAAACAAGATAATATAGGGACATTGATCAGTATCTAGTCTTTACGACGTCAATTCAATTCAATTATAAGTACAAGCGAACGCTGACCCATCACATCCATATCTGTACAGAGGAGTATAGAAATACAAGAGCGTAAGAAAGATAAGAGGTATTGATATAGACAGAGACCGGAATGACATCCGAACTAGCGGCGATAATCCGGACCTTAAACCTCCACGCGTGTGGGGATCTTGACCTGGCCCTTCTTCCGCTCGTAGCTGGGGACACCGTATCTGAGACCCGGCGCCTTGGAGCCACGACCGTCTGACCCGGTTGTTTCCTTGCTAACGACGACGTCCTTGAAGCGGAACTCAAAGCGCGAAGACTCGGGCTGGACCTTCATTTGTTGCTGCTCCTGACGCTCCTTGGCGAGGCGCTTGCGCTCCTTCTCTGCGGTTTCCTCCTGACGAAGACGTTCGTTATATGCCTTGAAGATCTCGCGGTATTCGGTTGGCTTAGACTGACGGAAGCGCTCGTGCGCGACAAGGTGGGGGTGCGGAATACGGGCATCCGCGGGCTGGAGGACTTGCTGTTCAGCCTCACCTTTTCCAACTATCTCAATATTGGAGGGTTTTTGCGTTATGCGGCTGATGGCTTCTGCCGGGTCGGCAGTGTCGTTGGTGACTTGCTTGTTTTCGAGAGCTGGGGCGGCGGAGAAGACACGACCAGCGTCGACACGGTTGAATTGGCGGGATTCGGAGACAGGGTAGAAGATTTGAGGGTCAGTCAGTTTGTGGACGGGAAGGTCGTTAATTGACTCGTGAGGGCGGTTGCGATTGTCGCGGGTGTCTTCGTATAGGGGTGTTGTGGGTACCATTTCATGGATGGCCCGAGCGTATGGCAAGGCTAGTGATTTACCCTGAGATTTGATTTATTAGAAAAGATCCAGTCCAACAATTGAAAGTTAGAATATATTAAGCGGGATTGGATGCAATCAGTTATTAGGCTTTGTAACCATTCCCGGTCGGTTAGACCGGGTCATAAAGACTAATCGATTTTATAATTGTCTCATCATTGCATTGTGGTGAAGGGACCTGAGCAGGGTCGAAGAGGGAAATGAGGAAGAGATGAACACATACCTGTTGTTTCTGACGCTTTTCTAACTCAACTAACCTCACAACAGCACCGACTCTCCGCATGTCGACTCCCAGATCTACACTGACAGCTCTGACACTCTTCTTTTGATTTACGACGCGATCGTAGATCTCGTTCCTCAGCTCTTCACTCAAGATAGACTCGCTGACAAAGTTCTGGTTTAATGGGAACGGGCGGGTCCGTCCGGTAGGTTGTTCATCTCTCTCCTTGATTTGTGTGAGATAGTTTGTTGACCCGGGGACGTAGTTCTTCAGAGCGGCGCCTTCACCGTTCAACCAAGTGAACATCTCATTGCGTAGTCTCGTTTGAGAGGCCACGGTCGAAGAGAAGGGACGGCACGTCCGCCGAGATGTGGATGGAATTGATGATGAAGAACATTGGGTAGGGATCTTGGAGATTGTGGAGGTAGAGGTGGAGGAGGAAGAGAGGTAGGGGAGGAGAGAGTTGGTCACGAGCTGATTCTGTACTCGTGGTGGCATGGTGACGGGGGCATAAGACAACACTATCTAAGTTAAAAAAAAAGGGTATCAGGTCACAATGGGCTTGCATCAATGCAGGTTAGCCCAATTGGTGTCTGTTGAGGGGGTGTAGGTGGTATAGAGGATAGATGTCAACAGATCAACCGGAGGACGAGGAAGAAACTTTTTCGCGCAGGGCGATCACGTGATAAATACCAATGGGCCTAACTCATCTTGGACATACGCGCACAGCTCATGGAGCCCATGGTTCTTACTATATTTACACCCACGACTTATTGTAATGATTCTTAGCTGGCACGTTGACAATAGCGATTACAAGTTCATTGAATGTATCAAGTACATGAAAAGCAAATTCCCGCGGAATGAAGATAAAAAATCGATGTAGGTACGCCTCTTTCCCTCCACCCAACTGCTAGTGTAAATGAAGGGTTGAAAGAACCGGATGAGAAAACCCAGATATGCTCCCTAAGTCAACAATAAAAGCCACCACGCTGCTCGCAAGAATGCAAGTTAAATGAAGAGCAAAGAGCAATCCGCTACAAATCAACTGGCCAAAGCCGGACGTAAAGGATCCCAGAAATGTATCTCAGTGTATAGCCCGTGAAGAACGCCTCTCACAATGGGTGTTTTCATGTAACCGTCGCAGACCTTTATCATAACATGGGATGGAATAATAAGCTAAAACCCAGTATCATGCCGCTCTTTTTTTTTTTTTTTTTTGTTTTGTCTCTGTTTTGGTTTTAATAGGAGAGCTTTGCTTCCTTGACCTAGCAAGCAAGCAGGCATTCATGAAGGTAAGTAAGAATGAGAGAGAGAGAGAGGGGGGGGAAGTTGTATTCCTCGTAAACCCAAGGGACAAAGTGACAATATCCCATCCATGTAGAAAGAAAAGCATTGCTGAGCCCCTCTGAATCAGACAATGACGCCGGATGAATGAATGCGACATGGACTCGATGCCACTGATTGACCACAGACAAAGCTCGTCTTGAGACAACTCCTCGAACAACACTATTATCAATAATTCAGAAATTGCAGTACAGCACAGGGTATGAATGTGTACGAAACACAACAACAGGGGAATAACAAACACGGAGCCACTTGTCAACAAGGTATAAAGGGAAAAAAAAAGAAAAAAAAAAAAGAAGAAAAATCAATCAAATGTCAAGACGATAATGCACCCCCAAAAGAAGAAAATAAGAATGGAAGACCCACAATCCCGTGTTGTTCAGGTACATTGCAAGGAAACGAAAGGAGGTTGAGGGAGGAAGAAGCGAAAACGACAAGCAAGCTATAGAAGTCAGAGTCCCATGTTCCTTACTCCCAGGAGGAAGGGGAGCCTCCAAATGCTAATCTAGCTCGTGAAATATCAAATCAAATCCCCAATGCGCCAGAAACCCAGTGATCGTCATCAAACATGTCGGACATTATCTCCACGATATGCTGCATCTTTCTACCGACCCATCATGTAGTCGGGATAATAAGAATTAAAGCCTCCCATGTTCGGTCCTGAGCCACCGCCAGGGACCCCTCCGGAGAGTGGGGTGGTAGGGGACATCATGGAATTTATATGGTTTGTCCGAATCCCTAGGCCGGTATTCGGGTGGAAGGAGCCGTTGTTTGGTACTGGCGCGTGGGGATGGCCAGAGGGATGCACGGCTCCGTTGTTTCGCAACTGCAGTGGTGGCACTAGGCCTGGAGGGGCCGAAAGACCCGGAGGAGGCCCGCTGACAGTAGAGAACATATGGTTGTGCATGCCACCAAGGCTGCTACCTCCAGAAACTGCACCTTGAGATGTAATATTATTAGATGCACTCATGGAACCAGGCTGCCCAGAACGAACTCCCAGGGGGTTCTTCGAAAAACTAAGACGAATACCGGTCTTAATGCTGTTGGAAAGTTTGTAGCCATACAGTTCGTTCAAGGACTTGCCGGCTGTGCCCACGTCCTCGAACTCCACGAAACACATGGGTCCGTTTTGCTTATTGCGGAAGCAGAGACGTTTGTATCCACGCTGCTTCATAAAAAGAGCTTTTAGCTCCTCTTCCGACGCGTCCGGTGGCAGGTTGCCCACATACAAAGTGTTGCAAGGTGGGTTCATGTCGTTCGGGTTTGCGGCAGGCAAACTGTGACGAGGTGTATGTGGATTACCGTAAGGGAGCCCATGGTTTCCACCCAAGTTGTTGGTCATCGATTGGGGATATGCTGTCGAGGGGGCGGGGATTCCCATATGAGCCGAACCTCCAGGAGCGTAGTTTGGTAACGGTGGCGAGGACAGATTGGTCGCCAGTGACAAGTTGGCAAACTGATTCGTGGGGAACTGGGGATTGGTGGAGCGACGGGGGATGGAAACAGAACCAGAGTGCCCATTCTCTGCATAGCCCACGGGATCTTTGAGAAGCTCACCCGTATCTTCGTCGAGGTCCTGATCAATCATTGACTTACCACTGACGCGCGGCAGATCATGGACACCATTTCCGATCGGGGACTGGGGCGAGAAAAGGCTATGGATGCGCGAGCTTGATTCAGGAGGTAGGGCATCGCTGGCCGATGAGTTGGATGCGTTCGCCACTGTCAGCTTCTCCAGGCTCTGAAAAGTACCGTTAAAGCGGGATGAATGCCGCGACAAATGTCCATTAGACGTTACACCCCCTAATAGGCTACGCGTCGCGGTGTGGTCAATTGTATTGCGCCTGGGTCCCCCCAGAGCTGAGCCAACAGGGCCATTATACATTTCCACGATCATATTCGCATCATTATTAGAGTTCGGCTTGCCATCGAGCAAAGCCCGCGCCTCTTCAGCTGCCGCGACCGTACTGAATCGTGCGACTGCACTCACATACCCGTTATCTTCGGGAGGGCTGTTCTGTTCAAACTCAATATCCACAAGATCTTTAGCAAAGAGAAGCATGCTGCGCAACAGCTCGAGACTAGTGCTCTTCGGAAGTTTTCGCATTAAGATCGCGCCGCCTGTTCCAGGTCGAATGAAGCCGTTGAGGCCCTGCGCCGACCGATCGGCATCGCTTAGGCGCATGGTGGCGGAGGGCATGTTATCGAAGGCCGACGGCGGACCGAGGGGTGTGAATGGATAGGTAAAGGTGGGACCTAGTGATGTTGACGCCTGCGATGTGGATGAAGTGTACACGTCGGTCGACATCGCATTCTGGGCCGTTAAAGGCGCCTGAGAGGATTGAAGCGACTGGTGTGGAGGCGACGCGCCCGACGACACGGACGGCGTGCGATGAGTGGTACTCAATGACCCAGGACTCGTACGGGTAGACTGATTCGAACTGCCACTCATGCCTCGCGGATCGATGATCCCAGTTGTTAAATGGATCGACAAAATCCCACGAGCGATAACGGTAGGATTAGGTTCTCCAGGTAAGGGGAGGTGGGCAACGGAAGGCAACAGGTGACAGGTGCCTAATGCTGAGAGGTGCGTCACAGATTATAAGTTTATTTAACCTGAAAATGTGATCCACAGTGACAGTGACAATAATCAATTCATTTATTCGTCGTTGGGATGCGCCAAGGCGAGTCGAGGACGAACGGATCGTGAATATTGTGAAGGAAGAAGCGATGCGACAGCGGGCCGAGTAGACCGATCAACCGACAAGGAGACGAATAATGATCGCACGACGGGAATAGACGGACGAAGCAAATGCGAAGGGAAAGAGAAACGAGAGGGAGTGGCTAGAGGATGAAAAGATAGTTAAGGCGATGGTGGGAAGAAAGAATCGTATCAGGGGGGGAGGTGGGAAGAAAGAGTGAAGGTGGAAGAGGAGAAGGGCGATGGAGCAATGAAAGGACAGGAGAGAAGTGAGAGAGTTCGGGGGAAGGATAAAGTTAGATTGGGTTTTGGGGGGGAGGCCGGAGAGGGGTGGCAGTAAGTAAAGCTGGTAACAGGTTCTCTCCAGTGGTACAGTCTGTACCTACGGACAGTGGATGACGGAATAGAGTATAGTATGTATTGCCGTTACCTGATGGTAATTTCACAGAAGGACCAAGTTCAAAGAAATGATATATATATGAAAAAATGTATTTCACAGGGAAACAAAATGACAGGTAGTAGGGTATGAATGGATAATAAGGAAAACTGAAAAAAAGTAAAAATTAAAAATTAAAAAATTAAAAAAAAAAAAGGTTGATAAGGAATAGGCAGAGAACGATCGTAAGAAACCAGAAACGAGTTGTCCCGTTGCAAAGTCCGGAACGGTCTTTTCCCCAATAACAATGAAATGAATGAATAATAGGGAACTGGGAGGGAACGATGGTGTCAGTTGAATGTACTGGGGGCGGCAGTGCGTCCTTTGGTCCACGGATCGAGTCTGACTCCGTTCCAGGACAAGATTGAGTGAGTAAAAGTACACTCGCCGAACTAAACCCAAGAAAGCAAGTAATTAATCACCAGCGACGTCGTGACTAAGAACGCTAACTAAAGGGCTGTCCAATCGAAGCCGCTAAACACCAGGTGCGCGACCCGACGATTCAGTTGACACGACGCGCTATTGTGAGCACTGGTATGAAGTCGATCGACCCTGAAAGCCTTCTGTTAAATAGATTCAGTGTCTAGCCTGGCCGGCCCCTGGAGTGGGCACTGTCATATCCTGATTTTGCAGCATGATTTACCGAGTGCAGCAAGCCTAAGGCTACCTACCACTACGCAAACATTGCCTGAGTATTCCGGATGCGAACGTGTAAGTGCGTGTGTTTTGGGGGAAAGGACGTGGATAGAGGCCCGAAGTGTTTCCTCGATAGATACTGTGTACCTACGACCATACCCGAATGAGTGTAGGGACAAATTCCTTCTACATTGAATTATATTAACGATAATCTTACATTGGCTTATTTTTCTTCCGTCCGTATTCACATTCCTTTTTATTCTCTTTTGCCCCGGTTTTAAGGTTCTATTGTTTACCAGAACTGAATGGTTGACTCAGGTACCGCATACCTTGCGACAAAAGGCATATCCACTCATAGTTAGTCCACTGAATTGATGGCATTCAGCCGGAGTCATTCTCCTTCCTTATCAGTACCAATGACTTACGAGTCAGCTTGCCCCTTGACTTCCAAGGATACTCTCCGAGGACAATAAACGCCAAAGTCGGCCAATATGGGGTTCACTAGTTAACCTCCAGCTGACCAGAAAAATGTTGTTCTACATATGTACATTCATCCAAGCTCCCTCGGACCGCGGATGCCAATGACTGCTACATCGCGCATAGCTCGTTCGATCTCGCCAGAGAATTACTCGACCTGTGGCAGCTTAGTTGGCCAGGAACAGGTTTAATGTGCCCTCCTTTAGTTTCGTTATCAGTCAGCACCATGCAGTACCCTAAGTGTACCTCTGTATCGGTCAATGGCATGTCATCTCGTCCGGTCCGTGGATGGATTTCCTCATGTGACGAGAGGAAAGATTGTCGGAATGGGCTTAGTGGAAATTACTCAAGGGAAAAGGAATAATAATAATAATCAATGTAAAATAGATAAAACCTTCCTAACCGTTGTTCATAGTGACCACAACCAAGCTAATCCCAAATGATAAATTCCCTTACCCCAGCCAGAGATAAACTACAACTGTAAGAGTCGGCGGACGAAACTCTAAGCCCCCATCTCCCAACAAACGAACGACAATTGCAGAGGATACCTATGCCAAAGAGCGAAGCCTAGTGGCTGCCATGAATCCGTGGGAAAGCTCAAACTCTACTGTTGATCTTCCATCTGGAATTTCCCAACGTTGACCAATCACCTTTGCCTCCATGGTGTCTGGACGCCGGGCTCCTCGCGACGATTGGTTCATGCCCGGCACTTCCAACTTGGTCTGGTGGAAGAAGAGGGGTGGGCAGAGAAGCCGATGCAAATCTAGGGGGGGTGGATGGACGAAGCACGAGGTCTAGCACCAACAGAAGCATTTCAAATACGCGCGCTAAACAGATTGTGTACGTATTCTAGGAAGATTACTAACCTGCATCCATGTTCAGCGCTGCCTTCGGCTATTATACGGTTCGATCTTGCCTGCGGTGACTCACTGGGATGATGTCAGATGCTGGCTCGCTGCCTATTTTTCTATACAAGTACTCCGTACATACGTGTATTGGTGTGATCATGGCACACGTCGAGGCGATATGTGAAGTAAGATGGGCTGTATCCTTGTCTCATCTGTATTATATGTCGCTCATTATGACGCTTATATAGACTATCATTGATTGCATACAAGGACAGCACAAGGAGATATTGACCACTTATGCAGCCTTAATTTCCACTGATATCATAATATCAACTTTGAGTTCATTACAACGCGAAATGTGGAGGAAACATACAAGTAGTAGACACATCGTTAGCGCATACATGGGTGTATACAAGGATTTGCCACAGAGGTCTAGTGCGTAGATTTCTCATTTTCAAGATATGTAAGACAATAAGGCTTTAAATTCGGGGGTGTATAAAGTCACTGTGGTTCTTCAACACCGCAAACCCGAGAAAAGAAACACTTGTGAACACGCCAACTGCAAGTCGACGATCTACTTAGAGGCTACCTAGAGATACGGCGCATTGTACTCCGTACATCTTTGACCACTGAGCGGCTCCCTATACCTCCCGTCTTTCATCTTGCAATGCCGGTGCGCGATCCCCGATAGGCCCAAGGCATACTCTAGCCCACAGGTTCTGCCGGCAATCTGCGAAATTGAACAAGGAGCCCCAGTCTGAACCTGTATACGGACAGGGAAGATCAATCGCTCATGGCGTAGCATAGCCCTCCCAATTTATTGTTATCAATCCATAATCGACGGATGCGATTCTCTCATGCCATAATTAAACACAATCAGCTCACATAATGTACAGGTAAAAGGTCCGGTTATCGAACCGATATATTTCAGAAAAAGGTTCACGCAATAACGCCATGGAAAATGCCAAAACGTAGCACTCGAGAATTTTTCGAGTCAAATAGGCCATCCCCTTCAACCACCAACACAAAGATCGGATAACGATGCATAAATCAATACAAGAAATTCGGGTATGAACGAAACAGATCTTAGTTCTGTGTCTTCGTTCTGCCATCGCCGATGCCAGCCTGTATCCCATTACCGTCAGTTCACACCATCTATCACACTGTCTGACCTCGTATTCTAGACTCATCGTTCACGTACCAGGCTCAGTAACCGCCACACACCATCACTGGGCTGCGCTCCAACACCAATCCAATACTTGGCTCGGGACCGATCAAGTGATACTTCCTTGTATGGTCTTGCGCTGCGGGCTTCCTCGTCGGAGAGGTTTGTAGGGCGTTGCGGGACGGGGTTGTAAGTGCCAATGACCTCCAAGGGCTTCGAGTTACGAGCACTCCTGTAATGTTCACGTTATATTAGCTACACAGCTGACTCCTCTCGTTGGTCATTTTGGCTTGTTCGCATGGAGTAAAGTCTAGACTCGGAAGGAAAAAGGATAAGAAAAACGTAGACAAACGTACCGTGCCTGCGCAACGACAATGTTGTAAAATGGCTGGTGCTTGTTCCCGAATCGGGCCAGGCGAATACGGACGACCATTTTGAAGACTGGATGGAATTGACCGGCAGCAGTGAGTGTCCGACAGAAGGTCTATACGCTGGATCTGAAGCAGGAGAGCAAGACTTCCGCGGCAATTTCGCAGATTGCCGGAGAATTCGTTGATCCGGAATTACGGAATGCGGATTAGCGCTTGGCGGTGTATGGGATGATAAGGTATGATGTAATCAGATCCCACCGACAGCTTCTTTGGGGTTATTTATTGAGTTGAGCTCCATTGTGTGCTTGAGTTAGACAATTGTTCATTGTTCAGATTATTAGTTGGCTGGAGAATATTGAGTTCTACAATCTATTGTCCCGTCTTCTCAATTAAGAGATATATGTTTCGTTCTGGATTGGCAGTACTCAAACGGTATCCGTTCCCCGCCTCAATTCGATCCTACAGTAGAACCGCCAGGATGTCGTTGAAGGTTCGCTTCCTTTTATTACACGATCCCAATCGTATATCAAATTAAGCTCTTCATGTAGGCTATTTCCTCTAAAGATGCCGCATCCCTAGACAAAGACCTGATGGAGATCGGAGGATGGTCCCTGGACCAACTGATGGAACTCGCTGGATTGTCTGTTTCGCAAGCAGGTGAGACGCGAATTGAAAAAAAAAAAAAAAAAAATAGACAAATAGTACAACCCACTCACAGAGCCCTATCTAGTCTACCGCGTACATCCTCCAAGCGCTGGGAAGAACATCCTAGTTGTCTGCGGCCCCGGCAACAACGGCAAGTTAACATCAAGACCACCGAGATGGGACATAGGTTAACGGAAATAATAGGAGGAGATGGTCTAGTCGCTGCTCGCCACCTCGCTCAGTATGGTTATAAGCCATCCGTTTATTATCCGAAAGAGGGCAAGAACGAACTTTACCAGGTACGTGCGCCAACCAGGGTGGATTCTACTTGGCTGCAGCCAAAGCTAAACCCATCAACAGCGTCTCAAAACCCAACTCGACAACCTCTCCGTGCCATTCATTACCGATTTCCCCGTCGCAATCAAAACTGCTGATCTCCTAGTTGATGCAATCTTCGGTTTTTCTTTCGGTGGTCCCCTTCGCGACCCTTTCCCGACCATCGTCTCTCAGATCGAGGCGGCTTCGGTGCCTGTACTAAGCGTCGATGCGCCCAGCTCTTGGGATATAGAGGGTGGTCCACCTAAAGAAGGCCCCGGGTCTAAGTTTATGCCAGAGTATCTTATCAGTTTAACAGCTCCAAAACCGTGTGTGAAGTATTACCAGGGGAGGCATTTCCTCGGTGGTCGGTTTTTGACGAAGAGTATCACAGAGAAGTACGGCCTAGACCTTCCCAGTTACCCAGGCATTGATCAAATCGTGGAGGTTGGGGTTGATGCCGAGGGAAGACTCTAAAGATATCCATTACGATTGTATTTAATGTTTTGCTGTCTAGAAGAAGGCTAACGTGACTCTATGAGGTTAGCTCATATGTACAGCGTGTGTGGATTGCCTAACGTTGTTGAGTCTAGTAATGTAAAATGCGTGGCTATCATTAAAGATGATTGTGTCTAATCCTGGAGTGCATCATATGCGCGAAAAAAAGCCGTTTACGCTTTGCCTTATTGCAACGACTCCTTGATCTCACCGATAACGCCCTTGACCCTAGGCTCCTTCCCGGGACCCGAGGTCAACACGTTCCCTATGACTTGGCTAAGGTCGTAGACATCTGTAGCAGCACTCCTGACTTCGTCACTAAGCCCCTTGATCAATGTGCCCAAGGCGACAAGGCTCCGATATACCGCTTCGGAGTCCTTCTCACCGACGATCATCTGCACCAATTCGGCGAGGAGCACCAGACCTCGTTCAGAAGATTCTGGGGCAGACCCTCTACCTTCAGAGGTGAGATAAACAGCGACATTAATGTAGAGAGTTGCAACTGCAATGGTAAGATTGCGGTTTGGTGTTGCGCCGCTGCTACTCAGTGCCGATTTTACAGCGGGTATGACCTGATCGAACCTACTCATAACCAGCTGTCGGCCAGGATCGGTTTCGAAGAGGTTGGCCAGCATTCGGACTGAAAGCATTGCATTGTTGACGTTCGAAGAAGTATCAAATATGCCGCTTGATAGGATGCCAGTTACGAGGTCTTGGCCGTTGTAGTTTGCGGTAGCAGTCACGGGTGTTGCAGCCGCAGATAAACGAAGGAGATCAAGACCTGGGAGTCTATTTGGCACAGGCCAGCCCGTTGCAACCTTAAACAGTAATCCAAGTCCGGTCTCCAAAGTAGGGAATTGCTTGAGACTCTCTGGGGTCTCCAGGTGATTGCACAGTGAGACGACTGTGTCCACTTCAGGGGGGCTCAGGGATAGCTCCTTCGACCCAGACGACACAAGCTGCTCATTGATTTCTTGTAGCTTCTTCGCAATCACCTTCAAGTTGGCGGTCTTGATAGAAAGGTATGTCTTCTGGGGAAGAACTTTGGGGCGGGATTCAGGAACAGAAGGTGGTTGAGCAGGAGGTTGAGCAGAGGCTTCCCCAGGACGGTAACGGTTCTCCTGGCCCCAAGGGTCGGCGCCAGCAGGAGTTGATCCTTGGGTAGACTGGCCAATAGTCGCACCCTGTGTGTTTTGGACAATAAATTGTGCCACTTGGTCAAGATAGTTCATGGACAGTTCATTGTCCTGAATAAACTTCGTTGCAGCTTCGTACGGGTTTTGAGAGACATTGTACGGGAGCTTGAGAGGCGGTTTCCCATCTTCGACGTCAACGTCGAAGACATAGTCATAATCCTGGCCTAGATAATCCGTCTTCCTTCCACTGCTGGCAGCAGAATCGACCACCGTGCCCACGGCTACCCATTCCTGCGACGCCACCGACCATGTATGGGCGGTTACGCTGCCATCATTTTGTCGAATCATTTGCACCTGTCCATCTTTCGTGCCAGATTTCTGCTGAAGAAACTCGGGCCCCGGTAATTTCTCCTTATTGATTTTTCCTACTTGTTGTTCGGGTATCGAGGACTCTTTAACAGATTTCTCGAATTGTTCCACTACCTCAGCGCTTGCTACCCGTTCTTCGCTTCGGGTGAAGACCCGAGTCACACGGTCGCTGGCACCTGTGACAATATCACCGTTTTCTTTGCAAGCAGCAACTCCCCACACTGAGATCGCCGGATGAGTGATGGTTTGCACGCACTGCGTGCCGCTCCAGATCCTCACTGTGCGATCTTCCCCGGAGCTCACCAACTCACCCGACGACAATGCATCTAAAGAGTAAATAAAACTTTCGTGGCCATGAAGTTCTGCGACTACCTGGCCCTTTATGGTGTACAAACGGATTACACCGTCATTGCCGGCCGACGCGAATTGCGCACCAGTGGGATTCGACGCAGGAACCTTACAAAGGGCCCTAACAACATCCCGAGAATCTTGGATGGTCTTCAAAAGAGTTCCGTAAGAATTAAATATCCTTATAGCTTTATCTGCACAGCCTGTAGGAGTATTAGCAGAGGCGTCATACGGTATACCTAGCCAATAGTATGATACATACCGGTAATAACTGTATCCTTATCATACGCTAGCACCGCCCAGACACTCCCTTGGTGACCCTCGAAGGTTACATCGCACTCCCATTTCCCAAGTTTCCATAACTTAGCCGTAGAGTCCCAGCTTCCACTAACAACCCAGCCGCCTTCGGGTGACACATCCAGAGCGCAGATATTGTGGGCATGCCCTAGAAGCATAGCATCCGCATTGTCATCCGACGACTTACCAGGTTGTCTTGCCTCGATGATAGTGTCCTGGCCTCCGGAAAATACTAGACCATCAGGAAATTCGGGGGTGGGTGGGTAATAGGCTATGGCGTTGATAAAACCGGAGCCGGAGGATGTGATGGTGTAGTCGTATGTTGGGGGCGGGGTAGATACAAGCTTCCAGAGTCGGACAGTCGCATCGCGAGAAGCCGAAAACACGGCATTCGTGTTAGGAAAGGCCACAGCACGAACCTGCGATCATCGTTAGAAATGGTCAGTTGTCAAAAAAAATAATGGAGATACCACTTGTTGTGGACATCAACAGCCGGGGACCTTCTTACATCATCGCCGTGGCCCTCCAGAGAAGCGGAGATCTTGAAGTCAGGCATACATAAAGTTCACTCCCAGAGGGCTAGGAGAAGGCAAGTGAGAGAACCTGGGCAAAGATAATATTGTCGGAAAAATGACCAGGTCCTATAACGAGGCGGAGGGATTGACCCGAGTGAGAGTTGCTGTGCTGGTCTCTTGGTTACTAACGTACCAGGGAACTAGTCACTCATACTAGTACTTACTAAGGGACATGAACAATAAGATCCGCGGAGTCACGGTCACGTGGGCGGTGGAGTAGAAGCTGCTAGAACTTCAAAGCCTAGACCGGTGGATCAGCCCAGGCACCAACTGATTGCTGCTTTTAGCCACCAAGGTCTCCAGTCGGAAGCCGGGGCAGCTGAACAATAAATAAATGACATTAATAATTACCATGAGCTCTGTTTTACTCAGAATTAGACCGTTCCATACATAGACTTAGCTACACCAAACCGTAGGTTTCGACAAATCTCCATAAAACAACCCCTGTTTCGGCGGGTGAAACCCAGAGAGATATATATATTTATGTTCGACGCAGGCTTGCCATAGTAACCTGGACAACGACTCACAACTTCGCAGGCGATGATTCATCTTTATATACTACTCACTTATAAATCACTTTTGCCACATTACAAGAATCATGCTCGCGCATATTGGCTATCTTCCATTTGACTCTCAATGTAGTGCGTTTGATATTGACTCTGGGACCTCAAGAAGCTTGCGAGATTATGGAGAGTGGGACCACAGACGTACAGATCCTTAGAACTCTCAACGAGGACCTTCGCAAGTCTGGGCTTTGTTGAGAGGATATGGCAGGGATAGAAGCCTACCATGCATAAGGGTTTCAGATAGTTGTAATAAACTAGTATGAGCACTCTCAGGGTATGCAACGCTTAATTGACTACGGGATACAGGTGTATGAACTGCAGCACCTGTTGTATTTCCATATAAGATACGTATAACAGCTCTTCTGGAGCATGCTAGCGCTAAGTATATGTAGATCAATTAGTAAGTAGATCCTATGCAAGGTTTAGAAACTATCTGTAAATAGCTCTAGGAACGCGCGTGGCGAGTGGTTCGTTGGGGGTATAACCTGTCACTTATTGTCTATAGATACGATAGTGCATCTAGTCTAGTTAATAGAGTACATAAATATTAGTCGGTGTTGAGTCAAGGTGAAAGTGGCGATCAAACGAGATCATCTACGAAAAAATGAGCTCATCTCCAGGTTTCTGGATTTAGATAGCCCCTTTCTGAAGAGTCGAGAGGATTTGATTGTAACCGATGGCGTTTAAAAAGAAGGAAGTATATAGCCCGGAGAGCATTAGAAAAGTCCTTTGCCTACAAGCATTGTAACTTTCTTTATCTACGACGCAACCGCATATCTATGCCTATATTGAACGTATATCTCAGAGTATAGCGACTACCGATTATAATGGAACATCCAACAACGCAGCCCAGTGCCCTTGTCGGCTTGCTCTTAGCTACTACTGCGTTGGCTGCACCTACTCTGAAAGTACGGAAATCGAGCAGTGATATATTCCAGAATTACTAATCATGTATATAGATTCCTGCAAACGAAGTGTCTGTTGATAAGTCAAACAAACGTGCTGAAAACAATACTACCCCGATCAACAAGGCCAACAATGTTGGGAATGCCAGGATACAGGGGAACGATGCTCATCCTTCTGCGGATAATGTGAACGGTGGCTACATTGCTTGAAATGCCAGATCAAAGAGTGAATGTGAGACCCGGGGAAAGAGATGTGCTTTTTGTGTGAGACAGTGGCTTTGTCAGTTTATGATCACGGTGTGGGACATAGACTTGCTATTGCGCAGTTGAACAACAATCTATTGATATTAATTTTAATTCTTGTAGTGAATTTTGTGTGCATTTCAACAGAAATGGAGCTATCATACAACACAGGAATGCAGTCCGCATGCCATTTGAATTGCTACTCGACATCGCGTGGGATGACTGGGGTCTACTTAGGTCACTTGACAAAGGCTTCCACCAGGGTCAAAAAATTTCTGGGCGGCAATCTGATCCTTCGACTTTTATCTAAGCGAGCCATGTGTTGGCTCTAGCCAGACATTGATGGCCACTCACAATAAATCCATATTCTAGACGCTGCTATGTTCCAAGATCCCTGGGTCGTCTGAGTCAAGAAGACTTTTCCGCTATTCTGATCGCATATATGCTAACCCGGGACCTTGATTAACCGACCTTGCCCGCGGCCAAAAACTGGCGGGCTGCCAATAGTCAAGGACTTGGAGATGCGGGAGTGGTGTCGGTTGACCTCTGCAACCGACGAACAAATGAATAAATAGCTAGCGGGTGTTTATGATTACCCCATTGGCCATGGATCGGCGGCTGGAGAGCTGTTGTACACGTCGCCCTTAGACTTCTTTGTGGACTGGCATGATAATATTCCACTATTACTGCTCCAAGAGGTATACTAGATCTAGTGTTTCTATGCGTATACTGTTCAGATACTCGGTACAACAAAGAGGTCTGCAGAGCGATTGCTATCTACTAATACTAGTAGTAGTAGTAGGTATGTATACGTGGTCAGCAGAAACGACTAAGTGGGGAAAGTAAGGGTATATAGTGAACCAATGATGGAGAGGTATCGAATAGTATTATTCATTACAAAGAGGAAGGAGCTGGAAGCATGGAACCTACCTACAAGGATGGACAAGTGCCGCTATATACTAGTAGTACAGCTACCTGCGATGATTATCTAAGGGCAATAAATGCGAGGAGATATGGCTTCGGCTTACATTGAGTCATTGACACCTCAATACTATGGCTATCCGACTGTTTACATCGCCTTGGTGGACTGTGCTATCGGCTCAAAACTACACGTGTTTACTAGAACTTGTTATGTAGCCAGGCTTGACCACTCCAATAAGAAACAATGATAGATTTTACACCATATGATAATGCATAGCGGTAATTTCCCTATAATATGCCATTTTGGACACGGTTAGCATAGTGGCCTGCATTAAAATGGTATAATGGGTTTTTGAAGGAATTGGCGGTGAGTATATCGCTCCTTGAGTTGTTGTCTGCCGATTCAACAGGAGGTGGTATGAGACGTTGTCAGTGGCTGAAATGGGGGAGACTGACATGCCTTGCTGTCCATTATTCTGAGCGCAATGATATTGAAAAGTGGCTTGTTTTCCAATACATGATTAAAGTTGGGCAAACAAGTGTGGGTCCAACTACACGCCTCACGTGCACTGACACTAGTCCTGATCGGCCTTAGTGCGGTGTGTCGGACAATTGAAACAAATGCCGGTGGGTTGAACGAATATCAAAAAAGAAGTTCACCTCGCGACTTCAAGCTCTCTTCCTTTTAGGTCGGGGTCTCCCCTTTTCTTTATTCTCTTGAAGGGTTGCGGATTGGTTTGCTGCGGTGGACAGTTCTGTTGACTGATTTCTCCTTCTCTTTCCCTCTCATTACTTTATTTCCTCCACCCAGGATTTCTCAATCATTATTACTACAACCCCGCCGTACTTGAGTTGATGACTTGACGAGACTGACGAATTTTCTTCTGTACTTCTACATAAACTCATATCCACGTCTTTTTCAAGCTCTTCTCATTTCTTCCTTTCTTTCTGTTCTTGGACGGGTTTCTTCGTCTCCGTGTTTGAACATCAGATCATTACATAACGGCCGCACAGAATTGAATTGAATTGAATGAAATCACTCTAATACCGAGAAATTGTCAAATTACAACCTCCAATTGAAAGCTAAAATGGCGTCAGGTAATGTTATAACTGCTTGAAACCTCTACCATCGATGGTTACTCATATCCCACAGACCTCACAAAAGTGGTCCCCTTGACCTGCCACGGACACTCTCGTCCCGTGCCGCATATCGACTTTTCTTCCACAGTAGAAGATGACCAGTACTACCTCATATCCGCTTGCAAGGGTATGTCCCTGATCATTGCCCAAGCGGAAATGCGTTAAACTAATCCTTTGCAGACAACAACCCCATGCTCCGCGACGGTATCACCGGTGATTGGTACGTATCCTTCAGGGCTATCTATTTCCATCCATGACAAAGATAACTAACCACAGTATAGGATTGGAACTTTTCTCGGCCATAAAGGCGCAGTCTGGCAAGCCAGACTCTCGACTGATGCCACCATAGCAGCAACAGCTGCGGCCGATTTCTCCGCGTGAGTTGGGGAAGCTCATTTCCCCCCGGCAGCTGTAGCAAACCACTAATGCATGTCTGCAGAAAAGTATGGGACACTCACACAGGCGAATGTCTTCATACGCTGCAACACTCCCACATCGTCCGGGCAGTTGCATTTCCTATGCAGCCATCTCCCCAGGTTCTAGCCACAGGCGGCTTTGAAAAGAAGCTTCGCATCTTCGACCTATCCCGCAGCAACAGTGGTAGCAACTCATCCTCACCGACCTTCGCCTCATCAACGGGGGAAAACGGCACCGGAGTAACCAGCTATGAGATCGGCCCGGGCGTCCACGGTGGAACTATTAAGTCCATCGTCTGGAACCAGGACTACAATATCCTCACGACAGCCGCGGAAGATCGTAAGATCAGATGGTGGGATCTGCGTTCTCGCCATCCCGTCATTGAGTACACCGTCGAGGGTACCATTGGTAGCTGTGAATTGAATACCTTGGCCGTCCGTCCCAATGACCCCGGCATCCTTACCGTCGCCGCGGGCAAATCCGTCTATCTATTCGATGGCTCAAGCCCCGGTCGTCTGCTCAAGAAATCTGACTTCAGGTACGAGGTCGCTAGCGCCGCTGTCAACAATGAAACCGGTCGACTGGTAACCGGAAGTGCAGACGACACTTGGGCGCGAGTTTATGACCTCCGGACGGATGAAGAGCTGGGTATGTTCTCTCTCCACTCATTTTCATCCACATTGATATATAAGCTGAACTAATACCCCAACAGAAGTCCAAAAGGGCCACCACGGCCCGATCTGGTCTGTTAGTTTCTCGCCCGACGGCAAACTCTATGGCACAGGAAGCGAGGATGGCACAATCAAATTGTGGAAGGCATGTAGAGAGCCATACGGTTTATGGCGGTGAAAGTAAGACCATATCTGTGAAACGCCTCTCTGCCTATTATTCTGCAGATGCGGAGGTATGGACCTTGGAGGTCATCTGAAAATATCGCATCTGGTGCTTAGCTATTATACTATGCCTAGTTTGTATTTAGGGGCAAGCTTTTATTGGCTTGAAATAGCTTACCCCCCGGTAGCATCTTTAATGAAAAGAACAGAGAGATTAGAGATCAGCTTGATTGATTCTATATATTTGTATGAGTCGAGTTGGGTGGTCAATGGCTTCGAACTATTATGACTTAAGCATAGTTGGGCCTTTGTGTAAAGAAATAATAACGACATTTGATTATCCTTCCCAATTTTGACGCGAAATTTTCGAAACCCAGGTATTAGCTAGTTACAAGTGTTGATAATTGGTGGGTTTACTCAATCATGTCAACATCGTCGTCGCCAGCAGCAGCTGTAGTCGGAGGCGCAATTTGCTGCGGCTCATCCGGAACGGTCTCCTTGTCAGCAGTGCCAGCACCAGTGTTCGCAGTGCCCCAGTAATCGTCCATCTCTTGGTCCAGTTCTTCCTGCGTCTTCTTGGGTCGAGTAGCAGGGGCGCGACGGCTCTCGCCTTGGCCCTGGCGTCGTCCGTTGGCAGGACGACGTGCCGGCGATCGCTGCCCAGGAACATACCGATCTATATGATCCGGGGCTGGCTTGGAGACATCGCTACGTCGGTAGCGTCCACCACCTCCCCGGCGGCCACGACGGCGGCGTGCACCATCGTCAGCACTTTCATGTCCACTTCCGGGGCTAAGGCTGCGAGAGTCACGATCGCGTGGCCGCTCCACACGGTCAAACAGGCTACCCTTAGGTCTTTCAACGTTGTCAAAGGGATTCCGGTCTCGCCGTCCACCACCTGTGGAGACAAGAGTCACACGAATAGGTTGTCCTTTAGCATTCGCGCCGTCAAACTCGCTTATGGCCGTTCTCGCATCGCTGGTACGTGCATAGGTAACGAAAGCGACACCCTCAGAGCGTCCTGCTCGGTCATAGACGAGAGACAGGTTGCTGACCGGGCCAATCCGAGTAAACAGATCCTGGGGGAAAAATCCATTAGACGGCCTAGAAGAGAAACTAGTAGGACCAACATCCTTACCTCAAGATCACTTTCTGTAATATCGTAATGAAGGTTCTCAACACGAAGCTTAGCTCCAGTAGGGGCGCTATCAAAGTGTTAGCACACGCCATGCAAAACATTGTGCAGACAAGCTAGACATACGGGTCTGGTGGCGGGGAATAGCGGTCACCGCGTGGTCGTCGAGGGGCACGGGATGGGCGTGCTGAACAGCTTGGGTAAGAATGGAAAACTAGAGGTTCCGTGGCAAGTGCCCGGGTAAGGTTCAAAACGCACAATCTCTGTCGTCTTCATATTTGTCGTGTACCCAATCCCTGTAATATCGAATCCAAGTTTGTTAGCAAACTTAACACAATTGCAGATTAAGGAAAGGGCGTATTTACAAATCTAAATCAGGGCGTTCTTCTCTATAAGACTGTTGTGGTCGCAAAAAAGGACAAGGTCAGCTCGAAATCATCTTAAGTATCATGGCAACTGCTCCATCGTCTGCGGATTTCGCGGCCGAATGTCTATTCCAAGACAACTACGAGGCCAGCGAACTATGCTTCTCAAGATGCGCGTAGAGGGTTCGGAAGAGAGTTGGGAGGAAGGACCTATTTTAGAAGGCATGTTGGTTAGTATGAAACCAAGAGAAGAGATATATCCGATGAAAGCAATAGCGGAGTTGTAGAAAATACCTTTCTTACGCCATCACGGCGACGACTTTGGGGAGGACGGCGGCCGCCCCGATTTTGTTTTTGCTAGAAGTTTTACATGTCAGTTAACCGGTTATCGAAGGAATGGCGACAATATAATATGGTCGAATTGGAATTGGCGCGACTCGGAAGAACTTACAGGACGCTCCGCAATGATCTCATCCAAGCTGCGGTCCATTGTGGACACGAAAGGTATCGCTACAGTAAAGAAACGGAATAAGTTGCTGTCAAGCCGGAGTAATCCCTAGAAGTCAAAGTACAAACGCACACAGTTGATAAAGGGAGAAAGGGTTGACGTTGAGGTTAAGGTGAGCCGGAGAAAGAGAAACACTAGGCCGGAGACACGCTCTAGAAAGCTCGAGCGGAATGAATCATCACGTGATTTCTCGGCGGAGTGAAGCGAAGCAAGCATTATAGGGGGGCTGCGCGAAAGGATCTGTCTGGGTTCAAGTTTTGATTGATCGATGAATCTGGGTTTTGATTGGACAAGGATTCAAGAATGACATCATTTCCAGCCTAGTTAACTAACTTACTAGTACTATGTGGACTATTTCTAGATTATCTGAATAGGCAGCTCCGCCTATTTAGCTAAGGTAGGTGATCTAGATAGGTAACCTAGGCAGTACAGTCGATTCAGACTATCTAGGTAATCTAGATACTAGTATACCTAAAGAAATCTAGGCAGTTAGTATAATTGAATTTAATAATCTTAGTAATTTATAAGTTAGTGTAATCACAGTTCATGTGATTCCTCCGTTGTGTATGCGCTTCTGCCAGGTTATTGAGCTGGCAGCCCCTAATAAATACTGTACAGGTTGCGATTTCGTATACTCGGTCATAGGCAATCACCATGGCGAAGACATCTCATTAACACTACAGCTTTCGTTATAAACACTTTGTTTATTTCCATAACTACTTCTGCCCCCATCAATGTGGTGTACATGTGAGCAATTGCCAACAGGCATCATAAAGGGAGTAGAGACAAAGTAAATCCAGGATGCGATGCAAGAACACCAAAAGTCTCGTCATAGTCCGGTATGCATATTCCATGTGGTCGCCGATCAAGACATATCCCTCCCTATAGCTCCAGAGAACACCAGTAGCAGTTTCCAATAGAAAAATATTAGAGGATGTGAAAGAAAAGACAAAACGCCAATGGTGCGATACGAAACCATATTAAGCCCCGCCATTGGAAGCGGCATCACTCTGTCCACGGTTGCCACTCTCCATCATCTTCTCCATGAAACTGTAGTAGTCGTACTTGGGTTCATTTTGGTCTTCACCTCGGTCAAATACTTCATGCCTAGGCATGGTTTGAACAAGATGGTCAATAACTTCATCGGGAATAAGCGAGTGTCGAAGATCAAGTTCAGTGACATATGGCTATTCAGAGTCAGTGATTGCACTAAACAGGGCGACGTAGCCTCCTGTTGGAACATACCTTGCCATCTGCGACCTCCCGGAAACTCTGCAACACTTGTTCGGCTGTGTTTTGATCCTCAGTCACACTGACCATGAAACGGATAAACTGTTCGAAGCTAACACCAGCGTTCTGTGCTAGTCTAGCTGGGCCACACGTCTCAACGTATACCTCGTGCATCTCATCCTCGTCATATACTAGTCCAAGACTGGCAAGAGCAGCAGAGAACTCAAGTTCATGAAGGGTGTTTGAGGAGTCGCGATCGAAATGTCTAAATACTGATTCAAACTCTTCCAACTGGATCGGGGTCAGATTCGTCATGTTTCGAGCCACAAGCTGATTGTCAAGGAAAGCTAGCTTCTTGGAGATGCTCGACTTGACTAGGCTTAACTCATAGGAGAGTTCATCTAGTGTATATGTTGTGTAATCGTTCTCTTCAATGTTCGCTTCCACACACTGCTCGTCTATCTCCGCAATAGTATCTAAAAACGCATCAAGGGGAGGAAGGTTGTCATTGAGTCTCTTAACATGGGCTAACTGGTCTTCTACATCGCCATCAAGACCGGATATTGCAAGAGATAGAGTCTTCAAAGTTAGTGCGAAGTCATTCGCTTTGTCCGCGAAGGAACGACGTAGGGCGTTCTTGATATCTCGAATCGTCTCGTTGATGAGCTGACTACGTTCATGCTCATCGCGCGTCAGACATTCCCACTCCTGGTCGCAAACCTCAAGACTTAGCTCTGCAGGGGGGTCATAAGGGCGGAGACGGTAGGTGCTGAGCTTGGTTTTGATGTTACCCAAAAGGGCAGCAAGGTCGGATTTTTCAGCGACCCATTGTCGTTTCTGCTTTTTCTTGTACAAGGAAAATTGATAGGCCTGGTCTTTGGCATCCTTGTACGTTCCTTCGAAAGAAGCGTTCTTCCATTCCTCGCGTTGGGCTCTGATGAGGCGCAGAAGTTCCTTCATTCTTCTTTCATACGAGTTCTGCATCTCCCAAGCGCCATGCATGTTATTGATGAACTTTTCGACTCGTCTCCCGGCATTCTCGACTCGCTCCAGCTGGGAGAAGGCATGGAACCAATACGCGATGTAAGTCATCAAAGACCGCTCATCAGGTCTTGGGACATCGCAGACATCGTCCACGTCAAGCAGGTCGGGAATGCCGATTTCATTAGCAGCAATTTCAAATGCCAATTTCATGTTCCCACGGTGGTCCTTTTTATCAAGTGCGTCGAAGTCGATTAAATCAGGGCGATGGATATCCAGAAGGGCACAAAACGCCAGGCCATCATTCCAGCTGGTGGAGAAGTCCCGGACTTCAACTTCTTCGTAACATGCAGTTTTCCTTTGACACCACAGCAACAGACCCTCCTTTGCGGTCATACCTTCCTCATTGATATCGCTGATGGTGAATCTCAGAATGAGAGTCCATATTAGTCCCAGGATGATCTTCCTATTGCCATCTACAACGTCCTCTGCACCGATGTTTGTCATCTGAATTCCCCTCCCCTTTATAGTATCCAGACTCTTGTTGACATTTTCAAACTTTTGTACGCGCAATCTGGGATTCGAGGCATATTTACCGAGGGGCTCGCCGCCGAGGATTTCGAGAAGGTGAATGAGGATGATCTGTGTTAGCTGTGTAAGTCTCTGCGCACCATGTCTCTCACTCCCTCTCCTTTTTCGATCATTTTACCCCCGACGTCTTGGTAGAGGCAAGGGGAAGCTTATCGAGGTGTCGGGTAGCGGGGCTCACTCACGCCGTTGGAGAGGTCAGATACTAGATCTTCAATGAAAAGTCTTCGAACCTTCAACTTATCATTGAGCCTGAAAGATCAATAGTGTCAGCCGAGTGGGACCAAAAATTGGATGAGGCAAATTAAGGCAAGACGAGATCAAGGGGGTCCGATAGACGCACGGGGCCGACCCCGATCGAGGGAAGCAACAGTGAGCGGCTAAAGGAAACTGACCATTTCGTAAAGGTTTTCTGCTGAACATTGACCCATGACTTTTCAACGGTCAACATGGTGAATCACGGTAATGGTTGAGGACATTCAGGGCTGATCCGAAGGGAGGTTGGAGATAGCGTCGAATAGTAGCACAGACGAGGGATACGATTTGATAGAGGGGTAGTCCTTGAATGGAAATGGTAGGATCTTCAGCCGGAACTAATTAGAAAAGAAACAAAGCGGTAAACGATGCAAGTGTTCAGCCTGTTTTAGTGGCTGGAAGCACAGTGAGCGGAGAGGGCAATAATTAGTGAGCTAAGATTAGGAGTTCGTACTTCGAAGGCAGCACCGCTATCCCTTAGTTGGCCATGTCAACAAACCCTCGCCGCCCCCACAGCAACCAAACCCATTCTTCATGTCAATCTTTGGGTGAAACTCTCTCCACAGATTCCAGCGATGGGACATTTTAGCTTATATGCAGGTCACAGCATGGGGAAAAGGAGATTTTAGAAGAGGAGAAAAAAGATAATATTATGACGAGGATCATTATATTGGTAGAGCAACCACTATGAACACCATACTGAACCGTGAATATCAGCCTCACCAAACAGACAAACCAAGTCTTGCATTTCCCCAGGTTTCACAAGGAACTCGACAAAACCATTCTTAATGACTTTCTAGAATTTGAGACCACAGTGTAACAATGATGGATTGGTCTGTTTTTTGTATTGACGAGAATCAAGATGAAGAAGGGAAAGGAAGAGGGAGGGAGAGCGAAAAAGAAGATCATTTAACTTTTACATACTTCAGCCTCGAGGTTTCAACAAACACCCAGTTTCTTCACAAGAATGGGAATGCCTCAAGTTCTCGGTTCTCTACGGAGTAGGCGAAGATCCTTTCTCCATACTGGGACATTGTTGGACTTATGCGGAGTCTTCTCCTCTTCAACACGTCTTCGTTTATGTGTCCGTTTCGGTACGCTTCCTTTTCTCATCTCCCGAGCCGAAGCTAACCCGCTCGGGTCTCATACTATCCAGATTTTCATGATACTACCCCTTTTAAGGGGTAGATACCTTCAAAGATATTCACCGCTTGACCGTAAAAAGGCGATAAGAGTTCCCTTGTAACAAAGGGGGCGTACATATCAACCTAAAGATAAAGAGATATTATCTATCAATATGGATCGTATTGAGTAACTGATAACGGATATTCTACGGCGAAACATTCCATCATAATACCGCGCACCTAAGGCTCTCTAGAAAGAAAGAATTTCCTACACAAAGAAGGTTAGGACATTTTCAGATAACGCAGTAAGCTTGAAATTATAGTACCGCTCACTATGTACGGAGCACTTGTCCGGATCTGCAAGTATATTAAATCCCCTCAAGAGTTAGAATTTTGATTAATGAAAGAAGCGGGCAGTGGTGCCGATCCTTCGGAAGATTCAGGAAAGCTACTGAGCCCGAACTGTAAGGGCCCACGTTGCTACAACCAATGCGGCATGCCGCTTTTGGAACCTTTAAAACTTGGCAGGGCTCAGGCATTCATCAGGCAACCTAGTAGGGCTTACCAAGCCCTCTGACAAATGCATAAGAGTAAAAGTTTTGAAGCGCCTAGAACTTCCAAGAAGTCTTGGTGAGACTGGGCGAGCGAATATATTGGTAGCGATATAGTTTAGGGAGCTATACAGAACTTGGCAGTTTGTCATAGAATTATTGCACATGGCATACTTGGTAGAAGTCATGGTCACATCACCATCTGACCCCATCTTATTCTGTCGCCGCGTCTACCCACCGCATATCCCTGTCGGTTCTCCAATATTCTCCAACATGGCCCGCTCGGAGGAGTCTATGCATGAATCGCCAAAAGAAGCCTAAAATTAGTTGGAAATCTGGAGTATGTTCAATGGTGGAAAATTGATCCCCACAAAATGATGGTGGTAGTGATTTAGGTAATAGAAGGTTTCAGGCAAACCGTAATCGTATTGCTAGGTATGGGGTACTAAGCGGTGCGATATAATCAATGACTTCTTGACTGAGAGTGTTGGTTAGAATAAGTATTGCGTGACAAGAGACAGAGGATGGAGTACTGCTACCGTACTTCCTTACTTTGCCACGTTGTCGTTCACTTTAGAAACTGATAACCCACCGAAGAGACGCATTATCAAGGATGCCTATTGGGGAGGAACATGAGTGATGCCCACTTCTGTCCCCAACATCCCCACGTTTTACTCTTACCAGTTGCAATCATGTCACAATTAGCCTCTGTAGTATTTTTTTTTTTTTCTTCTCCTGTTATCATTCGGTGGCTGAGGCTGATTGACCGAAAGCCCGAGAGTTTCACACTAGGTCAGATCCGGATTCGTGGACGGGACAGACTGAGATCTGGTTGGACAGACCAACAGCTGGAGTGAGCTTGTTCTCCATATGGTTCGACCATTCAAGATAAACGTAACGCCACCAAATCTTATTAGTAACAGAAAAAACGCACTATCATTATTCTTTTGAAATTCCAAACCCAATCACACCACAGCAGTTTTCATGCAAGCCTCTTGGGCAACCGGCGGGCACAGAGGCTTAGTGGCAAAGTATACGGTGCCCTTCCGAGTCCTTTCCGCTGGCTTCCAAATCGGTCCAAGTCTGCTACTTCGATTATATAACTGCCGTGGCCGGACTTTCCTCAAATTCTGCTCTCCTCCCAGACTCTCAGGAACGTGGTCCGACAGGGAAACAGCCCACATTTTCTTCCCTTCTCGCCCCTTCCTCGTTCTCACTTTCTCAGCATCTCCTCCACCCTCCCACTAACTTCCACAATGGGCTACTCTTCAGAAGATATCTCTGACCTCGACAAGGCCAATAACAAAGCCATGGAGGCCGGGGCCGAGAAGGGTGTCCCCCCTCACTATGATGGGGACTTGGTTGGTGAAATGGATGAGAGGGAAAGGGACATCGTCGAGGATGGTATCCATAAGTTCAGCCGTCTTGGTTGGAAGCGTCTCACCGTCGTGCTTATCGTGGAGGCCGTTGCTCTCGGAAGTTTGTCCATTCCTTCTAGTTTTGCGAAGCTTGGTATGGTGGCTGGTGTCATCTGTACCGTTGGCCTGGGTCTCGTCGCTGTCTATACTAGTCACATTATCGGTCAAGTGAAATTGAAGTTCCCACATGTCGCTCACTACCCCGATGCTGGCCAGCTTATGTTTGGTCGCTTCGGTAAAGAACTGATCAACATTATGCTCATCTTGGAACTTCTCTTCCTTACCGGCTCGCATTGTCTGACTGGTACGATTGCATTTGTGAACATCACCAGCAGTGATGTCTGCTCCGTTGTTTGGGGAGTCGTGTCTGCTGTGATTCTGCTGCTCCTCGCAGTACCGCCAAGTTTCACCGAAATGGCTATTCTGGGTTACATCGACTTCGTTTCGATTATTGTCGCAATTGGCATCACCATCATCGGCACTGGTGTCAAGAACACTCGGGAAATTGGACTCTCCAATGTCAATTGGTCTGCCTGGCCACAGGAAGGCCTCACCTTCACCGATGGTTTCATTGCAATCTCCAACATTATCTTCGCCTACAGTTTCGCTCTCTGCCAGTTCTCCTTCATGGACGAAATGCACACCCCTAAGGACTACGTCAAGTCTATCTGGGCTTTGGGTATTACCGAGATTGTTATCTACACCTTGACTGGTGCGCTGATCTATGCCTTCGTCGGGGTTGATGTGGGTAGCCCCGCCCTGCTGTCCGCTGGCAATTTGTTGAGCAAAGTGGCCTTCGGTATTGCCCTTCCCGTTATTTTCATCAGTGGTTCTATCAACACCGTCGTGCTGGGCCGCTTGGTTCACGGCCGCATTTTCAAGAACTCTCCTATCCGATACATCAACACCAAGATGGGCTGGATTACCTGGTTGGCCGTTATCACTGTGGCTACCATTGTCGCTTTCGTTATCGCCGAGGTTATCCCTTTCTTCAACGATCTGCTGTCGATTTGCTCGGCCCTCTTCGTCTCCGGCTTCACTTTCTACTTTCCGGCCCTGATGTGGTTCATTCTCATTCGCGAGGGCAAATGGAATGAGCCTAAGAACCTTGCTCTGGGTGCTATCAATGTGATCGTGTTACTCATCGGTCTTGTCACGCTTGTTGGTGGCACCTACTCCAGTGTCGATGACATTGTAAGTTTTGCCTTATCCTCTCTACTATCTAGATTCAAATGCTTATACTATCTTGCCAGATCAAAAATTACCGTGAGGGCAGCGTTAGAGGCGTCTTTTCATGCAGTCCCCCAGCTTAAATTTTTGACTTTCAGCTAGCTGCTATCCCTTGCCGTCCCACGGCAGGCGGGCACTGTGGCTAATCCAATGATATAACCAGTAGCTTGGTATTATCAATGGCGTTGTGGATCCCTCCTCATTTCTCTGCCTGTCAGCAGAATCATCATGACATGAGGACGAGGGGAATTGCAAAGGCGTGATTAAATTTACGTAATAGTTTCAAATACCGCCTGCACCCCCTCTTTATGGCCTTGAGATACAAGCCATAGGTTGGGTACTTCCCCAACACAGGCGCCATGGGTTAGCCGAAGCCATTCCTGCCGGTGAACGGCACACCCTGTACAGATACCCGTCTTTTGTTTATAGTCATGTCGCGTTTTTAGCATCAATGTGTCTATGTATATTTATGAACGATAGAACATATATAAGAGGAATCCTCTCATTCAACTCTGCTCTTTCGTTTTAAAAAGTAACAAAAAAAATTATAAATCTATTTCGAGAAACCTCTTGCACATCGTACCTTTCTCCAAAGTATATGCTCACGAATCGGTACAATCCCTGTAAAGCAGTTGTACATCCATGCTAAGCCAAGGACGGCAATTCCGAAAGCATAATAATTGTTTTTATTTGCATTCTTCTTGATCCCAGTTGAACTACGGAGTACTGTCATGCATAATGAGGGATTAAAAGCCACCTGCAAGTATATACCGCATATCCGTATCCAAATGAATAAACCTGATATTTACCCAGCGACAATGATGACCCCATCATAAGATTTCTCTCAAAAAAAAAAAAAAAAAAAAAGACAAAAAAAGTCTATTCTGCCCGACAAACCCAACTGTACGCATCATTAAAACCGTCTCGTCGCAAGGGATGGCAGCCCGATCCCTTACATTCCGTTGACGTCGTACAGAGGAGGCACACGTGGGACGGTAGAGATTCGATCCCGCGTGGTACGTTCCCGTATTCAAGCAAGGGAGGTCCTGAGGGTATGTACTAATTCCTCACTAGAATTCCCGAGCGAAGGGAGCCCTGAGTCAAGAAAGTCAAGCAAGTCAAGACCCCGGACGGGTTCGGCAGAGCGGGAGGAGTGTAACGATCGCAATCGACAGAGCGAATGTAACCGAGATGAGAAGTTAAGTTCGGATGGAGCTCATCATGTTGACTTTACCCGATGCAGTAATAGAAGCTATTTCCACCGGAAGAGGTTTAGACTGGAGGTTTTCGTTTCGGTATGATATCATGTGTCGGGAGGGGTAATTGTCTCCCGCGCAACCTACCACAGCCAAATCCCTTCTACTCGCTGCTTCGGGTCTCGAGCTACCTGGTTACATTCTGTTTGTTGAGTCGGTCAGCTTTTACGGTATTGTCTTGAGCTTGGACTCTGTTTTTAATTTTTATTTTATTTATTTTGAATTTTGGGTTTTGCCGTGCGACTCCCCCCCTTGCGTGATTTTATCATGGCTGCGAAACTTACCATTACGGATTTGGTACCCCTCCCTAAGTCGGAGGTGAAGATCCCGCGCCTTGGGTTCGGTGTTTATCGCTCGCCGCCGACTCAGTGTGTGCAGTCGACTTTGAATGCTTTAAAGGCGGGTTATCGCCATGTTGATACGGCTCAGTTTTACGCGAATGAGAAGGAGGTCGGCGATGCGATTCGCGACTCGGGCATCCCGCGCAGCGACATTTTCGTGACTACTAAGATCCTTGTCCCCGGTGGCTCGCCTGAAGCGACCTATAGTAAGCTGCTGGCCAGCGTGGAGAAGATAGGGGGTCCGGATGGATACGTAGATTTGTTTCTGATTCACAGCGCCAACTCGGGCGCGTCGGGGCGGAAGGAGATGTGGCAGGCTCTGGAGAGACTCCTTGAGGAAGGGAAGACAAAGAGCATTGGTGTTAGCAACTGGGGCGTGAAGCACATTGAGGAGATAAAGTCATATGCGAAGGTTTGGCCGCCGCATGTGAACCAGATTGAGGTGAGCTTGTCTGTCCTGGATGTGATTTTATAGGCGAGTGTGAACGGTACTAACTATCTACCCATTAGCTCCATCCCTGGTGTCAACAGCGGGTTGTCGATGCGTATTGTAAGAAGCATGGCATCATTGTTGAGGCTTACTCTCCAATTGTGCGCAACTATAAAGCCAACGATCCTACGCTTGTCGACCTGGCGAAGAAATATGGAAAGACAACCCAGCAGATCTTGGTACGCTACGCTCTACAAAAGGAATGGGTACCGCTGCCCAAGTCCGATAACCCTGATCGGATTGTGGCCAATGCCCATGTATTTGACTTTGAAATCAGCGAGGAGGATATGGCTGTGTTGAATGCCCTGGATCAGGGAAGCGCTGGAGCTATTGTGGAGGCCGTTGAAAACGAATAGATCCACGCTATGACGTGTGATGAATAAAGGTGCACCTGAGCCACAGGTGAAATGCCAAAGAATCTACCTATTAATAATCTGGTCGTTCCATAAGAAACGCGTTAACAGATTGGAGTGTAGCGCGCGAAGGGTTCGTATCATGTTTGGATGACACGATCCACGCAAGTCGCTGTCGGATGAATTGCTTGTCGATCTTGTTTTTCGCATGAGATCCAGCAAATATTCCTGTTTCATGATTAGCATGATCAGATTGAGATCGGACGTAGGAATACTTGCCCTCGTCATCATAACATAGGCACAATATGGCGAGCAAAGCGCCTGCAGAAAGATCTTTCCCAGATTCGCATGTTACGAGCAGTGATTGTGACGGGTTCGACTCCAGCTGAGAACTGGCAAAGGCGAGAACCTGATGTAGATGCTTCCGTAGGTCGCGACTCCCCAGTTTAGAGACTCCACAACCAAGGTTTAGTCGCTTTGGATTCCCCTCTGAAGCCTCCGGGTTTCCGTTGCAATCAATGACTAAATCATAAGTACCACCCTCGTTTAATCGAGGGTCTGTTGGGCTGATGTATAAATTTCGAGTTGGCGTTATCAAAGTGGCCTGCTGGCCGCCAGCTTCCTTTCGGTGCTCTTCTACCAATTTCTCAATGAGTTCCGGTAGATCTTCCTCTCCGGTTGCAGCAAGAGTGGACTTGTGTGCCCAGAAAACTGGTGGCGTTAGCCCGTGAGCCCAACCCTCACTATCATCTCCTGCTCCTTGGATGTAACCACCCTCCGACATTTCCGCGCCGTGGACACGCTTGGAAGCAGAGCAGAGAACAAAGAGATTATATGCATCTCCCTTTTGTAGATCAGTTGGATGAAAATATGAGCGATTCGCCCAGGCGACCCGAATGGGCTTTCCTAGTTTTTGCTTGAGATCATCTAAATCGAGCTTGAGATCCTAGAAGCCAATCAGCCTATGTTCAAATAGGGCACGGTCACCCTTTTTGCGAAAATAGGAAAATGTTACCTTGAGCGATTTAACAAAACCATCGATCCTGTGCTCAATCTGTGACTCCTCGGAGGCACCTAAAAAGTTCGGCGGAAATTGCACGGGATGGTATGCAGTGTCGGACGGAAATAGTGCTCGATTGATTACCGCACACCAAATCGGAACCGTCTTGGATAAGGCATCAGGCATCACTGGCGGCTTGTGAGACAGTGTGACACGAGCAGCCGAATATCAACAAAGTGGCCGTTAGAACTTACATTTCCCCCGGCGCGTTGAGTCAACAATGATGCAGCTGCAGCCATCATTGGTGGTCAGCGGTAGTCCAAGGAAAGGCGGACCGAAGGGAGGTTCTGAAGGGGCCGTGATACGCTCACTTACCCTCCATGCTTCCGAGAAATGGGTAGAATCTGCAGGTTTAGTCTACGGAAGCTAAAGTCCCATTGGCCCGTATGACCATCCGTGCTCTTGAAGTAAGCGCTGCCAGCTTTGGCCTCCGGTTGGATATACCAACTACCACATCTCTCGTTGGCCACCAAAGGGAGATCGTAGTAGTCAGCCACTTCACGGACAAAGGTGGCGTCTGTTTCAATCGAGTGAAGTCGGTTTGTGATGGAGAGGGCTGATCGCCGCAAGGACGACAGCGTTTGGGAAATAGTTTGCTCTTTGGAGGGGAAATGAAGAGACGATACGGACACCGGAAAGGGATCAGAATCACCACCCATTTTGGTCACGGGAGGGGAAGGTTTTGGGACGAAATTACCAACAAGTAGATTGCTTTAATGAAAAAAAAGGGAATAGTTCACTATCGCTAGACTATGTCCCCTCCATCCAAGTTACTCAGAAGGATCATATGTGAAAAAAAGAGGGGCCCATAACGGTACTGGTAAATTAGCCAATAATGACTCGGTGTCAGGCCCCATCAAGGTCAATATTATTGGGCGGTGGCGTTCAAGAGATCGATTCATCCACGCGCGGAGTGGAGAATGGAAGATTTGTACCTACGGACTACGACGACGTACGTACCTACAGCAGTTTGTATGCTGATATCTGATATCGGTGCCTGACTCTGTAGCTGAGGTTACGTGTCATTGAATCTTTGATGCACAGCGGCGGCTACAAATGTAATGAATTGTGGATGATTCCCAATAATATTTACATATTTAGAGGTCATCAGCCGATCTGTGGCTTGGTTCTCCTGACTAAATTACTACTTAAAACATGGCATCTAACAAACATGCTCGGCGTGGACCACTGCCCTCCGGACGTTTAGACTGGCCCCTGTCTAAATATGGCCCCTCGCATGAGCATCCCGGGTGACTCGACAATGGTCAGGATGCAGAATTGCTCTGACAACCCACTACTAGTACAGATTAGTAGTTGAGGAGGATCATTCCGAAGGTTGCCAGCCTTGTACGGAAGTACAGCGTACAGCAATACTACTACTCCGTACGTAATGTATGCCATATTCAATAGATCTGTCCCATTACGGATCGAGGAAGAAAAGAGAAACAAAAAGCTCACCGGTGTAGTAAAAATTCCGATCCTATTGGATGGTTCACGTAGAAAGTTGAAGAAAGATGAACACAAGGGGATCGATTGAAAATACTGGAATGAGTCTTCCAGCCGATTCGCAACTGCGCAATCCGGTTTCTTTACATTTCCATCAGCCTGGAGGGCACAACGCTATACTTGAATGGGCTAGTGAGAGGGGCCAGGCAGCGTTACCCGAAGAGGGAATGGCAGCGGGTGCTTGCTAACTTCAGTTTAGTGTGCTGGTGTAGACCCGATGGCCGCCGTGTCTCGGCTGCCATTATAGGCCCATGCCCAGTCGCGAACGTCACGATATGACCTCAGGCCCCCGCCATGCCGCCTTCCTCGGAGGGGTTATTATGCGCATTGTCTGGATATGCCCCCCTTTGAATCACCGGTGGGCTCTCATGTGTAGCGTCGGGTACCCTGAAGTATATTGATCGGAAACCCCTTAGGCATTTTCCTCTTTTCACAATTCTACTTAAAGGCGTACAACTGTCCCTACAACCAAAGTTTCTTTGTACCATTCACTCAACAGCCCTTCCCCTGGTCATCATTCCCAATTTCTTTTTCATTCTGTCTACTCACCTCACTCTTGAATTCTTGATATCTCTCTTCAAACCTCACATTACATTTACACTTGACTTCTATACATAGAATCCAATACAATACACTGCAGCCATCATGCCTAAGGTTAGCCATAAGCCACGCTGATACCTGTCACTACTGAGCCATAGCCAACTAACCTTGCTACTACTCAGATTACCGAAATCTTCTTGGATTGCGACAACACCCTAGTCCTCTCCGAGGAGCTGGCCTTTGAGGCATGCGCCGACCTTACAAATGAGATCTTGGAGAGCCGCGCCATCCCTGATCGCTACACAGGGGACCAGCTGATCCAAGACTTTGTCGGTCAGAACTTCCGTGGAATGATGATCTCCCTCCAAGCCAAGTACAACTTCGAGATGCCTCAAGACGAACTTGAAGCGTTCGTTAAGAAGGAGGAGGACAAAGTCATTGCTAAGCTGGAAGCAAAAGCTCAGCCTTGCGTCGGCGCCAACGAGGAACTTGAGAAGTTGTACAAGGCCAAGAAGTACCACATGGCAGTTGTCTCCTCGTCTGCCTTGCGCCGTGTCCAGGCTTCCATTAAGAAAGTCGGACAGGACAAGTTCTTTGACGAGGACATGGTCTTTAGTGCTGCAACCTCTCTCCCCAAGCCCACCTCTAAGCCCGACCCGGCCATCTACCTCCACGCCCTTGAAAAGTGCAATAAGAAGCCGGAAGAGACTGTTGCTGTCGAGGACAGCAAGTCCGGTGCGCTTAGCGCCATCCGTGCCGGCATCCACGTCATCGGCTACGTTGGCAGCTACCCCGGCGATGAGAAGAAGCGCGAAATGACGAAAGCCCTTGAGGATCTTGGCGCCAAAGTCATCATGAAGGACTGGTCAGAGTTCCAGGATTGTCTCTCTCAAATCGAATCAGCTTGAGCAGACTATCCCTCTCACCGGTCATCGCCTCTCCCGAATGTCGACACGAAGTAATGACAGCAAGCGCAATTGGTCTCCATTGAACATGGGCCGCTATCTTCGATTACACTTAATTTCTCATTCCGGCTATTATATTCAATTCCATTCGGTCGGCTTACCCGTTCGCGGGGCCTGTCCTTTGCAAGGGCTCGACCATTTTCCTTCTTAACCCAAATTATTTAACACGATAGTCGGATCTATGTCTCTGACACTATTCAACTTCATCCATAGACAGGTTCCATGGATAGAGATACATAGTGAGGAAAGCTACAGACTGTAGACATACAATAGAAATTTTCTCCACAATTCCTATCAAAGCCCCAATTTTTAACCTACTAGACGGGATATTACAGTAGTGGCAGTCCACCATTCAAACCAACACGACTGCAGCGCTAAATGCACATAATCAAGGAATCCCGAGGCAATCATGGCCCACATCTTTCCCATGCTCCATTTTGTGTAAGATCACTGGTCCAAGCTACTGAAACTACAAATCCGCCATAAGCAGCCTTAGGTACTAATCCCCGACTCACCGCTCCCAGGCATGCGACTCCGCTGCCTGATCCACGAGGCCCCCTCGCAGCTGCCACTTCTCCCAGGCATCTTTTTGCAATTATAGTGAACATATGGTCTAAGTATCCGACAATACCAGTAACCGGGGGGCTCGATGGTTGAGCGGTAAGGCACCAGCTTTGGTTCCGAGCCCTCCCTAGTCCTAGGCTCGAGCAGGGTTTGAAACCGCCTCTGCGCGCCTCTAGGGCTCCTACTAGTAAAGTCCAAAATTCTCGTAGCCCTCCCTTATGACGCCGGTGCTTAAAGCATGCTTGGCGCCGGGGACGGAGGATGAGCTCTTTGTCAGTTTGACTTTTGACCTTCTTACATACTTATATCTGATTTTTCTCATTTGCTTGGTCTCTATTCTCTCTTTTTTGTTCTAGAGTACCCTAAAGATCGAAGGATAACAGGCACAAGCCTGAGGCGCCAAATTGCTCTTTCCTTCCTGTTACCGTTTACTGGAATCTGTTCCTTCCCTTCATTAGTTACCCCTCTCCCTCTTCGTGACGCATACTACCTCTTAAGTACATGAACAAGCATACACCAAGAAACTTCAAATCGGGAACCACTTCCCCACCCCCAGATAAGATTAGGGCTAGCCCTTCGGCGGATAAGACAATCTAACCCCTCTTTCTGCGGCCCCTCCGACAACATCGTCTCCGAGCTAGCATTAACTAACACTAACTGGTGTCCTTTACCCCAGGAAGCGTCATATATAGTACTTCCATTGTACTTGATTTATAGGTGGGGTTTTATAGATTATACTGGGACTCTTAGAGTGTTGACGGTTAGCTTGTGAGTAGGATTGAGTTAATTGAACGGATTGTTCCGTGTTTTCGTTAGAGCTTGGTACGATGTCTGATCCTAAGGCTTTGAGATCGGAGGTTATTGCTAGGGGTCCTTTGGTATGTATTCTCTTTTCATGTTTTGGAGTTTGGTTTCATTATTATAAAACCTTCTGGCTTAGAGATGTCTGATTTATACTGATGTTGGTGTTCATTGCCACAGGACCCTAAAGAGGCTAGATGGACGAGATTAGTCAAGACTACATACCGGGATCCTACCGGCGTAGAAAGGACGTGGGAGTCAGCGGAGCGGCAGGTCAGGTCATTCCAGTTCTTTGAGCCGGCGCACCGGTTACTATTGTGGCAAGGCTCCAAGTTCTCAATGTGGGACAAGGAAGCCCCCTTGCTTATACGAAGGATTGGGTGCGCAGGACCTCTAGTCAGAATACCGAGCTGACTTGCTTCTGTACTTTTAGACCCGCCCGGCAAACTGCGCAATTGACGGCGTGGGGATAGTGACCATTCTCAACAAGTCGACGGGCCCAGAACTCCTTCTCCAGAAACAGTATCGTCCTCCTATTGACAAGGTGGTTATTGAAGTTCCTGCTGGTCTCATAGATGCTGGCGAGACGGTGGAAGAATGTGCCGTGCGCGAGCTTAAGGAGGAAACGGGCTATGTGGGAGTGGCAGAGCAAACGAGTACCGTGATGTATAATGGTATGGTGGCACTTCGTATCTGACTGCACGTGGGGTGACTAGTTGCATTCCAGGATATTCGAGTGGAGAATGCTGACAGATATGATCGCAGATCCCGGCTTTTGTAACACTAACCTCAATATGGTTCATGTCCGAGTAGATATGTCCTTACCAGAGAACCAAAACCCTCAGCCACAGCTCGAAGAAAACGAATTCATCGAATCGTTCACTGTGCCGCTAGCCTCGCTTTTCGAAGAAATGAAAAAACTTGAGGCCGAAGGATATGCTATTGATGCCCGCGTGGGAACAATAGCAGAGGGTATCGAACTTGCGCAGAAGTGGAAGCTATAGATTTGAGCGGCTGATAGCACGGACTTTCAATTATCGCTTATAGATGAGGTTTAGCGTTGGTATACACGTCAATGTGATGCATCTTTGTATCCATTAGACACTCTGCTGAAAAGCCCTACGGCGATTCGATGACGCGGTCGTCAGGGGAAAGACTCCTGTCTAATTTATAATTTCCCCTCCTCTTTGAGTCCTTTATACAGTGCCCATGCTGCGAGTGTCTTTCCATCCCGTAATCCCTCCTTCCACAGTTCCTTCAAAGGAACTAACTTTAGTGTGATCTTCTCCCCTTCCTCACGTAACCCGGTCAATCGTCCCTGTAGGTTTTCAATATCCTTACGCGGCATCCGCTTCTGACACAAGAATAAAGGAATAAACTCGTCGCTTCCGCCAGCCGATGGATATATAGCCTTTTGCAGTGTCTCTACGCCCTCGGGGCCTGCAACTGATTGCAATGCAAGCGAGGTCATATCGATCAGTTCATCCTGAGGAATTGTCAAGCCAGTTTCTTCTTGTATTTCCTTCGCTGCTCCTCCAGCGAAGGAACCGGCATCGTCAAGCATTCCGGCGGGTATTTCGGCAAAAGCAAGGGAACCCGCAGGAATGCGGGGCTGAATGGTCAAAATCGCCCTCTTTTCATCTTCCATTGAGGGGTGCACGTCATCTGGTTGGAGCAGAAGCTATTGGAATACCAACGGAAGTGAATGTTAAACAGTGATACGGACAGGTGAAATAGGAGAGATGATTTGGGCGGCTTACCAGCATTCCTACACTGCCCCCACGAAGAAAAACGCTTCCAGGAAGTGACTCTCCATCTCCGTTCGATACATCAGCTTTGAATTTCACGAACCCCAATCGCCCTCCCTTGAAAAAATCAACGGCCTGGATATCAATCTTGCGTAGGACATAAGGGTCCTTGTGGAACTCGTGTGAGGGGTCTTGTTGCCGCTTTAACGATTGTTGCAGGGTAGACAGCCAGATCTGGAAAGCAGGCAAGCGCAGTAGATCATCCTTGTTGAGATCAGGCGTGGAATTTACAGACAGGGATTGCTGACTATGGTCACACGGAATTGTAAAAGTGGACATTGGAAGTCTGGTTATGTTGGTTGGTACCGATATAAGGGTTGGCCACACGGACAGCCACCGGGCGAATCTCATGGATTGGTCCACTTGCAAGAAGGAACGTTTAAAGGGTAAAGGCGGTATCAGGCTCAAAAAAAAAAAAAAATGAATCTAGAAATTTGTCAAGAAGGAGGAGACTCGGAGATAGTAGCATCCACCGCGGAGGTGACTTACCAACAAGGTAGTACTACCAGCACGCCGGATGAAGTGGAAATGGAGTTAACTTAAGTGGAGCCCAGGAGCTCTTGATGACGTTGCGGGTGAACTTCTGAACCAAAGCAAACAAACCAACAGCGCCGCTTTGTGCTGGGCCCCCCCCGCGCCCCCCCCCCCTTTCGATGTTAAAGCGGCGTGGTCAGGCCATCGTTATGTTTCATTTAGTATCCAGACATTCTGTCATCAGTTCCTACATTCAACGGAGGACAAACAATCTGAATTTAACTAATTGTTCCCCACTCTTGAAGTCGCCGATCGGTCGACTCGGGACTCGTGCCAACCTGGGTCTAGTCCTACCCTTTCTTATCATCATGACTTCCTCATTTTCATTGCTCATGCAACTCTGGTCGGCTGGCCCTGCAGCAGTGGATCGCTCGGTTCGCTGACGGTCCTTTGGGTCTTTATCTGAGTTGTATTTCTTGTCTTCCCGTTCCCCTCTTTTGATTTTCCGATTTCCCATTCTTTTGCGATCATCCGGAAACATCAGACGGGGCCGTATATACTATAATCCTGATTCATTAGATTTAGTGGATCATTTATGCGAAGTGTAACCTTGATATCCGCCTGAGCTTTTGCTTGCTTTCTCTGGGATCAACCCGGGAGAGTCCTAGCTTTCTGAGTCTTTCCCTTTCCCTTTATATTTTATTCTTATTTATTTATTTATTTTTGGAATTTCTTTTACCCCTTCCCCAACCTAACACCAACACCCCCTGCAACTAGACTCGGTTTAAGATCTCACTAATTGGATAGAACCGGGCAGACCTTCCACAGTGGGCTTCTAGGCGCCGAGGCTAACGACCCTTGCCCACCCCTGGTGGTTTCTTTTACTTTCTCGTCCCTTAGGCGCAGTCTAGCGCAAGGCGCTGATGTTGTTCACTCCGACTCGCCTGGGCTAAGGTCTAGAGCTGGCAACGTTGTCCAAACGTCAGGCTGTCAGCTTACTCTCACGGTTGCATTCCGTTTGGCTCTCCATCGTGGACTTGATCTGAAATACTCTTAAGGAGAGAAAAGCAGGGAGGTGAAAAAGATAGACAAAGGTCAAAGAAGGGCGCCTAATCGACCCCCTCTAACATCTCTAGGGCGACAGGATAGTTTGTGGGTAACTAGTTTCCCGTTGCCGCTCAAGTTCAGCTTTCGTGGCTATTCCTTTCCTAGGAGCCGCTATCTCACTGGAGAGTGTGGAACCAAACAAAATCATGTCTCCGAAGTCTCTTGTGTCGCCAGCAGTTGTCGTATAACTACTAGATCCAGATTTTGGGAACAGCTGCCTACCAATAATTCACCCTGCATTTCCTTTGGAACCTTGAATTCGGACGTCACCTTGTGCTTATATATTTCGGTTGACCCGTCACCTGCTCGTTATCGGCTGGATGTGCCTACGACATGGTTATAAGCATAGTATTTATCAAATACTTGCTTTGTCTACCCACCAATGAGCTTGGGACCGACTGGCAATAAACGATGTTTGCTTGGTCCCCTTCACCTACCAGTACCAGTTGCACTCACAAGCATGCTATCGGCTGTCTTCATCTGAGCTCGGTTTGTTGCTTGTGTATGTTGTATTGTTCGGACCTACCGGGAAGACATCGATCAGCCGCAGAGGAGCACAGTATACAAAACAGTACAGAAACAACCCGTCGCAGATACTGCTGGAGGTGTGAGGGTCCGTATTTCCATCGTTACAGTCCCTATGCTTGCACAGTGTTCCTGTCGCATTGATTGTCTACCCAATTTTACTCATCGAATGTTCTTTCATGTTTATTTAGTGCATTTTTGTCTTGACCTTCACTGTCTAGATCGCTCACAGGTCCGCGTCTTGTGATTTAGAATACTGGGGTGCTTGTAATCCCCATCTGCGGCAACTCACCTTTGCCAATTTACCATCTTCACCCGAAAACTTTCCTGGCGATTTCATAGTGTCCCACTCGAACAACATCTCTAACACTTCTCGAGCCCCCTTTCAAACAGCATACCCACGTCGTCAGCTATCTCAGTCTGGTAGTATTGAAACTCTCCGAGAAGAGCTTCAGTCCATCCGTCACGGGACTTTAACAATCCTCAATAACCTGCAATTGCTGACAGAGTCTCTCCCGATGGCGCAACCTGTCATATCGAATTCCTGGGACTCAAGCAATATACCTGAGCTCCCCAGGATTAATCCCAACTTGTCAGCTTCCGTCATGAACAGCCCTGGGGGTATGAGTTCTTCTGGGTCACTGAACATGCAGAACTCTACAAACCAAAGTATCCTGAGCGCGCAGGCTGTCAATTCCAGTCCTTATATTCCGCATGGACTTCCTAACGCAGCCAGCGGTCTCTGTAAGTAATGCTCGTTTCCAATTCACATAATTGCTAATCGATGATCAGATCTCCCAGGTCCAAACATATTTGGAACACCTACAACAAATAGCGGCCTCTCTTTTCCTCGGGCCCCTGACCAATTTGCTACGTTTCCTCCGCAATATTTGCACAGCAATGACTCATTCCCTAATATGCAGAACCAATTTGGCCAATCAGTTAGCTTGGACAGCACTGAACAGAGTCAGTACGGGAATAATGCGCCTCAGGAGTCTGAATTTTCTCAAGCGGTCTTTGAAAGACCATCTGCGATGACTGGGCAGACCACTCCTCCATTCGTACCTCCGAATACTTATTATCAAGACGTCTTTCCTTACCCCGCTCAGGCCTTACAGCAGCTTATACCATATCAAAACACGGCACAGGTTCCGCATGCTGCTAATACCCAGTCGGCAACACTAGGGGCAACGAGCCAGAATGTCCCTGTGGCTCCTTCGCTTAATCGGCAGGTATCATTTCGATCTCGCCCATATGGCCAGTTTCCACAAGCAGGGGTTTCCCCTACGTCTACATCGATTCATCATAGGCGGCAGCATCGCACTCATAGTATTGCTTCAAGTTCCCCATCTGTCCACCAGCTACATAGCAGGACAAATTCTCAGAATTTACATTTGCGAACTCGGTCTATAAGGGAGCCAAATACCTCGAATGGGCTTTCCCCCCATATCCACAGGAGTCACATTACGATGGCTGGAACATCGCATGTTTTGCCCAATACGGGAAGTGAGACTCAGTTGCCCCCACCACTTACTCAGCAGGAACAAATAGAGCTCTCTCGAAGACTCCAAATGAGAGAGCTATTGCGTTCCGCACGTTCCAATGAAACCCATGCTTTGCAGCTATACGAGGAAAACTACCTTCGCCGCCATCATCGTCAACAGGAAGAAGCCGCGTCGCACGCAAAGGGGCTTGACGATCAGAAGGATGGGCGTCCGGAACCCAAGGATGACGAGGAGCTGACTGTCAACCTCGAGTGTAAAATCTGCATGAGCCAGCTTGTGGATACTGTACTTATTCCTTGTGGACATGCGATTCTTTGCCGCTGGTGTGCTGAGCAGCATGCGCGGTCGGATCGGTCTCGACCAAAGGCAGCGGTGCTATGCCCGCTCTGCCGCACTCCTGTGAAGCAAAAGGTACAGTTTTGCACCTTGTCTAGTGACTCTATGCTGACTATAGGCAGCTCCGCATCTATCTCTCCTAACCTACTACTATAATGGAGGATACCATGTGTGGTGGAATCTACGATTTACGACCGTTATGTAGTGCATCTCTAGCCTCTTCTTGCTTTCTTGTTCTTTATGACTTCCTTCGCTGATTCTTGTCCATTTCCCCATATTTTGGACTAATTGGGGCGGTGATTGCATTATTTGGAGTATAGGTTCTAGCGAACGACTATCAACAATCTCGGTCACATGATCTTCGCCAGTGAAGTTTGGCACTTGAGACAGACTGGTTAACTGGTTCCAAAATGGTTCTTAGTCTTATGAGACACTATTTGTATCTATGCTAGACATGCATTTTTTTCAATTGCATGGATATCTCCTGTTGATGGCCCACTCGGGTAGCAATCTATCTCCCTGTTGTTGCCTTTGTAGTATATTGCTGGATCAATGTTTTCAAATGGCCTAACTCTCATGTAAAGGATAACTAGATTGACGAATCCAAATGCGAGAGTGTCTTGCCATCCAGATAAATCAATATACTTACCACGTAGTTGCGTATATAACAGCATAATGTGGTGGTCGTAGCCTGCTCCTTCACATACGTCGTCTTTCGATGACGGCTCAACTTGCAATAGAACCGTGGGCGAAGTGGTATGTGTAAATAGGCATTATCTAGCATCTATCTCGAGATTCCACTCTAATCGCAAAATGTATGGGTGAGAACTACATTGTACATTTCAAGATCACTGGTGGAACCTTGAGGTCTCTAGTACCTTCACAGCCTACCTAGCAATTACCTAGAGCGGGTAAATAAAGAACTTATTCTCCAGATCAGTCAAATCCAGCATCGCAAGGTCAACTTTTCTTCGGATGATCTGCCCATTCTCATCCAGCTGTTCCACACAGCCCTCCTCACGCTCACTGTCACTCAGTTCCGCAATCCACTTTCTCCGTTCCTCGTTTCGCCGCGCTAGGATAAACCAAATGATAAGCAAGATAGCGGGCGTGCCTGCCCAACTTATCACTATCATGGATACCCAGGCACCGTAGTATCTGGGTGCAGCACTGGGGACCCAGATCTGCGGGGATACGAGGTTGCCGACGCTGTAGCCGAGCATGAACATTACGTTGCGTGTGAGCTTCTTGGTGTATCCAGCTGCAGAAGATGTCGTCCAGCCAAGTGCGATGATATAGGTGATACCGTACGTATGTCCCGCTAGAAGCATACAGGCTAAGAGTGCGAGTTTATTGTCCCAGGGGATCGCCACCATACCGATTCCGCCCGCTATCGCAGGGAGACACCAGAAAAGTCCATGAATCGCTAGATAATTTGGGAGCCACTTCAGTACGAAGGTGGCAACGATACAAAGTGCGACACCGAAGCTGCCCCCTGCCACAGCGACGAGCGTGGAACCAAGTTGGGAAACACCAAGAGAAGTCGTGAGAAGATTCTGTTGGCCATAGGTAAGATTATTTGAGTACATCAGAGTGAAAGCCTGTAGTGCGAAGAGCCAAGATACAGGGTCACGCAGAGTTTCGATGAACTGAGACCTCTTGAACCGCTTCTGTTCGATCGAGCTCTGGCTGGAGTCGTGCACTCGGCGAATAACATGCACTTTCTCTTCCAGAGTCAGGAACCGAGCTTCGGCAGGATTACTCGGGTAGCAGAACCAAACCCAGATAGAGAGGAAGAAGGTGATTCCGCCGGTAACGATCATGAAGAGCTTCCAAGGAAGAACTGCGCCATGGCTGTAGAGCAAACCGTATGCGATGAAACCTGCAACGATGGGAGCTCCTTGGCAAGTCACCCAGAGAATCGGCTGGAGGAAGGATTGTTCCTGACGGTTGAAGAACATGCCGATGGTCATTTCCATCGCGGGTACAATGACAGCCTCCACTGCGCCGAGGGCAAGTCGGAGGACTACCAGGCCGGCGAACTTGGTCGCTACGCAATGAAGGAAAATAACAGCTGCCCATAGAAAGACGATGACACTGACAAACTTTCCGAAGGGTAGACGTTGCATAAGATAGTGTCCGGGCCATTGCGCGGCAAGGTAGCCTCGAATCAATGTCAGCAATTGCTCCGATATAACAGAGGTAAGTGCAATAGTTCATACCGATATAGAACACAGTATTTAAGTCGTTGTACTGCTTTTTAGAAATGCCCGTCTCTTCGAAAAGCCCAAGAATCGCTGCGTAACCAAGTGTAGACTTGTCTATCTACAAGCCGATCATTAGAATTGATCCATGAAACAACAACTGCTGGTATACTCACAAACAGGACAATGTTAATCGCGGAAAGCAAAACCATAATATTCAAATACAACTTCCGGCGCAACCTTTTCTCCTTCCCAGGACTTAGGGGCCCGAATTCATCGCCATGGTCTTCGATAATGCGTAATGTGACATCTGCATATTTCTCTTCAACAGTTTTTGCTGCTCTTCGAGTCGTGGGTTTCTCTTCCCCCTTGTTGCTCATGGCTCTATGTGGCGTATGTTGAAGTTTCGTTCAAGTGCTGTCAAAATGCCAAGCGGAGCCCTTCTCATGAAATGTATGACAAGTCATAATCCCTTGCATATATGCCAACTTCATCTGGCTGTTTTTGTAAACTTCCTGAATGACCGGATTTCTTATCATTGATGGTGCAATCCCCATAGTGATTGTGCAATACTATCTATACGACCGTTGACCCCACCATGGAATGGGAACTTGCAGATTAGTGGAATGACTGTCGCTTTTTCTCCTATAAAACTGTGTAATAATGTATGGTGTCATCGTTAACTGACATTGCATCTTAAGCCTTTTCTTTTCTGAGTGTAGAGGCCAAGATCATGGATTCGCATCCTTGTAATCTGGTGGATATTTATTATTGTTGAGGAATAAAAGGTTGATAATTTCGTGTGGTTATTATAAAGTGACCCGTGATTATCTGTGCAAACAAAGTACATATTTCCGAGATAGGTATAAATACTCAACGTAGACAGCGATGGCTTCGAGAAGACGAAAATAGAAAGGTAGGTCATTTTTACTTTTGGCTTTTAGCATTCTGTCCCTTTAGTAAAAGCCTCATGAACAGAATGAGTCAAAGGTTTCAACCAATATATTTTTATCCAGCTACGATGAATATATCTGCATCAAGGTAGCTAACACCCGAACTTTGATGCCATTCGACATGGTTTATATCAAGTTCAAGAAACTAGCTCTCACCTAGGGTTTTAGGGGCATCCAGTACTGTGGATAAAGTATATTAAAGACCCAATTCAAGTTACACTAGGTCCTTTCTTTCATTGTACTGAGATATTAGACTATGGTAGTATGTTAATATAGAAGAAACACCCCTCAGACGTTGAGGTATTGTCTTTCTAGGCCTTTTGTGAGCCGAGCGAGCAGCTTCTTGCTCCTCCTGGGGCCTTGACCGAACCGAGTATGGTATTAGGACCCTACAACATTATATCGTGAATGTCCACAGATGAAGTAGCGTCGATTCTTCTAGAAGTGAGGCTGAGCGGTGACCTGAGATACGTAGCAGTTTTACTAACTGTGGGGTTCGCTACCGGGAATTAACCACATGGACGAGAGGGTTGAGAGATTATCTCCGTCTGCATATGTCTCGGCTCACTTGCGATTGCCCAATCGATGTATTATTCATGAAAACTTGGCTTTCATTAGCGCATACACAGTAACTTGCAATTGAGCCGACGTTGTTATAGCCAAGTTGATCAGATAAGGGCGTGCATAGTTACAAACTCGAGAATTGAAAAATGATCTCAAACTCCATTGCAGCCCTTTTAATCAACGAGTCTCTATAGACCAAGTCTTGATACAGTTCGAGTCGCAAGCACTTTGATACACATATTGTTGAAAGCTGGTTAATGTCATTTTTGACGTCACAACACTTGAGTATCCTCGGTCGGTCAGAGACAACATGAGCATAGTCCCCGCAAGCGAAATGAACAAGGAGGGGCCGTAGGCATACGTAAGAAACTCAAATTCTAGTAGTATTTTGATGGTTGAGCTATTTCCGGGTCCAAAAGGGTCTGGATGTCTGGGTCTTTGCTGCCTTCAGCCGACCAAGTGGAGAATAGAGCTCTGGAGGAGATCGTGTGATAATGCAATGGGTCAATGCAACTGACACACTGCAATACTAGTATGTATGGCCTCTGCAAGCGCCGAGATAAAGTTTGGAAATCTCGCATGAAAGGAAGGTTAAGTTCCTGTTCACCTGCAGGAAACCCAGAGTGGAAATGGACCAGAGTCGAGTCGATGACTCCCTTGAACCCTAAATGGACTGCGCCACAGTCCCCATGAAATCACGCAAAAGCCAACTGTGGCTGATCCCTTATACTCACGTAGTTTGGCTTGTCTTCTGGGTCAAACTAATTTAGAGATGGGACCAGACCCCTGACCCGTGCCAAGAGAGGCCAATCGCATTCCATCTCAGCCGTACTTTGCCACATCGTTCGATCTGCAAGAGATGGGATCGTGCCCACTCTACATCTGTTCATTTGTCGACGGGCGCATAGCGTGATTTCGGTCTTCCCTCTGCCCCTCATGAGCTGAAAGGGTATGAACGGGATCTCCAGAAATCGCTGCCTCGATGAGGAAGCCCGGTAGCGACATAGAGCTGCCCCTCATGCCCCCCTGATTGAGATATAAATAATGGCCATTACGGCTTTCTCTTGCGTCTGTTTGTTTTCATCTTGCCTTCGTATTCCTTTTCCAGATCTGAACATTGTCTCAATTGCATTCCAATTCTTTCTCTCTAATCAAATCTCTCAAAACACACAAGCCATAAACAATGTCTTACAACAACCGCGACAATGACTACGTATGTTCATTGCGCACACGTCTTCCAATTGTAAAGGCGGGCACTAACATTAATTGCCTATCAGAACTCCAGCCGCTCTGGCGGCCATGGTGGAAATGATAGCTATGGCGTAAATCTTGCTCATTTCATCGCTCACTACTTGTTCTCAAACGTTACTAATGCTTCCTAGTCACGCCAGGGCAATGACTCTTACGGAGTATGCTATCCCCCTGTTGGCATTTCAGTCAAGTCTTCTCAGCACTAACGTCTATCAGTCCTCTGGTGTAGGAAATGACTCGTACAGTGTATGTCTACCCCCTCACCCCAATTGGTACATTTCACAATAACTCACCATCGCACACTACAGTCCAAGGACGACAGTTACGGAGTAAGACACAAAGCCCGGCCAAACATCGACACCCCACTAACAGTCGCATAGTCCTCAAACCGCTCAGGAAACTCTAGCTACGGCGGTTCTGGAGGAAACGACTCCTACGGTTCCCGCCGTGATAACGACAGCTATGGCTCCTCCGGTAACAACAACAGCTCCTTCGGTTCCAGCAACCGCAAGGACAACGACTCCTACGGATCATCCGGAAACAGCTACGGATCCAAGAATGATTCCTACAGCTCGAAAAAAGATAACTATGGTTCTTCCAATGATTCCTACGGATCGGGCTCGAAGAACGATAGCTACGGCTCTAGCCGTGACAATGACAATGACTCCTATGGCTCAAAGAAGGATAACCATGGTTCCTCTAGTGGTTCATATGGCTCTAAGGATGACAACAGCTACGGATCTTCTGGCGATTCCTATGGTTCCAAGAAGGACCACGGCACTTCCAGTGGCTCTTATGGTTCTAGCCGTCGTGACAACGATAACGATAACTCTTATGGTTCTAAGAAGAATAGCTATGGCTCTTCCAACGACTCCTACGGCTCGAAGAACGATTCTTATGGCTCTAAGAATGACAGCAGCTACAGTTCCAAGAATGACTCTTATGGCTCGAAGAATGATAGCTACGGTTCCAACTGTCGTGACAACGACAACTCATATGGCTCCTCTGGCTCTCACAGCTCTAACCGCCGTGACAACGACAACAGCTACGGATCCTCCGGAGACTCCTACGGTTCCAAGAATGATAGCTATGGCTCTAGCGGTCGTGACAAGGATAGCAGCTCTTACGGGTCCTCTGGTAACAACTATGGCTCAAAGAATGACAGCTATGGATCTTCTGGTTCCTACAGTTCCAATAACCGAGGTGACGCGTACGGTTCCAATGAGCGCTCTGGTGGATACGGTAACTCCGGTTACTAGGCTTTTTTGGTGTCATTGTTGGTTGATGGATGTATTTCATTAAGTCTATGACTTTATAAACATAACAACTTGAGATTCGAATTCTGGGGTTTTGTTCGATTAATCTGAATTATAGTAACTGGACTTAAGTGGATTTATAGGTTCTGGTAAGTGGATGATAAACGGAAGGGCATGTGATTAAGAATTGAAGAATATAAGGAAGAGGTATGATTTAGAGAAAGCTTTCCCATCCATTTTTAATGTTAAAAACCACTGAGTGGTACCTTGTTTCGAGTATATTTTAGGATATCGTAAACCTCCACAACTGTTCCCAATGTAGGCATCTTTGACATGGAAGTATGATGATGATTATATCCATTTTCACTATCCCAACGGAACAGAATGCTTGCATCGCTCCTGCCATGCCTCGTCTGGAGGATACATGCGAAAGCTTCACTCCATCCACCATGGCCATTATACAGGCAGTTCATAGGATTCATGCTTTGTTGTCGATATTGACTGGAGCTCTGCGGGCTCAGACATGACTGCTACTTTCTTCGGAGCGGGTGTAACGGTAGCTCGGCTCAAACATCTTCTCTAGTGGCCTGTTTCCTGCGATTCTGCACAAAAAGAAGGCTGCGGCTGCGATGATCATGATCGCCCCAACGGATATGCCAACTCCAATTCCTGCATTCATACTTGTGGAAACTTCTTGGCTGCTTTCCTCAGTATAGGATCAGGAATCGCTGTCAGCGTCACCGTCGTCTTGGGTTGTTCTGTGGTGGGCAGGGAGCCATTTGGGACTGAGGTGTCAGTAACGGTTCCTAGTCTGACAGTAGTAGTACGAGGTATCGACGATATCATAGACACAATGGTAGTAGAGATGGTAAGGGAAAAAACCACTGACTTTGGCGAGTCCTTTAACACTCATGGTGTCTATCCAGTCGGCGTTCCATATCCTCACGAATGCAGATGGACCCAGAAGGCCTGTAACATGCTCAGACTCAAACGCTATAGAACTGGCGTTAAGTTTGACTAGTGCATGTGAATCAATACTGTGTCCTTCTTGCCCAATCTGGAAATCGGCCTCCAAAGGGTCGTGTAAGCAGTTATATTTCCATCTCACAGTGAGGCCATCCATGGCGTTCAGTCGATCGCCTTGGGCTGGTTTGATGATTTCGACCCCCTTTTTTTTTTTTTTTTTTTTTTAGTGAGCGAGCAGAGAGCATTACGACTGAACGAGGGGGTTCCTTTGTACACTAAGGGCTGTAGTTGCGCTAAGGAACTTGAGTACTCACCATGAACAAGAGTTAGCAGAGGGAAGAGAAGCACCAATGCTTGTAGAGGAAACGTCATAACTGGCTGGGAATTGTACATTCTGATCAAGCCCTACCATATCATGAGGGCTGCTCAGAGTCACGGATCGACAGTTCTAGGAAGAAGGAAAGGGTAATATGTCTCTGGGTTCCACCAGGTTTAGGCAGTGTCTTCGCAGAGCCACCGCATGAATGGAAGAATCTTCACTCATATTAGGTTCTGCATAAGCCGGAGCGGTCTGGGGAGCCCAGAATTCATGTTTCAGTCATTATTGGTTGTATAAACCTGTTGGATCCCTTGCCTTAGAGCACAATATGCGGCTGAGACGGTGCCTATGGTTGTACTGATCTGAGCCTTCTTTATTGGACAACGTTGACCGTGGCATGCTTGCATCGCTCTGGCTAGGTAGGCTGTGTATCTTTCCTAAGAATACTGTTTCGGTCCGTTGGTGCCGATACCCGGTGGTGTAGAGAGTCGGGGTCTGCATATTTAAGCCTGAAGTACCACCCTCTCAATGTACATATAAAGGCCACCGGGGAGCTGTGAATCGGCATCAATAGCACCGATATCATGCTCAGGAGCATCGATTCCACAATGTAAAACACTACTGCTGTATATTACGCTGTTAGCAAAATGTCCATCAAGTAGGGAGACAAAAGAGCCTGGAGGTGGCCTACCACAAATGTTGACATCCTTGTGTGATTCGTGAGTGTTGGTGTAACCAGAATGAACAGGACCAGAACCACGGCATGTATGTACTTGACAAATAATGAGACTAGTCGCGAAAATAGTTAGTAGTTTGGGAACCGAATAACAAAGCAGCATCGCACAGCAAGGTTAGTATATGCGACTCTGTAACAACTGTGTGGGGCCAGATTCATTCTGGGCGACTGCGACAAAGGCTCGGGAGATTTCAAGTTCGAAACACTATATGACTGGCTAACCTGCTGTCACTCGTGACCATCTAGTATAAGAGGTGTCTTTTCTCAAGTAGCAAAGGGTCACCAATAATACAAATCAGTAGAAAGTCAGTTGATTCGGTTCACTGTAGATATAATAACAACTTAAAGTAGTAAAGCCAGAGTAGAAGTTGATTCAGTCACACAGGCAAACATTAAGCATCCGCTATCAGAAATTCTCCTCGATCCTGACAATCTTTTCCGTTTCCGCCTAGTACAGAAATCCCGTGATAGGAACAATGACTATTGGGGTTTCTACGCACTACGTTTTCCTTTACGATGCCCTGGTTAATATGACTATTGTCTAAACACATTAGCAGGGCTAGACAAGACTAGGAAGAATCTGTCGGAACTGTCATAAGAACATATATGTTTGAATTATGTATTCTAACCTGTTGACGGAGGACACGGTACGCCGTCTTGTAGACCAGGCAACTGGAACCTATGCCTTACCAGGTATATAGCACTACCAGGTTTTGTTTCCACCATCTTCTCGAGTTCTGAGATTGTCTCAGATTTCAGAGCTGTCTCGAGTTCCAGAGCAAATGGCGTCAGGGAAAACTGCCGCGAAGAAGGGTCATATGCTATCCAACGATTGAACTAAAAGATGTCAGTACAAGCATCCACACTCTCGCTTGACCACGAGCACTTACCTTCGCCAGTCTCACACCCAACCAGAGACACCGGTACATTCTAGAGATACTCAGGGACTCTCGTTCGACATTCCGCCCATCTTGATCAGAAGGGCAATTCTCAAAGAACGATGAAGGATAATAAACTTGGCTCCAGAGCTGGCCACGAATGAGGAAGTCTTCCGGAAGCCAACTTGTTTCATTAGAGATAGGAAACTCGGCCCCCTCGATCAAGTTGAAGTCAAATTCATCCAGGGAGGTCAACCAACCCTGAACCAGTCTTTGAAGAAAACCCGGTTGAATGATCATATTGAGGAAGATGACAATTCTGTTCCAAGGAACTACGGCTTCAACACATTTCATACCAGACGCGGTATATGACAGACACCATAGGAATGCCAGAGAGGTATGGAGTGCGGGGAATAGATTCATGTTGTTAACATGTTCAAGCATAACGGAGAATGTCTCAAAAGCAAGGCAAGACCCATAAGCCAGTTGGGAGGGACCCTTTTGAGCCCCAAGGGTAAGGAAACTAGTCACAGCCTCATGGGCGCTTGTGACGGGGTCTTCGGCAGCAGCAAGACTCTCAAATGGGTTGGGATGCTTTGTAGCCACTTGGTGAAATTCAGCGCATAGGAGAGAATCACTGTTACTGTATTCTAGCATTGCCGCAATATTAGAAGAAGTGAGGTAAACTCCCTGCATTCTGAACGTCACGCCCACTCGGGGAATATACTTTTCCAGTGAGGACAAGAACTCATCCGCTGATTTAATGAAATGAACTGCAGTAGTTTGCGTAAAAAGGTAGCCATGGGCGGACACAAAGGCAGTCGTGACATGGGGGTAACCAATCACTCTTGGACCTTGCAAGAGCGGGCTAAAAAAGCGCAGGATACTCACCCTGGTGCGTGGGAATGGACGCACACTAACCAGGGATTTTGTGTAGTAAAACAGCTGCTGGACAATATCGGGCCGCGCTAGAACCCCGAGATGGTGTTGGATCCTGCCGACATCAGGGTTCTTATCTACTGCCTTATTGTACCAATATCTTGCAATTCCAACCCAGATCTCATGATCCAGCAAGCCACGTTCTTCAATAACAACCCCATATCTTGACAGGTCTCCAAGACACTCAATCCAGGTTTCTTCAAATGCCGGGACGGTCTCTAACAGCAGTGTTAACATTGAGTAAGCCAGATAAATGAACGTCAGCATGTGTTCGAGGGATTCAGGAAGTCGACGATGTAATAATTCCAGAAATGTCTGGATTCCGTAGCGCCACATACGAGCGGGCACATTGTACTTTTCTGATGATTTCCTCAAAGCTAGGTTAGCCGACGGATGTTGCGAGGCCATGAAAAAGTCGTGATGCTCTTGGAGTAAGGTTCGATGTAGGGCGATCAAGGCTTGCCATTGCTGATGGGACAACTCGCTTTCCTGTACAAATTGTTGTTTGACGATGTCGATACACTTCTTTTCCACCATGACGAGCCCGGCGTAAATTCCTCGAACCTCATTGGCTAATTGATCTTCTGTTATAGGATGAGTTTCTGGCTGTAAGATGATCCCAGTTGATTCTATACCTCCAGCTACCGCAGAGTGCCCTCCAACCATCTTCTGTTCATGGCTCAAGCTCTCTCTAGATTCGTTTGATATAGGCGCGGAAGCCATAGCGCCCTGTGTAAGGTTCGCATTCGGTATATGTGGGCTTTCATTCAAAATCTGGTTGGAGTCTCTTTGGTGGTGTGTCTGTGAAAATTCCCCATTGAGATCGCCCGGCGATTTAGTAGAAGCACTACGAAAGTGAGTATCGGTTTCGTTAAATTGGGCCTTTGCCATTGGACTTTCAGTAATTGGCCTGCGGGTTGGACGATCGGGAGAGGCGCTGGATGGCCCCCGTCTGCTTTGCCGTGACTGACAACGCCTCTTGTTCGGAGATACCCATTCGCTATCAGGATCACTTAGACCATCTGCGAGATAACCAGTCGGAATATCACCACTCGACTCAAGTCTCTTCAAAAGGGAAGAACTGGTGGAGTGGCGCGCCTGGTTGGTTGAAGATGACCCTGCTGGTGACCCAGCATCCGATACTAATGGTACAACCGGCTTCCTGCGTAAAAGGTCAACAACTTGCTGCAATTGCCGGTGCGGCTGGTGGCATCCTCGACACATCTTTTAACAGACGCCACCTAACGATGCGTGAATTACTCACTTGGAGAAGTCTGCCTCGATTCCAACTTCGGGAGAACCCAAATGCTGGTCTCTTACAGGATCCCGGAATCGTAAAGGAAACGTTTCCCGATCAACATTATCGTTGCTCATTGTAGTTGGTAGAAGCATAGACGATATATCATCTGGTTTCGTTAGCGGCTTAACTCTGAAGTTCCAGAAAATATCAGGTCCAAGAGAAACAGGATGTTTTTTTCCCTTAAAAAAAAGAAAGAAAGAAAGAAAAGAAAAAGAAAAAGCAAAAAGCAAAAAGGAAAAAGGAAAAAAGAAATAGTCTTGTTCATTTACCAAGGCTGTATTAAAGTATGCTAAATGCGTAAAAATAAATCAAGCTTGCTTGATACGAGGAAAGACCGACAGTGTTAGAAAGAGTTGATCCGTTCCAGTCACAGAGCCTCCCGAATTGTGCACAGTCTATATTCATATATTGGAGGCTCTGGAGCACGTTGCAGAAGAGAGATATAACAAAAAGTGGGTCTAATTATGGTACAAAGAGAACATTCAAAAGCTTACCTGGGACAAAGAGGTTACTTATGAAGGAAAGAGGGGAGGTAATATTATGGTTAGGCAACTAGCCTCATCTTCCATCCATCTGCCTAGTAGATAAACGAACAAATTAGATCGGGACGCGGTACATTGACACACGAAGAAAACCCACAACTATAGGAATATCACGATGTGACTCAAAGAGTGAAAAATAGGAACAGTTAAGATATGGAGCAAAAAGTGACAACCATGGTGTTGAAGAGAGAAGTTGAAGGCGGAGAGGGGCAGCAGGAAATCGTCCGAAGCTGGCTGGGGTTATACTTTACTTAATAATGCCTGATATTCCCAAGTCAAAGCAAGCCACTTCCGGGTAGTCAGCCCGCCTTTCAGTTGCCTTCTGGACTATTGTGTTTGTTGCTTACCGGTTGATCCCTGAATAATTTCTCCCGCCAGGAAAAAAAAAAAAAAAGCAAAAAAAAAGAGAGCAAAACAAACCTTTAGTTTATTTTATTTTTCGTTTTTCAAGGATCCCACCAATGTACGATAACTAATTTGGATCCTGCATTGAAGATCAATTCTAATCTACGAGATATACCGATCGTTTAGGACGTGAAGAGAATCGAACAGAACCGCTCCAACCAGTGGTAGCGCCACATTTTATGTGGCGCACCCATGATGCTGTTCTATGACGCACTTCTCGATCCATACCAGTTCTGCGATCTATCCTCGTGGATCTGACAATGACCATGACGTTCACCGACAATTTAAATACTTGCCAATACCCAACCATCAATCTCTGTAGACTTCCGTCGCAATTATCCCATTGTTCAATAATCCACCAACCATTTTAATGCGATCCGATTCCGTGCTATTAATAGTGAATTGTCAAGAAGGCTGTGCTCTGGAAAGTTACCGATAGACACGGGTATCGTAGTTCAGATTTGGAAGAGTTGCCTGACGGCCTAAATCGCTGCCGATTGTCACGGGTCCCCTGATTGGCTAGTTCAAGCAAACTTGCACCACCTGTCCGCATCGACTTGCATTCCTGGCTCCAGCAAATATCAACGCGCGTGAGTCTCGAGCCTCTTGTGGGTACTAATACGCAACAGTCAGTAGTTTCTGTTATGAGTCAGTTCTGCAAACTGTCTTTCATACTCGTCTAGGTATAAAAGTCGCAAGTTACATCTATCCCGCCACGTTGTCTTGAAGAGAGCAACCAGCCTGTCTCTCTTTCTACACCACTAGGAGTCTTGCCGATATTGCGTCAGCTTACTAGTATGTCTCAGCGTATATAGTTCGTGGTGCTCGGATGCCAGCAAATACGACTGTTAGATGTCAAGTGGATGGGTCATTGCGTGCCAAATCGACCGAGCCGAGCCTATCCCCGGTCTACCCGAGCCAAGGACGAATAGAAACACTCTCTCTGGGCATACAGTTTATCGCTTGGACTGCTGAAGGTTATCGGGTATCGGTCCCAAATGATGTTGTAAAGAATAAGACTCTGGACAGTTGCCTTCCCTTGCGTGGACACCGCTTCTTCTGCCCTCTCCTGTGTCCCCCTAGCCTGGATCGGACTCGCCGCCATGTTTCAAGCAGAGCGTGCTATCGATGATTCCTGGGCTGGTCTCGAAGCCAGTATAAATACGTGCACATCACCTTTAATGACGGCAGTGTGTTGCATACTACGTCAGTAGAATACCCGCGTTGTTAGTCTTGGTCGGCGAACAACTTGCCTTCACTGAAGCGACAAAGTCTAGGTCTGTAGTGAAAGGTTTAAAGGCCACCAGATCTGGTCAATCAGCAAGGACTTCGTCCACCCGTCAGCCCTGACGAGGCTCGGAGCCTTGTAAATAGGAAGCCTACTTCATATCTGGTTGCCATATCCTATGTGGCTCTTCATTTACAAAGGGGTGCACTGCCTCATACAGTTATGTCATTAGGGAGCCGTGGTGACCAGGAAGACTGCAGTAGATTGAAAATTGGTGAACATGGTTTGCCATTTTATCGGACTCTTGAGATCATTACTTTTCTTCACTTTCTCTACTGCCCACCATGACAATGTCAACGTGTGTGAGCTATAATTCAACGAAAGATCAGGACACATACTCCTCGACCTGCCGCCAAACGATGAAATGAATATAAGGACAGGGGGAGTTTATTAAACATCCCTCCCGCGGCTACTTCCAAGCCCGGTTAAGACTCGTATCCTAATTTCTTCATTTATGGTGAAATGGGAATTGTTGCTAACCTACAGTTGCTTCTGCCGAAACTTGCAAATACATTCCAGGTGCAGCTTTCGCCCACACTAACGGTGTACTATCTTGAACCACATATACTATACTTCCTTTCTCCACTGCGCGTCGATTAGCTTGGTATGGAATGTTTGACAGGACTTAGCTCTGTAGTATCTGCGGTTTATTTTCAACTATTGCAAGGATACTGGTCAACACTCTCAGACCAAATCAAAAAGGATTCTAATGAACAGGGGCGCCGTTAATTAGCCTAAACCAGCAACTAGTATTCCAGACCTAAAGGCTTACGTTGTTGGATATCCATCGCAAGAATCGTGGGACGCTAAAACTGTGGGGTGCCTTACGAACATCCGCCGCCAAACCGCCCCAAATCCTCCAATGAATACCCGCGCAGCAGAATCCACTAACACCAAAAGGCCAAGCTGGCGACAGGAACGTGTCGGAGATATGTCCGCTTGTTTCCCCCCCTCACATCGTCTTCCCCCATCCATCTCGACGTCCCCGTCCATGATGCTCTTCCTCGATCATTCTGTCCGATTTTCATGGTAGTTCTTTCTCCAAGACAGGCTCCGTGTCGCATGGCTGGCCAAGTCCGGATTGTCCCTGTTCAGTTGAGCGCTTGAGCTCATACTATAACTTGTACCAGAAAACGTATCCTCAATATCTACAATTGATCGACTCTACCATGTCACAAGAACCGTGGACTGAGGTTTGCGCTCAATGCGCCCAGCTCCTCTCCAGCGTTCCCCCATCCGTTCTCCTTACCGCGCTTATCGCGACTCTGCTCGGGGCATTTGTACTCGTAAGTGCCATCTGTTTTATATCCCTACCTTCCTGGCAATGTTCTTTTTATATGATACAATTAGCCCCTAGGGCTATTTATGAAGATTGACTAATTGACATTCTTTCTTTCGCATACGTATGCAGGCCTACATAGCTCTCTTTTTCGTCGCCCCTGTACCCCGAGAGCCCTTTCCAGAAGAGAAGAAATACCGAACACTATCGAAGGATGGATCAATCACGGAACCCCAGCAATTACCTTGCTGGCAAGATTCCCTGTCCAAGCGCCCCAATCGGACACCCGATCAATCAACTATTGAAAAAGCCGACCTTTTTATGTCTGTGGTGATACCAGCCTACAACGAGGAGAAACGGCTTGGGGGCATGTTGGAAGAAGCTGTCAACTACTTAGAGCGGTCATATGGAACGCTACACAATACTACTGATGAAAACGGTATTGCCAAAGAGAAAAAGACAACTCGACAGCGGAAACCGGCCAATGGGCATATGAACGGCCATGCAGCGACAGGTCCTGGAAACGAGAAGGGCTGGGAGATAATCATTGTATCTGACGGGTCTAGGGATAAAACTGAAGAGATGGCGCTTAGTTTTGCCCGAGACCATCAACTCTCACTGCACCCCAAAGGTTATGCTGGTCCTTGGACCCCAGGCACTCAAGAGGGAGTTCACATACCCCCTGGGACAATTCGAGTCGTGACGCTGTCTGAGAACCGAGGAAAAGGAGGCGCCGTCACCCACGGCATGAGACATGTCCGGGGCCAATATGTGGTCTTTGCCGACGCCGACGGAGCTAGTGATTTCCAGGATCTTGGGAAACTTGTTACTGCTTGCCAGGACATCGAGGACACCGAAGGCCGTGGGGTAGCGGTGGGTTCCCGGGCGCATATGGTTGGGAGTGAAGCTGTTGTCAAGGTGAGAGAATCATCCCTCTGAATTACTCGGTCAATTCCGCGCACTAAACCCTGTCGCGGCATCTGGACTAATATTGACATGTTATACAGCGGTCCAAATTACGCAATTTCCTGATGCACTCTTTTCACTTAATCTTATGGCTTTTGACACCTGCCAAGACTGCTACCATCAAAGATACCCAATGCGGCTTTAAATTGTTCTCCCGAAGATCGCTGCCTTATATCATCCCATATATGCACTCGGAGGGATGGATTTTCGACGTGGAAATGCTCATGCTTGCTGAATTCTCGGGAATCCCAGTGGCAGAAGTTCCGGTTGGCTGGAGAGAAGTTACTGGAAGCAAATTGAATGTGCTTCGCGACAGCATTGGAATGGCCTGGGGACTGGCGGTCCTCCGAGCTGCATGGTCCCTAGGCGTGTATAGACGCGCATGAGCTTCCCCAATTAGAAGGAGTTAAGGAAAGATAAATGATTTGTATTTACTACGATTACTACTTATTTCGGCATTTCCAATTTCTACCAAGTCATACCCCTGTGAATGTTAGACATCTACCTCCATATACCGGTTTACCAAGTGGCAAACATGGACAAGAAACAAGTTGCAACGAGGACAGATAAATATGACGTCTACACAATCAGACAGCCATATATATAGTAGACAGGGAACCACTAAGACCATCGAGCTCCTTAGCGCGTTTCAACAAAATCCCATCCATCTATACTATACCAACAAGAAGAACTATAGTATCTCCCTAGCTCCTATTAAATAGGTTTTACCATATCCAACCAAATCCCGGTGGCAACTTAACTTTCCCAAAAGAAAAGATTTTCACCGTTTTTTTCCTTCACAAAATAAACTTTGATCGTCCCCTGAAGCCGGTTGGTTCGGACCGAATTTCGTCGTGGAAAACATCCTTTTCTCGGAATCGGGAGCGATGCAGATGAATGGGTTAGCTGACCGATTTAGTGGTGTGATGCTATAACCTCCCTCGGCTTCTTTGAAATTTTTTTTTTTTTTGCCTTGCCTTGCCTTGCCTCATCTTGGTCTTAAGACGTGTGTTATGAACAGCACATTGTTTTACTTGGCATGACCTGATTCTGACGCCAAGTTTTTGCACTCGCCTGACTCCTTTTTTTATTGCCAATCTTGCTTTTTTTCTTTTTTCCTCTTTGCTATCTGTATTACTATACATGAGGCCATCGGGGAGCTATGGCTTAGGGTGTGATACGGATCAGTCGATGATGACATTTTCCCGTATGGCGTTTGGAGCTTATATACCGTCTTACTTCACGTTTTCTCCGAGAAGGCAATAACCTCCATCTATACCCGAACAGCTTCAACATAATATCTTATCTATCCATCTATTATATACGAACTCGCAAACAGCAATTGAGCCAGGCGCTCACGCAAAGAGAGAAGAAATGGCACAAATATCACAATCTCCCCTCCTCCGCTTACCACTTGAAATCCGTCTGATGATCTATGAATACGCCCTGGATGTGCCAAACGAGTACATGGACAGACCGCTGATCGTGGTCAACGATCGCGGGAATTCCTTCACAGCGCGGGGCCGCTACCGCGCTCTATCAATGTGTCCCAGCTGGGTAGGCGAGAATGGTAAAGTCCGCAGCCTGCTCTCCGTGAACCGGCAAATCCACGACGAAGTCGAAGACTTCCTTTACTCGCATAATACGCTTTTCTTCCTGAATGCGTTTAGTCTGGACCGGCTGGGCGCGTTCCTGGATACGCTTAGTGAGACGGCGCGCAGGCGCATTCGCAGTGTCGGCTTTGAGATCTTCTTCTTTGTGCATTCGCAGACGGGCGTGCCGAAGCGGACCTTAAAGGAGTATGAGCGTGCCGGGAAGATTCTGAGCGAGAAACTGCCGAATTGGAGCAGTGTTGTGTTTTACCTTGATCCGAGGTTTTATTTCCCGTCGGCTGCTGTTGGGGGCAGGGAGCTGTCGGCTAGGGGCGTTTGGTATCTGGCGACGAAGTTTGGGGCGATGAGGAAAGAGATGCAGTTTTTTGCGCTGCCGTCTATTCATCGGCATGTTATGGATGAGGCCAAGAGGAAGATTCAGATGGGGAGGAGGGGGTCGCAGGAGCGCGCGTTTCTTTAGCGTGTGATCCTTCTCTTATTTTTCTCTTTTTATTTCTTATTCCTTGATTTCCCCCTTTTGAATGGGGTTCATTATCAGGTTTTCGGTGCATTATACCTAGTCGCACTCTCTGCTTCAGGGGGCTTTTTGGGGTTTCACTTGGGGATTTCAAGGGTGGGGAAAGCATTATCCCCGTGGATTGGCGGTCGATGCGCCATGACGTTTTTCGAAACTAGATGCGGAGATAATAACGTCTCTGTTCATTCTCCACCCACCATATTAATTATGTCTCGGAGTCCCTTCATCGGGCAGGTTCATTAGCGGGAGTTTTCAGGTCAGATGAGATTGGCAAGGAAATCATGGTTTCGGGCGCAAGGATCGTGTTCAAAAAGGGTTACATAGCATGTCTTATAGATTTCGGTATAATAATAGACTTCCATTGCTCAGATGATCATAGTGTGTGGTTGCTAAGTCGGCTGTGGAAGTGGATATGCTGCAGGCAATTCCTGTGACCAGCATACCAGGCACCATCTATTTCAAGTGCCTTAAACCCAATAGCTTCTAGGTTGGTTAATAGAATTAGCTAAGTTGACTAATTGTTTACCCACCGTCTACTATGGCTTACTGCTGACAATAGGTAGCAACACCACAGGGCCACCTAGTCAAGCTGACTGCAAACGGTTAAAGACTTTAAGCTTGGTGAGGTAATTGTATAGCATTTGTTGCTCGTAAGCAAGTTTCTCACGCTGGGGGTAAGAAAGAAGCGAAAAGAGCCCCTTGAACAAGGGCATAGACTATCATATAGAAGACAGTCATGCGTGCGTACCGGTACTGATTCATGATCCGAGTCTCCTTCTTACCCCGGCATACGTCCACTTTCTCCGATGACGCTAGCGAGTGCCCCTCAACTAGAGCATGTGCTAGCCAGAAATACCACACTGGATAGCCTGAGGACATGCGTGTGATTATTTGAACGTGGTGTTTCAGGAAAGTCAGGATGGCTAGGGTTATCTGGGGAACCGCTAGACTACGCAATAGACGACCTGTTAATGGCGCCTCCGAGTGAACTTGCGTTTTGGACATATTAGAGGAACTTTTGCCATTGCCCCTTTTCTGTCTATCCGATCCCACACTGAGTGTCCAAATAGCAGAGTATGTCATGATTGCCAGCATTGGGCCAGCTAAAGCGAACAGGGGGATATTGGACAGAGTCCAATACCGAAGAAAACCATTGTTCCTACTAGCGTTAAAATAGACATTGTAACTACCGAGAAGTGTACATACCAGTAATAGTCTTGAACGAAGCTATAGATGCTGGGAACAGTCTTAAGACACCATACCCTTGGATCACTGTTATCCACGCAGAACTGCTCATAAGCAATATATTGCGGTATCACAAATCCGAGGCCCGTGCAGATCCCAGCCATGCCAACAGCGATTAGTCGACGGGTTTTGGCGAAGGTAATCCCCTTAGTCATTGAGTGCAGGAGCCTTACGGCTTCCTCAAAGAGAATAATGCCATTTAAGAGACCATTGCTGCGAGCGGCTGTTGCTAATCCATACAAGATACCAGATAGCAGGAGCAAGGTATCATAGAGAGTCGAGGGAACCCCTGAATAACTAAAGCTCAGTACAAACAAGAGGGAACCCATGAAGCTCAAGAGAGCGTGGGTACTCTCGCCATAAGGAGCCGATAGGAATAGTCCAGCAGGCGATAAGATGTGTAAACATGCGGCGATAAATGCAAGGTTGCGGCCCTTCCTTCCAGGAAATATAGCACGTGCTAGACTGTACAGCACAAAAGCCGATATACCGTGAGCTGCATGAGCTACGGTGATGCCAATAATACTCTCTATTAACGCATAGCTTATGCCGGCTGCGTGTCGGAGAACTGGCATATAGTTAGTCGGTAAATCCACAGCTCTCCGGGGTACAAGTGCCCTCACTATTAACTAAGGTTCTGATGAGGCTTGCGAACCCAAGATTGAATGCCCATTCTTGCTCAAACAGGCAGCCTCGACGAGCGATCTCTGTAAAATAGATAGCGTCCCATCGGGTTAAATTAGTGGTAAGCAAGCCCAATATTGGTGTCAACAATCTATGGCGGTCTGTATTAGCTGCATTACGGCCCAGCGCCAGTAAGGCGGTCGAGGTATCATACGCAGGACCGGGACTGAAGACGACCAGGAGAAGTAGAAGAGCTTTCCAAGTAACAAAAAACAGTAAAAGATATCGATAGGATCGATCGAGTAAGGTTAACATTATAATCGATCAATTATTTGAGACTTTCAAAAGAGATCCCGGGCAATGCGACCGAGCTGATTGGCTCTACAGTACTGAATGGAAAGTGAAAGGGCCATGGAAGGGGTAACAAACCATGGAGTGGACTAATACTTAAAGAGGCTAACTACTACTAGTACTAACTTGGGACTAGATCAAGGCCGCTTTTTGCTCTGTTCAAGTCTACTAATAACATACCCTAGGCCGAAAAGCCGGATCGACTATCAGATACTAGCTCTTATAATGACCCAAACGCCAGGTGCTGTACTGCTAGTTTGATTTACATCCGAAAGCTGACATTTGCGAAAGAGTGACATTTATGTACGAGGTGCTGTTCTAAAACAAAGAAATAATTGTAAAAAAAAAAAAAAAAAAAAAAAAGAGGGGGGGGGTTCCTCTTTATAGTAAAGGGCTTGTTTTGTTACTCACGAAATTTTCTATGAAGAGTTCCCTATATTTGAACGATTCGAGTCTCAGACAAGCATTAGGCGGTTGAGGGCTATATAGCCACTCATTAACCGCGGAAAGGTCGGTGACTAGTAGTGACACTTCTGAGTAGTCAAACCAACCCTGTGCTTAAGAAATTTACTGTAGAATGATAGATATAATAGTGCTAACCATTCCGTACCTTTCCCATTTCATTTCCAATTCAAGGTAAAGAACGCCTAGCCCGAAGCGAAGAATTGATGCATATGCTTCTCGATAGGGTGCTTCAGTCAACGATGTCTCTATGGGCCAGAACGAATATAACACTCGTTTCTCACCGCAACCGCGCAACACTGTTCTCAGCCTGGCCATTTCTAGAGCTAGCTACAAGCTAGTGAACCGTCTCATTGAACAAGAAGCCAATGTTCATACAAAAGAGGAGCATACAGACCCTAGATTTGGGTTTAAAACTGATCTCCGGGACATCACCGCACTCCATTATAGGAGTATCTATTGGAATATAGAGGGTATCCGAGTGCTGCTGAATTATCTGGGCAATGCCAAAATTGCAGACATAGTATCAATTCGTAATAGCTTTAGAATACTACCATTGCACTGGGCAGCTATAGACAATGACACACAGGAACAAGAGAAATATTTCAGAGAAGACAAACTCTTTTCTAGATATATTGATATCCTTAAATTATTGTTGACTGCCAATCCGAGCACTATTAATGTGCAGGATAATAAAGGGTCCACAGCCTTGCACTATATAGTGATTAACTACATAGGCACTAATAGAGAAGGTCTAAAGAATATCTTTCAATTTCTATATAAAAATAGTGCCGATGCGAGTATATCAAACTATAAGAGACAAACAGTGTTACATTTATTGGCTCTATTCTCTCGAGACTGTGGTCCTATTGACACAGCTGTCATAGATTTATTGATTATACATGGTCTCGATATCCACTAGACTGATAAATCCGGTGCCACAGCTCTCCACGCGATATTAATATATTTATAATATATTCCGGTGCTTAAGTATCTTCTTAAACTTGGGACGGATGCAACGATTCAAGACTCAGAAGGAAATATGCCTCTTTACAAACTTATGACACGTCCGTACTTGAGGACAAAGAATATAATACTGGCTCAAAGAATAGCAGTGCTGAACGAGATCACGGTAGCCCTACAGAAAGCTGGCAAGGTTAATATAATAGACCAACCAAACACTGTAGGACAAACATCTCAACAGCTACATACGAAAATAGTAGCCATATAGCAGAAAGCGGAAGAGCATAGAATAGAACAAGAGACTAGAGAGGTTCAAGATTATAGCTACTGAATCCTATTGAACATGGGTACTTCTAGTCTGAGTAAAATACATGAATATACACGAGGTGTATAGGACGGGATAGCTAATAATCCAGTAGGCACTGTAGTGCAGTGCCATAATTTCCACGTTTCTATAAATATTCTGGCTAATGAGTTTCTTTTTTGATATCAACCCAAGTATTTATATAGAGAGGGGGTTGTTCATTTGAAGATTGTTTCGGTTAAGAGGAGATAGACTATTCCGGTATTAAGTATAGGTACAGAATAAACAGCTTTCCCGGAAGGACTCCGGGAGCACGATGAGTGAGTATTTATCTGGTGTGTGTGTCCTGGAGTGTTCGCTGACGTGCCCGGATCAATCCGTGAGCGATCCATATGTTATCACGTGAGGCCTTCGTAAAGCAGCGGCACTTGTAAAGGAAGAATAATGCTACAGTAATACCACTAGTAGTAGGAGTGCTTGCACACTAGGAACGGCTACTACAGTAAACGGTAGCAGCCAAGCTGACCGCCTACTCGCTGTCACAAGATTACGGAATTACTAGATCGGGAATTCTGCATGATGCCCGCCACTCGGTGGAACTTTGATCATTCAGAAGTTCACCTGCACGCACCAGTCGGAGTGGAGCATGAGACATTATAGAAGATATTCATGAGATTTTCCGGTGGCACCCGCATTAGGAAGTTGAAAGACAGGCAACTATCGAGAATAGTGTGGAGAGGCATTTGGGGGTGACAGCAGGAAAATAACGTCATGGCCCCCCTCGTGATCGGCTTGAGACCTCATCCGTCGAGCAAATAATGTCAACTTTATTATTCGCGCAACGTCATTGTTTTTTTTGTAATGTCTTCCATGTACATATATCTCGGATGGTACTCCGTACACAACCAAAAACTCATTTCGAGAACAAACAAGCAACACACGACTTCCTGTCACTGGCAACCGAGGCGAGGTTCAAGCCCAGCCACAGGATATCTTCTCTCCTTACTACCTAGTACATAGTAACTACTACTAAGTAGTACTAACTGATACTAGTAAGTGGCATTTTCCCCGCATGTGGGCCAATCATGAACGCCTACTTTGTTGGGCTGGCATGAAAGAAGTTCTGATTCATTTGCCTTAAGGCCTTAAATTTCGGTCCAAGAGACCCGCTTCGCTAGTAATACCTCAGGTAACAACACCAGCTTCCAACGGCTGTTGCATGCTTGTGAACCCAGCAAGTCAGGCGCATCGTCCACTTGTTCTCCCGCCTTTGGTCGCCTAGTCGCTGCAGAAGCCCACCACCACATTTTACCAATCCCAATTATCCTTCCCATGCGCTTCTTGCAGGGCTGCTTCAGGCGTCGTCGTTGATACCTCATTAGTCGGTGACTTAGCTGTTTTTCCGCGATTGGAAACACCTAGCACTGATCGTTTGCTTTTCGCCACTCCTGTAGGTTGTCCCTGGTGGATTCCCTGGTTCCATTCGTCGCATCCTGGGGGAGTCTCCACCAACAAACATCTGTGACTGTTTCATGACTGTCAATTCACTTGTGAAGCATGTAGCTAATGGTCATTAAGTACCCAAAGTTCTTTTCTTCTGATTCAGCACCGCTTTTCTTTCCCCTAAATCCCCTCCCAAATTATCCCTTTATAGGAGGGTTCGTCCACTTCAAGTACTCAATCGAATTCAATCTCTTGAACTGTCTTACTCGACAGTCGGCTACCACCACCACCACCCACAATCATGAAATCATCAATTGCTGCAAAGGTCCCAAACGGCCACGGTAGCGTCTACAAGGAAGTGCGCTTCTCACCAACTGCCACTCCCATTCGTCGTACCCAGTCGGTACCGAACGCCCATGCCGTCCATCATCCAGGAACATTGACCACCAAGAGGGACGCTTCGGCCTTGAGTGCAAGCTACATGGAACAGGCACAGTCGCTCCTTGTTCGTCAACGGGCTAATTTCGAAAATGAACGGTTACTTTTTGTAGAAGAAAGGCAACTATGGGAGAAAGAACGGGAACTGCTCAGATTGAGGATCACCGAACTCGAGTCGCTCCTAAAGGGTATTGGACATACAATTACTTCCACAGGAGCTTCAACCGACTCTTCATCGAAACCCAGTTTGACATTTAAATACCCATTCGACCCACAGCCTCCGGCAAGCTTATCCGAGGAGAATTACCAACACTGTGGCGCTCAAGTGTGGGAAGGTTCTAGCCCCGGAGGTCGGCCCACAAGAGTATTCCCTGAAATAGAGAAGTCAGATAGCCACAGTCAGCACCCGGAACAAGGCGGAGTTTTGTCAATCTCAGGCCTCTCTCTTGATGCTGCTTTATCGCCTCGAGCCCATGCGGCCGATTCTGCAATCACCAGTGTACCAGTACCGATTGAGAAGCTCGACAGCAAACTTGATGGCATTACGCTCAAATCATCTGCGTTGCCTCCAGAAATTGTCGCCCGCGTAATGACACCTCCATCACCTTCACCTCAGGAGGCATCTCCGGCTTCCGTATCTGAAAAAGCCCTAGAGCGCCGAAACAGTTTGAAGTTAAGGCTTTCAGAGTTGGGGACACTAGAGAGAAGGTTGACGAAGGACGCCGGGCACACTCCAATGGTCGTTATTGATGGTGACGCCGATGCGGATGTGGAAATTGAGCAGCCTTCTCCAAGCGAAGGGCGTTCGAAGGAGGGCGAATCCCTTGCCCCAGCGGCACCTCGGCAGCCCGCAGAAAACTCCGATTCGTACTTCTCCGATCTACCCGAAGATCCAGCCTTGAAAGGCCCTCTATCCCTACTGAACGATGAAGAGCATGACAGTGGCTTCCTTAAGGAATTAGACCAGAAGCTCCTTGATCAAGCAAAACAGGCCCTGGGGTACTCTGAGGAGTCCAAGGCTCCGGAGGTCGAGATTGAGGCTGCAAGCCGCGCTAGTCAGGAGCCAGAACTGAAATTCAAAAATAGCACGAATTTTGGTACTGCATTTGGTATCTCAAATCTGGGTGGGGTCTAAAAAATTTTTGGATACTTTACACGGCGGCAATATGTTTTACACTATGAATTTGTTGCATACATTACCAGTTGGGTTTATCATTCATACACGGGAGAGGCGTCCTTTCTGTTTTATCTATGGATATCATGAGTGACGATTTGGGATGATGTATTACCTTTTATTTATTTATTTTTTTTTTTCCTCTTTGCTTCTTTTTGGGATAAGATACAAACCACTTTCATACCGAGGAACATTTGTGTATACCCTACTAAACAAACCTTCTTTACCAATTGAGACAATCCTTGTCTTGCTCATATTGACTAGGCAGGTAACGCCAATAGGTTTGTGGCTCCTTGCATGGACCTGCGTCAAATCTCAGATCTAGATCCCTATCTTATCTCCTTTCATCCCTTAACCCCGGCGGTTCTCTCGTATTCTGTTATTATCTAGTAAGTTTACTGTCTTAGCAGCAGCTCTTTACAGTTACCTGCAGGATCCTGTACCTTCTAGTTTTATTATTTTGCCTTCTTTGCCCCTTGGCCCAAGCTTTGGGCCTGTGCTGGAAGCCCCCTAGGTCTTGTTTCTAGGGCAGTATGTCCTAGAAAGGGTATACGAGCCCTTGAGAGCAAACCCTATCTACGTATTAAGGTGATACTCCGAGAAGGCTATAAAAACCGTCTACATTCCTTCATTCCTGCTTCTCATCAACGCATTCCTTCACTTCTATCAAGCTTCCAATCATTGACTGAATCCATTCATTCGAGAAGCATTTTTTCTATCCCGTGGCTATTTGACATTCCCTCCACCAAAGTGTTACAGTCACTACCATCCTCGCAAAAATGTACGACGCTAAGAGTATTTCAGCCTTCCTGGTCCTGCTACTGGCTGCCGGACCTGCCTCAGTTGTTTCCGTGCCTGTTGCTGCGGTATGAAGACTTCATGTGTCCTGTCTGCTACATTTCGTGCAATATACTGACGAAGATCAGGACCAAAACATTGTCGCGAGACAGGTCAACAGCGAGGCTGAGGCAGGATCTAACTGGGATATCTCCATCCCCGACGGACCCTCATACAAGAGCGGCTCTCACGCATTTTCCGACTACCATGAAGGTCCTGGCAAAAACGGCGGCTCTAGCTCCTCATCCGAAGCTGGTGCCAGCGATAATACGGTAGTTTCTATTCCAGATGGCCCCAGCGTTAACTTGGGAAGCTGGGCGCACTCTAGCTATGAGCAGGCTGAGACTGAGCCTGAGCCCGAGCCTGAGCCTACCCCTACTCCTACTCCTACCCCTACTCCACAAGAGCCCCAGCCTTCCCCTCCACCTTCTTCAGTCCCAGTCCAGCCCATTCTGCCTCCATCACCAACTCCCTTTGTCCCCACCCCTCCACTGACCACCGCGCCTGCCCCTGAACCCCCTGCTCCATCACCCCCCGCTCCTGCTCCTGCTCCTCCTGCTCCTGCTCCTCCTGCTCCTGCTCCTCCTGTCCCGGCTCCCCCGGCCCCTGTCGAGGAGCCTGAGCAGCCTGTTGAAGCGTGCCCAGCTCCCGAGCCTGAAACTCAGCCTGAGCCTCAACCTGAACCTCAGCCAGTGGTAGTGCCGGAGCCCGCCTACACATGCAAATGCGCAGCATAAGGTCTTCCAGCTACGCCAGTCTCTTACTATCTAAAAGACCATACTGTCTAGAAGTACCTTACCCTTCTTTTTGTGAAAATTGACCTGTCAATTGCCTCTAGCCTCTTACGCTCCGACGAGTCTGTGGGGAGGATGTAGTTGATCCTATATATTTATTTTTCATTTTCCAGATGTATTTGCCACTCTATGTTAATTTAGCTATTGGCTTTGTATCTCTCATCATATTATGATCTTTTTTTTTTTTTTCTCATCTTATGTGCCTGCTTTCATTCTAAAGAAGCGTAATGATAGTCCATTCTATTAGTAGAATCTATGCCAAATCAATAATCAATTTATCTACCTACTTCGGCGACTCCTAACGAGTGGCAAACACATTTATGGTATCGTGTTAAATAACATATACATATCTATATAGAGAAATAAGAAAATACAATACAATTATTGTCCTTGCGTTGGCAATATCAGATCTGTCATATAGTGAAAGACCAAACTCAGAAAAGTGCCTATTAATATAACTATTACTAATAAGATATAGGCAATTATTGCGCTCGAATATGATTTATCAGGTTACCTGTAACGAATGCCAAATTATCTGGTTCATTGTTGCTATTTGGGTTTAATTCCAAATGGTGGCGCCCGAATGTATATATCGATGTTGACGGGTCTCATCAACAAAGTGGACCATTACCTGCAAGTCATATTTCGGATATTTTCCTGTCCACTAGTTTCAATAGCAGTGGTTTTATTATTTATTGGAGACTATTTACTTACATAATAAAATATAACACAGAGAGAAAAACAATCAAGAAAGGAGGAATAAAATATGAAGAACAGAAAAAGCGACGCATTCCACCTGAGGAGTGCTTCATACTTCAAGCCTCCAATTTTAAATCAGGGTGGCGGAGGAGGTAAAGTTCGGATAGGGTGTATCGAATGAAGCCACAATCATGTTAGGAGTCGTCTATGGAAATGAAACTTCTTGTGTAGGTACAGATACGAAAGCATAAAGAAATATTGAAGTTTATCTGGAAATCACTACCCTAAGTCCTAAACGAGCTAGCATGTTTCATTTGACATAGTCTGGGGACGACCAGAATGGTAAATGTAGACTAATGCTGTGGACTGTGCAGCTTTGGCTATCTTAATTACCGTCAGAGTCAATACTATATATTGGGATCGGCTATTGTTTACATCTTGTATGGGGTCGAGGTGTAGATCGAGATCTTACGCTTTTCGCGAAAATGAGTACAGAGAGCAAGGGCAAGAAATGAATGTTCGCTTAATGTCTAAGTCACCTGCTAATGTTGAGCTGTAATACTCCGAGAATTGATTGTGAAACCATGCCATCATCAATATAACCATCGCGCCAGAAAACAGTAATGAAGAGAAGGAGAAAACTCGAAGCCCGAAGTCAGAGCTGTGAGACAACTTCGATCATACTCCCATGGTGAAATCATGTTCAATCCCTGGTGTCACGCTAGCAATGAACTTCAGGAAAACGACCAAATACTGATCCACTCTGATGGCAACCTCCTGTTCTTCATCGTGCTGTAAAACCTCCCATTCATCTCCGCCGCTCTTGTCACTGCCTTGCTGTTGTTGGTCACTCAGGGAGAGTGCCTTGATGTCATCGACTAGCCCTTCTAAGCCGCTTTCGCCGGCGGAAGGCGCCTTGGATGGGTCAGACTGAGCTTGCTTCAGCTTTTCGCGGCGGAGTTTCAGCGCTGCATCTGCACGGTCGAGGAGTGTCTTCATCACTGAAGCGTGTCGGCATGGGTGTACACTGGCCATTTTGACGTTCCCATCGTACCACGGGAAATCTTCGAGAGTAACGGTTTTATCCTTATAGTCGCCCACAACGTCCTCCATCATCAGGTGTGGGGGGAGGGGTTCTGATGGTGAGAGGTAACCGGACATGTAGAGACGTGGCGTGCGATAGAAGTTGGAGTATGTGATGTAAAGGTTGTAAGTGCGCGTAGGCCTATATGTCCTATGTTAGAAAGCTGACTGCAGGCATCCGCGGCGGACAAAAACAGTGAGAGACATACTGCGTGGTACCAGATGCTGGTTCTCTGATAATAGCTTCTTCGTCATCATCCTCATCCTCCATATCGGGTATTTCGTCCTCTTCCTCCTCCCGTTCTCCCATGTTCCCCGACTCATCCACTGTTCGTACATCCTTTATCCTATTCTCTTGTCGGTCCGCAGAATCTTGGCCTCCGCCGGTTCGTAGCCACCCGTCATCATCATTACCACTTATTCCCCCAGATAGCATGTCCCTAACAAGCTCATCATCGTGGCCCGCATCACCAGCGAAGTTGTCGTTCAGTCGGCGGTGACAAGGTACGCCTCGGGTAACGAGAAACTGTTTGCCCGGGGGCAGGTAGGAAACGCGCTTTGCGGGGGAGGAGGCGTCGGCCCAAGACCACGATGGGAATTTGTAGACAAGGTAGTCGCCTGCGAGAACGAATTCCTCGGGAGTGATCTGGCCGGTATTGCGAAAGGTGGAGGTACGGGACACCGGGGCAAGACGGTCTCTCCAAGTGGAGAGAGTGGAATGGAGAATATTCATAGCAGCAGTTGTAACCTATGTGAAGTGTATCAGATCAATAGTCTGGATTGTGGTATATGTAAAGGAGAAAGAAAAGGAGGGAGAAGCTGTAGTGATCGAAGTAGCTTATCGGTAGTGTGGCGGTCTATGGCGGCACGCGGGGTATATCATGTGGCTGAGGCAGTCCATGTCATGGATCACGCCCAACAGATTCCTGAGGCAAATTTAACGGTTGAGTCATGCAATCATTTTCTGACTAAACTGAAGGCAGACATACTGTATCGTCCTTTACATTTCATTGGATTATGTTCAAATGGTATAACCAATCATTGCCTTTTACATACACAGACTCACCTCGGTCCTGCCTGGTACGTTTATGGTCCATGAGCTGCAGCAAGGCCATATTCCTGCTAACAGACCCAGGACGAAATAAGGATTCTGTCCAAAGCACTAAATTGCTCCAAGGAAGATCCCACAAAGAAAGAGACCATACAGTCTTCTTCAGATAGGGCCGAGCGATACGAGATCAACGCCCGTCCCCACATCCTTTGTCCGTTGACTGAGACTAACGGTTGATGGAAGGGTAACGTCTAGATGCTCTTCAATGATGTGCGTGCCACAGACGTGAGAAAAATAATGCGCATGAAGTCGTTGTATTTTCTCACTCGCCTTCTGCCATCATTCTCCTCCTCTCAATCTCTGCCTCAACTTCGTCCACAACCATAGGTATCGCCCGGCCCTTCCATTTCTCCATTTCCGCCCTCGCAAAGCCCTCCATACTTCTCATGCCTACCACTAGGAATCCGAGTTCTTCCCGGTCCACATCAAAGACTTCCCACCACTCGCCATCAACCAACTTTATCCCGACTTCTCGTGCGGCCAAATATATAGAAGAAACAGCAAGGGCATTGGGTTGGTGTGTCACATATAACAGCTGTGGTGATAGCAGAGCTGCGTTCAGATGCTCGAACACCCTTTGCGCAACAGCAGAAGATGATACACCGAGGGTTTGAAGGTAGGTTAACGCGATAGTATGGGGAAGGGCAACATGGGTATTGAAGCCCAGTGTGCGCAATATTATCGATTCGATCCGAAGCAGCACCATTCGCTGGCTCTGGTAGCCCCCCTCGGACAGGCAGTATGTCTCAGGGGAGGGCTTCTCTGATACCCCCTTCGGGTTGATGAACCACAAAGGAGAAGCGTCCCTCGATACTAGGAAGTTGTAGACATTCAATACCGATCGGGGTGATGTAGGCTGGAAGGATAGCTTAGCCGTCATATATAGAGCTGCAGCGGAGACATCCTACAAAAGCCTCCACGTCAGCAATGCTCCTCGTTAGATTTATGGGGGGAATGACGTGATTCCAACCTTGACAGAGTAAATTCGAAGGCTCCCGCCTTCAGCACCAATCCAGAACCGGGTAAATGTCACAATGGCCTGCGCAATGATATCTTGCGACAATCGGAGTAATACCCCAGCAGCTTGGGTCAGTTGAGTTCCGGCAAATCGAATAGATGCTTCTAGTTCTGGAGCAACGCCATCGATAGCTGACGATGAACTGGATAGTTGTTCGGGTGTTGCGAGAGCGTTGGACAGGTATTTCAGTCCGTCTGTGGATGAACGCGCCATCGGTTATGTTAAAGAATTAAGAAGGACCTTCGAACCTAAATACAACAATGGCTGAAGTCTCAATTATTGTTAGATATGCAATTATCGCCTTATGAGGATACTGAGAATGCCTGGGTTATGGTAACTAGTTCACTTGCTCCGCCGTGACATCTTCGGCAAAATCGAAGCTTACGTCCGTTGCGACAACCTTACCGCCTTTGTCTTGCACCACTTTAGGGAAGGAGAAGTCCACGGAATCCATAACAAGTTAGAAATATTTCTTGCTTTGAATAGTTCTACTTTAAGTTATCAAGCTGTATCAATTGGATTCAGTGCGCCGAGGTTATATTGCAGTTGAAGTTCATTTATATCCCGAACGTTACTGGGGAGCTTCGTTCTCGCTTTCCGGAATTAACAAGGCAAAAAGTAATGGTATGCCTCGACTATCCCACGGAACGAGGGTCACTCGAGTACATCATCCTCCATACGTCTTGTTTCGGTGGAAGGTAGCTGTTATGCCAGAGACAAGGACTCGTCCATCAGTAACCGCAGTCCTGTGACTGAATGGTATGCGCACTAAGTCTAATGGTCTTCGATGATTGGCGCTATCATCGAAGCCATTCTCGATGCTCATGCGTAGTGATCTGGACATGGGACTTTTGCCCAAGAGGAGAGTATCCCTTGTATCCATGGATGTGTGATCGAGCTAGTTAGTAAGGTAGCTCTGTTATGGAATACTCTACATAGTAATTGACTCTTACGTTGCAGCTCACGTGTCCTGCACAATATCAACAGGGCCAAGGCAATTTGGATTCGTTGGTCTATCCCACGAATAAAGAGCCAATGAGAGTTTCGTACGACTAAGGTATGACCCTAAAAGAGCCAGTATCAGGTGAGAAGATACAATTTCTGTATGCTAAGCAAGCTTCGTGGATACATGGAGATGACAGCTGCGACCCATGGGCCGCAAACCTTTCTTCCCCATTTATTCCCGTGGTTGCTGTTTCATTGAAGACAGGGGTAAAGAGTTCATCCTTTGGTCACTAGAATCGACTACGTAGATAGAGAGTACAATCTCACAATGTGATTAGGGTTGATGCCCACTATATCTGCCACAAATATCTCATTCTGCAAAACGCCGTGATTGGTCGAGTCCATCGGAGGGTCTGATCGACAGTCAGATAATCTTACGGACTTGAAACAGTGGCTCGAATGCCTGAGATCAGACATTGCAGACCGTCCGTCACCCGTGACATGCATGCAACTCAATACCTCCCCATACGCATGTATGGCTTCTCTTTCCATGGCGTTGCCATATGAAAGTTATGTAAATGACGTCGTTCAGTCAGGAGTATGGGGCAGATTACGTTCAGCAGTAGCTGACCTATGAGGCAAATTAGTCTAATAATAACCTACAAGCCCAGCGATCAACGTTGAAAACGTGCCCAGGATCCTGTCATATTAGCGCATTGCCGCATCGTAGTGGAGTACTGGGAAGAAGCTGTTCAGCCACCGCATTTTTCCCCCAAACAATATAACCAGCCTCTCGATATTTCCGCGTCTCATAGGAGCCGAATTGTCCCATCGCGTGAAACGATCTCAAACAATCTGAATCTCCTCTTTAGTGCTTCATACTACTGCCAGTCAGTCCCAAAATAAGTGCGAATTACGGGGTTAGATCCATTATTGAATCTCGCGCATATTTCTGGTCTGTCCGTGATAGGGGCACGTGCGGGTACTGATCGCTATCGCTTGGCGTTTGGAACTTAGCAATCTCGAGGTTCTCTGTGACGATTTGCCTTCACTACTCGCTTGAATAATTATTGCTCCTGTGTCTCAAGTCATTGGTCCTTGTGAAATTCCCATATTCATTCCTCTACCTCATTCTCATTGACTTCGATCTGAAACCCCCCACCTTCCAACCAAAACCCAGCAAAGGGACCGGTCAGGTCTCAGGAGGTACATTCCGCTTCTCCTTTTTCTTGTCTCCCAACCAGGTGTTTGCCGTGGGCGACCGTGCATTGGACTGAACCGCCTATCGACGTGGCATTCCAACTCTTGTACAAGTGGTGCGACTGATCGCATACCTACATAATCCCTGAACCAATAATCCCTTTTATACCCCCGGTCCTGTCATACGTACCTCAACCATGCTTCAAAACGCCGACCATACCTCGACTACTGCCACGTCCGTCATCAACGCCCCGAGCTCGCCCTCTACAATTTCCCCGACCGAGCGAAAAGGATCGTCTCAGCCTTGCAATGATCCTCAGGTATCCCATCAGGAAGTTTCCGCGACTTCGTTAGTACAGAACTCGCATGCAGCCCTGTCGGAGAAACCGTCTCTTCCAAACCACTCTTTCCACCGACGTGCCAATACTGAGGTTTTTGTTCGACGACAGTCACATTTGCCGGCCCGACAACTCTTTGCAGACCAGTCCAAGACACTGGAAGATCTCGACAACAGGGATAGACCCTCGATTCCGCTAACGGAGAATCTCACAAGGAGGAAACTAGAGGAAGGTGCGAAGCTATTCACGGGCTGGTTTCAGGGCAAGTCTGAACCAGTTAATCTGGGGGTGATGTCTCAGTCAGAGTCTACAGGAACGTCAACGATGGACGCTCGCGATCTCTATGGATCCCCTAAGGTCCCCACATCGCGAGCACAGAAGCGTATGACCGCTCCTTCACCTCTAAAGCAGGTAACCTCATCGAGTCCTTTTTCTTTCTTTGGGTTGAAGCGCCAGGAACCCAAAATGGAGCTCCCTGAGCCTGCAGATGATGAATTTCTGAATTTGGACATTGCTGCTGCTCTATTCCCAGCCACAGCTACTAGTTTCAGCGAACAGGAGGCTTTCGATACCTTGAGGAACAACGCGGAGAACGTCATCAAAAGGTTGCAGGCGGCCTATAAGCAAAGAACGTTCGCCTTACATGAGGCACTAGCCGACAAGAATGAGAAACAGGAAGAGTTAGAAGAGACCCGGACCCGAGTTGGAAACCTAAAGATACAGCTGGATGGCATGGCAGAGAAGGTAAACCAACAAGAAAAGGCTATGAATGCCATGGCGGAGGAGCTGGAGCAGGAAAGACAATTGCGCCAGAGAGAAGATGAAGCGCGCTTGCGCAGTATCAGACTCATCAGGTCTAGTGATGATGAGAGCATTTCCGACCTGGGCGCTGACCTTCAAACTCCCACGCGGAGCATGAAGCGTGCTAGCAATGCCACATACGCCAGCGATTCGGGCTTTGACTCGGGGGACGAAAGCCTCGCAGAAAGCGTATTTTCGCGCCGGGAAGGCCTCGAATCACCGGCTTCCACGGTAGCTCCTTCTCCAAGCATCTCTCATATCACATTGCCCGCACCGGTATCAACCCCTTTGAAAGAGAAAGAACTCAAACCCCTCCCACAAACACCTACACCACGGCAATCGGCATATGACCGAGTGCTCAAAGGTATTACTAGCTCGTGGACGACTAACTCCAAATGTGGGATCTGCCACGGAGTTCCTTCCTCTGAAGCTTGGAGCGTCCTGGGAATTTTAAAGGAAGAAAATAAGGGCCTGAAGGAGCGACTAGGTGAACTCGAAATAGTCATCGATGACTGCCTGAGTATGGTTGGACCTTGAGCCTAGTTTATCTTCGCAGTGAGCTTCCTTGTTTCTCATGGAACCATACAGCATTCCAGATGTGAAGATATGAACGGTTGTTCTTGAACGGCTCTGGCTACGATGAAGACGCGTGATATTTTCCTTTCCTTTGTTTGTCCAAAACCTCCCTGAATGAATTGTTATTATATACCATGATACCTATCCGCCTGAACCGTTTATATTAGATAGATAATGGAATCTACTAGATATTTTGAAATATTGTCTGGAACTGTGAAATGCCTCTTCATCTTCAATTGTAGTAATAGTAACAATCGCATGCGTAGCAGCTTACACTAAATGGATTGGTAATTCTACAAATCGAAGCTAGATGGGAGTGAAGAGTTATGAGGGGAGTGAACAAGTGAGCTACGTGTCCACAATGTGATCATACATGGCCAACTTGAGTCATAATTGAAGAAGGGAGGATAGACGAGCGAGTCTTGTACCTAGTAGTAGTAGTAGCGTAGGGAGATGAACTAACCCTAGGTAAGTAGTGCTCCGTAATGGCTGGTGAGGAACTAATCAAAAGGACTGCGGAGGAAAGCGACCAAGTGGCCTCAACGGGTTAGCGCGACTGGGAAAGTGGCCAGCGAGGCGACTATTGCTTCGCACCCGAACTCAACCTCAATCGCTCCCTTTCCCTTCCCCATCTTATTACTTCGACTACCTTCTCTTCTTCTCTTCTTTTTATTTTTCTTCTTTTTATCCTTTGAGTTCCCTTCCGCTCTTTCAGCTGGTCCTTCCACCAGCTTCATTCTCTTTTCTCTTCCCCCTTACTCTCTAAGTATTTGGAAGCTGGAAAGTCACAATGAGCGGACGTGAGTGCCCTGCACGCGATCGCAACCAATTCCTGCGACTACGCTTTATCCTCCTTCTCAATGGGTCAACAAATGCTGATATAGGCAATTAGTTCGCTTCCTTGATCTAATTAAACCCTTTACGCCCCTCCTCCCGGAGGTGGCAGCACCGGAGACCAAGGTGCCCTTCAACCAGAAGTTGATGTGGACTGGGGTACGTTGATGTGCTAGAGCGCAACAGAGCTTTTAAGGCTAACAGATTGGCTTCAGTTGACACTCCTGATCTTCTTGGTCATGAGCCAGATGCCTCTTTATGGTATTGTCTCCTCTGACACCTCCGATCCCCTGTACTGGCTGCGTATGATGTTGGCCAGTAACCGTGGTACCCTGATGGAATTGGGTATCACTCCCATCATCTCCTCCGGCATGGTTTTCCAGGTGAGTCCGGACGATTTCCTCCAGACTTATATGCATGCCATGAAGCGCTGCTAATTGACTTTTGTCTTAAATAGCTCCTCGCTGGTACCCACCTCATCGATGTCAACCTTGACCTCAAGACCGACCGTGAACTGTACCAGACCGCCCAGAAGCTTTTCGCAATCATCCTTTCCTTCGGTCAGGCTTGTGTCTATGTCTTGACTGGCCTCTATGGCCAGCCAAGCGATCTTGGTGCCGGTATCTGTGTCCTGCTGATTGTTCAGCTTGTTGTTGCTGGTCTTGTTGTCATCCTTCTGGATGAGTTGCTCCAGAAGGGATACGGTCTTGGAAGCGGTATCTCTCTGTTCATTGCCACCAACATTTGCGAGTCTATCGTCTGGAAGGCTTTCTCTCCCACTACTATCAACACTGGCCGTGGTCCCGAGTTCGAGGGTGCTATCATCGCTCTGTTCCATCTTCTGTTGACCTGGTCCGACAAGCAGCGTGCTTTGCGCGAGGCTTTCTATCGCCAGAACCTCCCTAACGTCATGAACCTGCTGGCTACTCTCCTCGTTTTCGCCGCCGTCATCTACCTCCAGGGTTTCCGTGTGGAGATCCCCGTCAAGTCCTCTCGCCAGCGTGGAATGCGTGGATCTTACCCCGTCCGTCTCTTCTACACCTCTAACATGCCTATTATGCTCCAGTCCGCCCTGTGCTCCAACATCTTCCTCATCAGTCAGATGCTGTACTCGCGCTTCTCGGACAACCTTCTGGTCAAGCTTCTCGGAGTCTGGGAGCCTCGTGAGGGATCCGCCCAGCTTTACGCTTCCTCCGGTATCGCTTACTACATGTCCCCTCCTCTCAACTTCAAGGAGGCTCTTCTTGACCCTATCCACACTGCTGTTTACATTACCTTCATGCTGGTTGCTTGCGCTCTCTTCTCCAAGACCTGGATTGAAGTGTCCGGCTCCGCCCCTCGTGACGTTGCCAAGCAGCTCAAGGACCAGGGTCTTGTCATGGCCGGCCACCGTGAGCAGAGCATGTACAAGGAGCTCAAGAGGGTTATCCCTACTGCCGCTGCCTTCGGTGGTGCCTGCATTGGTGCTCTTTCCGTTGCCTCCGACCTCCTCGGCGCTCTTGGCAGCGGTACTGGTATCCTCCTTGCCGTGACGTGAGTCTTGTCCCCTGCCGTACTATCTTCTACTTTCTGCTAACAATGACCCAGCATCATCTACGGATACTTCGAAATCGCCGCTCGTGAAGGCGATATTGGTTCGGGCCTCAAGGGCCTTGTTCCTGGCAACTAAACAGGAGCTTTCAGACTTTTTTTGATGAACAGCATGAGAAAGAAGGTTTGTAGCTTTGATATGCTTTTGAATTTCTCGTTCATTCCCAGGTGATGCGTTACCGCTGTGGCCATCTGGATTTGGGGTGTATGTCTAGTTTTGCTTGGAAGGTAATGAATCTTTCCATCAGAAAAGCGAGGCTGCAGCTGTACATAGCACGAACCTGGTTTGTAACCATATATTCTATAAAAGATCTTAAAATGATATCTAATTTGCTATGACAAAAGATAAAACAGACATTGTAGGTGCGCGCGTACTATATAGTATTAGAACCCGCATCGCAAATAAATGTCAATACACTAGAATGGGTATAAAATACACCACGGCACTGTATCCTCCAGCTTATGTTCTGTAGTCACCATTAATAGTGACATACTCATGGCTGAAATCACAGAACCAGTAAACGGCCTCTTCACCACCAAGACCCTGCTCACCCTTCTCACCACCGCCAAGGTCAACAACAATCTCCAGATCTTCCTCCTGGAGAATAACACTAGCACGCTCCTCATCGACCTGTTCGGGCTCACCGTTCACCAGCAAGTTCAACACAGGGCTACCATCAACAGGCTTGAAGCTGACGCTCGTGCGCTCAGGAACGACAGTTCCCGGCGCCACACCTTGGGTATAACCAATAGCGCAAAGAATACGACCCCAGTTAGCATCCTTACCATACAAGGCCGTCTTGACGAGCGGAGAGCGGGCAATGGTCGACGCAATCATCCGACCGGATTCATAGTCGGGGGAGTTCTGGATACGGACAGTAACAAACTTAGTGGCTCCTTCGCCGTCGCGCACGACGAGCTGAGACAGCGACTGCGCGAACGAAGTGAGAACCTCTTGCATTGCGGCGTAGTCGTCGGACGAGGCGGAGCTGATGGGTGATCCGCCTGCGGCACCGTTGGCGAGGATGGCGATCGTGTCATTTGTGCTGGTGTCGCCGTCGACGGAGATGGAGTTGAACGAGCGGTTGACGGAGTGCTTGAGAAGGGACTGGAGGGCGGAGGGTTCGACTGGCGCATCGGTGCACAGCACGCCCAGGAGAGTGGCCATATTCGGGTGGATCATACCGGCTCCCTTGGTCATGCCGGCGAGGCTGTAGGTGCGGCCTGGGGAGGAGGGGAGCGTGAATGTGCGGGAGAGAAGCTTGGGGAAGGTATCCGTTGTACAGATTGCGCGGGCCGTGGTCAGCCAGGCGTCGTGCGTAGAGGAGAGGTTGGCGTGGGCCACTGGGACCTTCTTGAGGATCTTCGAGATTGGGAGGCTACAGTATGTTTTGTTAGTATTGGTTTTGGTTAAAAGTGGTGGAGGTACATGAGGGTATTGCATACCGTTGACCGATGACACCGGTGCTCATGACGAGAGTGCTGGGCTCGTTGAGTCCATCGCATTCGTCTACCTTCTTACCCATGCTCACTGCATCTTCCAGACCTCCTTTACCGGTGACGGCGTTGGCGCAGCCTGAGTTGATCACGACGGACCGGATGCCTTGACCCTGACGGGTTTTGATGATATCCTTGCTCACTTGCACCGGCGCAGCCTGGAACTTGTTGGTAGTGAACACAGCTGCGGCCGAGCATGGGGTTTCGGACGAGATCAAAGCGAGATCGGGGAACCTGGTGTTCGACGCCTTGACTCCAACGTGTGTACCAGAGACGACGAAGCCTTTAGGGTACGATCCGGACGAGGGAATGAACTTCCGCTTGGAGGCAGGAATAGCCATGTCCACGGGTGCGGAATAATTGCGCACCTGGCCCTTCACCATTCTGGCGAAAGCAGCCATTGTGGCTGCGGGTTGAGCGGGAGAGGCCATTGAGCCTGTACAGGGTGAGCAGCAGTCAGTATATAGGCATTTCTGGGAGATGTGTGTGGCAAGCACAGTACGTACTGTATCGTGTTGCGATAGAGGCCCAAGGAACCGGGGATGGTTTGCGGGGAGATTATATAGTTGATAGGGCGGAAAATGACTCAAAAAACAAATCGATGATTAAATGACTCAATTGCCGTCCGCTTTCAGGCTAGTGGACGAATACACCACCGCCAAAGCCCAACAGCGAGTCTTCGGATCAGAATTGAGATAGAAATTCCCAATTCAGAGGTGAAGGTTAGAAGTACTCGAAATCCACATCGGCCGATGGAGATCCCATCAGCTTCCAGCTCCGATACCGCGGAGTCGGATAAATAGTCGGTCCTGAGCTTTAATCTCAATCAATAAACCGCGTTCCAGGCGCGCCGAGGAAAAGGACAAGAGATTAGCATTCCTAATAGCCCTCCTTGGTTCGGTCCTTGCATCTCGCTCTGATTTTATTCTGGTTTACCAGTCGCGTCCGGATGGTATTCACTTTCCTGCTACCAATTGTGTTTATGCTTGGGACATACTGACATGAAGCGCAAGCAGACAGATTCGGGCGACGAGCGTCCTGTCTCGACGCCCAAGAGACAGAGGACTGCAGCGTTTAATGGCCCGGCGAATGGATATGAGGATGGGGAGCCACCCGTTGAAGCATCGCCATCGAAACGGATAAAGTCGACACCTCAGAAGCCCAGCACGGCGACACCCGCAGCATTGAAAGAATCCGGGCTGAAAACGCCTACACAAAAGTCCAAAGCAAAGGCTTTATTTTCAACCCCTACAAAATCTGCTGCTGTCTCCACCCCTTCGAGAGCACGGAACGCGGACCGATCTGCGAAGAAGAAAAGCGCACGTCTGCTTCTCGAACAAAACGACGACGAGGAGGAAGACTGGGATGGAGCTGATCGCCTGGCGGAGGAAATTTTGCAAGATGAGAATGACACGACTGCTGCAGAGAATGGGAATGGTGTAATCGAGACGGTCGAGGGAGAGGATGAAGCAAACAAGACTGCCCAAACACCGAAGCGCCGAGCAGGAAGGCCAAAGGGAGCGAAGAACAAGCGTTCTCCCACCCCCGAGGGTGAACTCCCGGCCCATGAACGATACTTTTTCCAGAATCGAGCCGGCCCCCCACGGACATCAAACAATACACTGAATAAGGTCTCCCTGCTAACACACGAAGAGTACTTCGAGAAGATGGCACAGTACACAGACCCGTGTCAGAAAGAGAAGGCATTTTTACTCGATGTACACCATCGGTCGTTCCCACAATGGAACTTCGAGTTTGATCAAGGGTATAACATTTGCTTGTACGGATACGGCTCGAAACGTCCCTTACTGCAAAATTTCGCGGAGTGGCTGTATCAGAAGAATAGTTCTACTCCTCCATCCATCGTGGTGGTCAATGGACATACACCGAACATTTCTATTCGGTCAATATTCGCTACAATCGTCACCGCCGTGCTTGGTGCTGACATTCCCTCCAAAATGGGTTCTCAGCCGATCGAGGTGCTGGAATTGTTACAGTCTGTGCTGAAGTCACGGTCATCGCAAAGGCCGATCACTGTCCTAATCAACTCTATTGATGCACCACCTCTTCGCAGAGCTGCGAACCAAGCCCTTCTTGCACGACTCGCTGCTACGCCCAAAATCCACCTCCTTGTAACGGCCGATACACCAAATTATTTGTTGATGTGGGATATCAGTCTCCGTGACCAATTCAATTTCGTTTTCCATGATTGCACAACATTTGCACCATTCGACACCGAGTTCGACGTCGTAGAAGAGGTGCATAACCTGCTTGGTCGCAAAGGACGTCGTGTGGGAGGTAAAGAGGGTGTCGAGTTCGTGTTGAAGAGTCTTCCGGAGAACGCCCGGAATCTGTATCGACTGCTTCTGACTGAGATCATATCAATGTTCGACGAGGGGCATAACTCGGATGATGAAATGGATGGTGGAGCAGGACGGGACGGGGATGGAAAGGATGAAGTCGGCATTGAATTCCGTGCGCTGTACCAGAAAGCCACTGAAGAGTTCATCGCTTCCTCCGAGATGATGTTTCGGACGCTGCTGAAGGAATTCCACGACCATCAGATGATCACATCGAGGTTGGACCCAAGCGGAATGGAAATTCTGGGCGTGCCTTTACCGCGCGACGAAATGGAGGGAGTTCTAGAAGACTTGGTGTTGAGTTAATGGTCGGTATTTCAGACGGCGCCATACATGTTCATGATACCCCTGTATAACAATGTATATATTTCTGTCAAAGTAACTAACTTGAATCTATGAAGGTAATTCTCGGTTTTCGGTATCCGGTAGCTTTACGTGTATATATATAGGTTACAGTCCTTTCCAATAAGCACCATAAATCACCTCATGTATCATTTCCCCTACCAAATCCCATGGTAAATCAAAACTGCGCGAACGCCGCCAACGCCATCGTAGCCCCAAAACTAATCTTAAACGGCTTATGCTGCGACACAGCCTTCTGCAAATCAACCCCCTTAACAAGCCTCTGCAACCGATTCACAGGAATTACATTATACCCCTTCGCAGCAGCCCACTACACACACATCCCCCAAAGATATCAGCCAAAAGCCTAACCGGACAAGAAACCAAAAAATAAAATAAAATAAAATAAAATAAAATAACCAAGAACTTACCTCAACAAAAACAACTCCCATACCCAAAAGCACAACCAAAACCCTCGAGAACGCCCTCAATCCCACCCCCACAACCAGCCCGAGAACACTCCCCAGACTTACCTGTCGCATAATCGACGCCGTCAACCACCCGCTTTGAGAATTGGGTTTCGAGGCTCCCTGTTTGAGGAGCACGGGGTCGTTGCGGTCAACGGTCCAGCCTGAGTCTGGGGAGGCTTGCGATTCAGGTCGGTAGTAGGGGGCACTGTATTGACATTGCATTGGCGCGGAACGGAAGGGGGAGAGCGGACTGAGGGAGAGGCCGAGGCCAACGCCTAGGACGGCTGAGGTGCGGGTGAGGAGGAATGACATGTTTGGTGTAATTGATGGGTTGTCGTGAGGATATGAACAATTGGTTGGTTTTTTCTTGGGGATGGCTGTTATGTAGTACGTAGAGAGCGTTTTAAAGGTCGAAGGAAGCTTCAAGGGATTGGAGGTGGGAATGTAACAGCTATTGAAGGAGATGTTGGAGATGGTGGACGATCCTTATGCGGAGGTGGGGGTGACGTCACCCGAAGGCCCAATCTGTCAATCTTAATCAAATATACAGTGAAATGTCTGTATAAGAAGGGCAATTAGGGTTAAAGATTCATGTCGGTCTTACGGTAATAATTTAAGTTGTTTTGGAAGGTTATACAATTTGTTCGTGAATCAGTTGGACACTTATAAGAGACCTTTTCAGCCAGGGCTACACATATTACTAGGGTGTGCAGTTGTGAGAGTGTACGGGATAATTATGCACCCCCACTCCCGAGATCGACAGGGGAGATAATATATAATTTCAATGAATTAATGATCGTGGAACATAATATGCTTTAGAACCGAGGAACAGAGTTCAACTGAGTTTGTGGCTGCTCTTAACGATAGCGAGAGACAACACGCTATAGTGGCATCCCCCCCATCCCCCCCCCACATATAACTATAACAATTTAGGCCATTGGAAGGTACAGCTACCGTGCTTATAGACAAGTATTCCGAGTGGTTCCATCCTTCATTACGCATGGAGGCTTAGATCTCTGCGTTATCGATACTAGAGATGCCGTAACAGGGATGATACTAAATATACTATGCGTTGACTAGAAAGCGATCAAGATGATAAGACACACTTAGTTTTGGCCACTCGATCTATGATAGCCACCCGGAACCCTTCGCAACTATTTCCTAGGAGTGGTAGAACGACCAATGTACCTAGAGTAACGCCTCGACTGGCAAAAGTTCGAATTTAACAACTGGAAGGAACAAGAAAAATCAAAGACGAACCACTACAAGAAGCAAGGTATCTGACAGGCGGTGTTTAACCTAATGCGTGTCACAGTATTAAGCTTATATAGAGAGTGGGGACAGGTACGTAGTCCGCATATCTGGTCCGATATCCAAGCATCGTGTGTACGTGCTGTGCTAGCCGTGAGATTGGCGACGAAGATCCGTTGGTTACCCGTCAGCTTCACGGTAAGTGCAGGCATTTGGAGTGTTGAAACAATATGTGATGGCCTGAATTAGCTCCTATTCAAGGGACGAGAGGTATACCCTTCTCCTCCAGCTGTATACGGACTACAGAGATCGATGCTTGGAGGACATGATCCAAATTGATCCAAATGACAGCAGTTGCGCCGTGCCGCCACCTCGGAAGTTTCCGTTTGTTAGTCAGTAAACGATTAAGTAAACGTTCGTACTGGCAGCACCCATGAAAAGGTAATTTTACTCTAACTGGTAGGTAAGGTACACGGGCCGGGTGCAGTAGTAGCATGTGTCTGTCCTTATTTGGTAGTACTAACGAGTGGCCTGGGCACAGTAGATAGATAGACATACAAGATTTTGGACACACGGGGTACATACCTAGACATTGTATGTACACTTTAGTTACTTGCTCGTAATAAATTCAACCACTAACTCTCTTGAGTGAATTTATTGCTATCTGTAACTATGAGGCTGGCTAATGCAAAAAAAAAAAAAAAAAAAAAAAAACCTGGGAACGTTCATTAGGTTACCAAGATGTGTAGTTCTAGATTCGGAAGGGTTCCATTTCACAAAAATTTTGCTCAGGTTCGTAAAACGGCTGGGCGGTGGGTGCTCCCACCAATGAAAACGGCCTCAAGTATGGTAAGAAAACGAATTCCCATCTTTGGTACCACCGGACGAGGAATAATACTCCGGAATTGTACAATACTTGCAGGGACAGTCGGACAGCCAGGTATGCCCGCGGGAAACCGGTGAGCGGCGGGGTTTGCGCCAGTAATGCAAAGTTTCCGGCCGAAAGTTTGCTAAACTTTACCACAGAGGGATGGAGGGGCAGTGGCCTTCTGATTGGACCGTCTCTCCGCGGACAGGCAGTCTGAGGGAAAAGTCGGCGGGGTGAACAAGGGCAATGGGACTAGGGTGGGTTCCATGGACGCGCCCTATGTTGACAGTGGTTGTCTTCTCGGCGGCGATTGCCTTCGCTGTGTTTGAGTCACCATTCTTTCACTTAAATATCCTGGCTCGGCTTCCTTCTTCTTTCCTCCCTTGTTCTTAAGACTATCCTTCCCGCCTCTCTCTCTCTCTCTCTCTTTCTCTGTGTGTCCTAACTCGTTCAATTCGGACAACCCTCTCTCACAATGGCTTCTCAGCAGAACGGAACCAACGGGGCTTCTGCCTCTAACGACTTCACCGTCAAGGCCGGTCTGGCCCAGATGTTGAAGGGTGGTGTGATCATGGACGTTGTCAATGCGGAGCAGGTATACACTTTGGCAATGGCTCTCTGCTCGATGGATGAATCTAACAAGACATTCGTCTAGGCTCGCATTGCCGAAGAGGCCGGTGCTGCCGCCGTCATGGCCCTCGAGCGTGTCCCCGCCGATATCAGAGCCCAGGGTGGCGTGGCCCGCATGTCTGACCCCAGCATGATCAAGGAGATCATGGAGGCCGTTACCATCCCTGTTATGGCCAAGGCCCGTATTGGACACTTCGTTGAATGCCAGGTAGGAGCTTCCTTGTCACGCTGCGTACGCCACCGGCAACTGACAATGCTTACGTTAGATCCTCGAAGCCATTGGCATTGACTACATTGATGAATCCGAAGTCCTCACCCCTGCCGACGACATCTACCACGTTACCAAGCACAACTTCAAGGCTCCATTCGTCTGTGGTTGCCGCAACCTCGGCGAGGCTCTCCGCCGTATCTCCGAGGGTGCTGCTATGATCCGCACTAAGGGTGAGGCCGGTACCGGCGACGTCGTGGAAGCCGTTAAGCACATGCGCACTGTTAACGCTCAGATTGCTCGTGCCCGTGCCATCCTCCAGTCCTCTCCTGACTACGAGCCCGAGCTCCGCGCCTTCGCTCGTGAGCTCGAGGTTCCGTACGAGCTCCTGCGTGAGACTGCCGAGAAGGGCCGTCTCCCTGTCGTCAACTTTGCTGCTGGTGGTGTTGCCACCCCCGCTGATGCCGCACTCATGATGCAGCTGGGCTGCGATGGTGTGTTCGTCGGTTCCGGTATCTTCAAGTCTGGCGATGCGAAGAAGCGCGCCAAGGCTATTGTCCAGGCTGTGACTCACTACAAGGACCCCAAGGTTCTCGCTGAGGTCAGCGAGGGTCTGGGTGAGGCCATGGTTGGAATCAATGTGTCTCAGATGGCTGAGAGCGACAAGTTGGCTAAGAGGGGCTGGTAGATATACCCCATTTGCTGTTTCGTTCATTTGCGGGCGTTAGAAAAAGTCGATATAATGTCTTCTTAAGACTGTGTTCTTCCCCTGTTGTTTTCACCCGTCCGGACATAAAGGAGGGAAGATGTACTGTACATTGTCGATTACGAGCTATGAGCATATGAAAGCATTGTCACATGGTCTCTTTAGGAAGTTTGTTGATAGGACGACGGCGATAACCAAAACACTATTAATAATGGTTTTCAAGTGTACATGATACTACAACGTATTAGATATCATGGCAACAGGTCTTGCGTAGCATAAAAGCAACTGCCTGTAATGGTCAACTGAATAGTATGGTAAGATGGACTAGATTAGGAGGCTCACTTTTAGTTCCGACGAGGCGCTTCAGTCCATCAGGAACCTGCCAATCAAAGCTGCCGGGATCCTTTCTAGAAGCCTTACTACTGTAGGTAGTACGTAGTACCCGACCCCTACACCATTGTTCCGGTGTCGGTTAGATACGAAACTAGCGACAGTAACCAGATCTCGATCTACCCGACAGATCACTTTCCTAACAAAGGAAAAGTCATTACCACATAAGGCAGGACCTTCGATAACATTTCTAATTCAGGTCACACCCCCTAGACGAAAGTCTAGAAAAGGCCAAGAAGACTATTCCTCAGTTCCATCAAACAATGGCGCACACGTTGAAAGGGGCAACCAAAGTAACATTAAATACTTCGGTCCTCATCCATGGAGATGATCTTCCCCAACGCTCCCCAAACCGGAGCGTAGGTAACCAGGACGTATCGGTAATATTCCCCACGGTCTCCAAACATCATCAACAGAGCCATGACATAGCGTAATACCATTTCACGGCTCGAAAAGCCTCGGTAGAGATTCTCCTCCATCATTTTATCTCAGCTTCAACACTCAATCAGAATGACGTCCAAACAACACCAACTCCTCCCTCGTTAATAGCCTCGGGCTTAACTTACTACCTATCTACCTACACAGACTACCTCGCCAACCATCAACACCGACCCCAATACCATAAACCAAACACACAAACGCGCCAACTCCAAAAAAAAAAAAAAAAAAACAATGACCGAACACTCCCTCACCCTCCCCCAATTCAAGCCCGACAACGTCTCGGAAACAACCACAACCCAAATCCTCCTCACCCCACCCCCCGAAGAACAAGACCACGATCAAGACCAAGGCCAAGAACAAGAACCCCCACTCTCCCAAACCCAAGACCAAGATCAAGATCACAACGCATACGATACCCCCCAACCAAACACCCTCATTATCGAAAATATGAAAACATACCTAACCACCTCCCTCTTCCGCGCCAGTCTCCGGGCAAGCTCCTCCGTCTCCACCGCTTTGGACTTCCTGCACGCGCATCCGGTTATTGCGACTTTGCTGGTGGCGCAGTTTGTTTGCTCGTGCGTGCCGATCGGGTTGTTTATCGCTGGGGCGGTGATTGTGGCGTCACTGGCGGTGGCGCTGTATTCCTGTGTCGCGGTTTTGGTGCTTGCGCCGGTGGTGATTGGGACGAGTATTTTGGGATTCTGTGTTTGGGGGTGGGGGTGGGTTGTGTTTGTGGTTGGAAGGTGGGTTTTGGGAGTTGTTGTTGATGGAGAGAGAGGGGGGAGTTTGAATGGGGATCTTGATGGGGAGGAGGGGGAGAGGGATTGAGGTGTTTTTCATTTCATTTTTTTTTTTTTTTATTATCTATCTATTTATTTTATTAATCTATTCTTGGCTTGGTTGGGATTTGGCGATTGGTTAGGGATTGGGATGGGGCTGGTGGTCAGTTATTTTCTATATAAATTCTAGTTATGGGACCAAGGATTTATTTTAATGCTATGGAGTCGTTACTTTCTTTCCCCCGGGTATGTAAATTGAGGCTGCATTGAATTTCTAAATTAATAACTATGGCTTTATCTGGAGTCTGTTCTGTTATGCATCTATGTCTCACATTCTATGGAATTTGATCCTACGGTTACTGGCTTTCTGCCCATCTCACCCATCTGCGAATACATTCGTCCACTCCCCTGATGGCGTCTTTTTGGGCCTTGATTTCGAACCATTCCTGGTGCTCTCTCCCACATTCCGAGCACTTGCCCATGTCCCGGACTCGATAATCGTCCAGTTCGAGGTGAATCAGTCGTTCCACGCGGTGGACATACGGGACTTTCCTTCCCACCTCGAGGGCGGGCCCGTTGCTTGGGCCGGGCGATGAAGGTGTGTATGGGTAGTACCGAATCAGGGTGATGTGGTGACCGCATTGCTTGGTCCATTCGTTCATTCGACGCTGGACGTTGTTCGCCCGGCCTATCTTGAGGCGAATCGCACCAGGACTAAATTCAGTGGGCTTCGAGGTCAAAGCATTGAAATCTCTGGCCTGTTGGATGGCATTATTTCCGCGATCATCATGCTTGGAAAATAAGGATGAGCCGACGTCTGCAGGCGGCGGCATCGATCTAGAAGAGTGGTCGGCAGGCGTGATCCAGAAGATGTAAATATAGCCGGGCTCATCTTTTTCCGAGAGTGGTTTGGCAAGCTCTTCCGTAAGGGCGGAGCTGGCTTGAGGTGAGAGTGCTGAAGGGACCCATCCCCCGCTTTGCGGTCTTTGAGAAGCACTGTATGGCACTTGTTGCATCGATTGGGGTCTAATCTGTGAAGACGGACGCACTGGCCGTGGAGGAAGTGGTTCATCCTCCTCGATAATTTCGAAGCAACAGCAGATTGTTCGCTTGGCTTTCTTCTTTGTCTTGAATGGCCGATACTGGTTGGAGTTGTACTGGTTGGAGTTGTCCTGTGAGTCCTTGATATTGAGTCGCTCCATCAATGTATCAATACTTGATCTAGGCTGTGAGGTATTCGGCTTGTTGACTGCCCCGTTCGATACTTGCACTGCTTGATCCTTGTGTTGCCAGCAATACATCTCATCTGTATCTGCCAATGCACGGCGACATGGCCGGCCACCTCCTGTGACACCTTTACATGTTGTGGCGGGATCAAGCGAATCAGTGCGGGTTACATTAGCAAGAGCCTCGGGGGAATTCGCGAAAAGAGGCATAATATCTGTTCCAAAACCGAGACCCGTAGAAAAGTAATTGAGATGTGAAAAAGGAGAAAAGTAGTTAAGACACAAAGAGTTTTTGCGGTGGAGAGTTTAGGGGGTTTCAAGATTGCGGGGGGGCCAACTAAACAGAACTATATAAAGGGCAGCGCGTTCAGCTCAGCCATATGGTGGGCCTGATCGGAAGCCAAAGACCCATCTTTAGACTCTAGAGGGAAGCGAGGCGAGCGGAACATCAAATCTAGGAGCACCGAGCTTCTAGATTGGTTAAAGTTGATGCTGATCTGTACACCGCCCCAGTGGCTAGAGATCGTGCATGATGACCCACTTTACAAAGAAGAACAAGTGGTTCTTTGTCAGGTGGCGTGTTATTGTAGGCGCTGGAACAATGCGTTGCCTGTCTTAATAGGCACCATTATGACAAGACAGGCACGAACGTGATGAATTGTGCCTGAGCCACTGCCCTATGGGGCACTCACACATCTGTTGCTGACATAGCCCTGTTGTGCGTCTACATCAGTTTTTCGAGCCTCACTTTGGACTTGATAATTATTTTTACTTGGACAAATCCAAACCCAATTCTTCGTATTTGTTGCATTGTCCACGTTGCGACAACTGTCACCCCTGGTATCTACCCAATATAATCGAAACCAGATCCACGGCATTTCACCCAGAAAGAACGCGTTAATTGGCTCGTCTGGGCTTTTGCGCCCCTGGCAGCTAACAGCGACGCAAGAAAACGCTGTCTCTCCTCGGGTGACACGGCAGGGCTCTGGTTCTGATTCGTTTGACCATCACCTGAACCCGCTAGTGTAGCAGCGAGATGCGGGCGAGCTAGTCCTTGCTGTTTGAAGATGAGCCTTCTAAGCACCTCACAGAGATGTTCAAGGTCGGAACGGGCACATCGTCCGGCGACCTGAGATGCCAGTATGCGGCAAAGAGCGGGAATACTGTCTCTGAGCGCTCTTTGTACAGCTTCTTCCTCGTAAGGAAGATTCAGCACGCCTACCCAGAATTGGGAGGCAGAGCGAAGGGGAAGTGGCTCCGGGCCTTGCAAGGAAAGGAGTGTAAAGTTTAGAATCGCTTGGAGTATTGGGGGACGCTGAGAGGCACCATCAACATGAGCAGTTCCGGGCTGGTTGGACTCCTGGTGTATGGCGGTAAGAGTAAAAAGAAAGGGGTAATACTTGGGGAGCAGACGAGTGAGAAAGTCGATGCCGCTGTTCGCAACCTCAGGGTCGTAGAACTCTGGCTTCTCATGCATCCAGCAAAATGTCTCGTATACATGGACAATCAGAGCAACCGTCTCTTCACGGATACGTTGTGGATGTGCACTGTGAGAGGCTAAGAACGCCGAGGCCGTACCCATAACCATATCGGTGCCAGCGCTTCCTAAAGGTATACTCTTCACAAAATTGACTGTCACCATCGGTGGAAAGACATAGGGGCCACTGTTCTCGGTAAAACCAGCCTTCAGTATGTCGCATGCTGCTTCGATGATCGTCACGTCTAAGGGAAAGTCGGTCATGAGAAGCTGCATGCATTGCATTATTAGGTTCTGCGATACAGCCCCATTACTCGTATTCCAAAAAGTCGGTGGATATGGGTCCCCATTTCCACCGTCAACAGTGTCTAAAACAATTTCACCATCTGTTCTGAGCCCTTTTCCAATACTCGCAACGCAACGGAGAACTAACTGACCGCGGCAGCGAGCAGGCTCCACCAACCCGCGAGAGGCTTCATCTCGTGCCAGCTCTGCCTGCTCCTGGAAGAATTTCAGTATTCGCTCAAGGAACTGTGCTTTCTCGTTATCAGTAGGTAAAGTCTGTACGATAGCAGCGATTCCCTCTAGAACTTTTTCCATGGTGGAAGCAGTGGCTGTAGGCTTGAAGCGAAATCGCTCAAACTGGCCCATGAACGCTGGAAGCTCGAATGTTAGAGCATTGCGGCATGACTTGCAAAGATGCGATATAGATTTGGATGCTACAGAAGCACATGATGCAACGTCCAATGATGCGAAAAGGAACGTCAGTACGCGAGGAAGTAAGGCATGTGTGCGTTCAAAGTATGACTGATATTTCCCAAGCATGTCCACTAGTGTCTGCCGAGGTTTGTCGGGAATCATTGCAACATCCCCTGTACATAACTGAGCGAATTCATCACAGAAGAATATTGCGTTTAAACATTCGTCTGCATGCTGATTCTCGTCGACAGCCTCCGAAAGTTGAGCCATGCAGAATATTGCGGCCTCGAATGTTCTCCAGTCCTGCTGCACTAGAGATGCTTTTGCTCGTTCCTGGAACACTTGAACTAACTCCACACCTAACATAGGATAAATTGCTAGGAGGAAGTCGCAGACGTCGCGGCGAAAAGCGCCAAACTCACTGCGATCATCATCGCCCCACTCTTGTAGCTCTTCTGGACTCGGATACTTAAGTTTCTCAAAGCAGTCCATAGCTGCACGAGCAAGATTGCGTTTAGCGGGATCAAGCCCTTCTTCTTCTTCTGTATCCAAGTATATCTCTTGGAGATCATCTGCGACTTCAGTCCACCACTCAAGGACCAACGGCGATGCTGAATCGTCCACTGCTGCATATCCAGGGGCTTTGAAGAGGGTGTGGAGAAGGGCTAGAACTTTCTCATGATCAGGATTCAAGGGTTGAATAAAAAGCTCCCTTTGCTTGAGTGTTGCGTACGCTAATAGAAGTTCCAAGAATGTCATATTCTCATCTTCAAAATCGGCATCCATGATGGAAGCGATATGGGCCGTGCCAAGATCACTGATGATATATTCCAATATAGAGGAGACATGTTCTTGGCTAAATATACTGTCTCGCCAATCTATTAATTCAACCAGGACCTGCATTGCAGTCTTAGATAAACTGGGAACTTTCAAACTTTGGATCACGTAGCCAGTGGCAGGAGCAAGCTGAGTGGCGCGTATCGTGTCGCGGAGCTGGAGTGCATTACGGACTAAGGCCCACGACTGAAGCCCTGACGTTAGAAGAGTTTCTTTGGATAGGTGTGGACATGCTTACTTGGTAGGAGTTGATGGCCTCGACGCCTGGAGCGCCATCGGATATAGAGTGACCGGAAGATACTTGCTGCAGCATATGACGGAGGACGAACTCGACTAGAAGAAAAGCATGCTTGATATTTTCAGATGCCCGGTTACTGTCCCCATTTCGCCGTGACTCCGGACTCCATCTATTTATTTCCTCCGCCAGTATGTTAGAAAAGTATAATAAGCTGACCACCTGCCTTTCGGACATGGCAGGAAGAACAGCATCTTGCAGGTCAAAAGACTGACACTGCTCCTCTGAGAGATGTTTTCCATTCGCCAAAGAAGCCGCCAAGTTCCAAAGAGCATGATTCCAGGGAGCATTTGGCTTTAGGAAGATGGTTGCTAGACTGGAAGCCAACTTGCGTACCACCAGAGGGCGCTCTCCCCCATTTACTAAGAGAACATAGTGATCAATCAGTCGTCCGAGGAGCTCTCGGGCCTCGTCGTCATTTAATTGTTGCCTGCAGCAGACATGAGTAAGTCAGGATATTCTATCGTGACAAGGGTATACCGGTTCACGTACCAATCCTGGTTAATCTTGACTGTAAATGTTAGGGCTCCGAAGAATCTCAGGTCAGTACTTTCATCACTGAGGAGATTATTAGCAATGAGCCATGCTTGGGGGCCTTTCTGGAGAATCTGCAGGTGCTCCTGGATAGCTTTGATCTTGGCGGGGTTGCCGGTATTTGCTGGATCATAAAGCTGAGACACCAGCTAGGCATCGTTAGAAATTTAGCAGGACATGGGAACTATGGGGCAAGCATACTGTCCGCGCCTCATTAATGAGGACTTGTACATCAGAGCTTTGGCTCGGGACGTCCATAGACATGGCCGAAGCACTTGAAGCCTTGCTGTAGTGGATAAGAAACGGGTATAGATTGACCAAATAGTGTAGCTGTAAAGGGGCGTCACGTGCTGATAACACTACCGCGTAAATGTAAGGCGGTGAAGAAGTGGGATGGAGGGGAAGTTAAGGCAGTGTTTGACTAAGAATATGAGAGGGGAAGAGGACATCTGAAGGAAGACATTAGTCGGTATCTATGTACCATGTGACAGGGGTTATTGGAGGATGAGCCATGGGATAAGCCTGTCATTTCCGGTCTATTCAACAACGGAACTCCTTGATTGCATGAGGTAATTTAGCGAGGAATGGTCAGCCAAAGAGGTAGTTGAAGACTTACTATCTTTTCAGCTGCAAGTGAGAAAAGTAGCGTCTGTATTCTGGTGTTCTTCCCGAGGATGACGGAAATGGGTGACGGAACTGTATTGTAAGTAATGGAGCTGTGTATTAAAAACGAGCGGTAAATGACGGTAATTGTCGGGAATTTTTGGTGCAGGTAATGTAATGGTGGTCCTACACCGGTGGTGCTACACTGCAGCTACAGCTCCTAAACCCAAGCTAATCATCTTGTTGGTCCATCCATATCTCCACGGCTGCCACTCGAACATTGCACACACGACCTTCTCTTAACCACTACAATTGTACCTAACCCTCCATCCCCTCAACCCAGCCTTGTTCTTTCACAACCCTCGCAGCCTCGTGCAACATTTCGAGGGCTTGTATTTGTCGTCTGTGATTTCGGATACATTTGACTCGGGCACCTGCATCCTTCTCTTCAGACCTCGCTCGTCGATGCTTTTTTCTCGCCCTCCAATTCGCTCTCCGTGGATATCAGCGTTTCGATCGGCTCGCCAGTTACCCCTCTCTCACTCAAGGTTCTTTTCTATCTCTGTACCTCGCTATTCAGTCGATATGGAGACCGTGAACACCTCCGAACGTCTCTCGAGACTCAGAGAGTTGATGCAGGAACACAAGGTGGATGTATATAGTATGACATCATTCCACGACTTTTAATTGACATACTTCAATACTCACTCTTTTAAAAGTTGTCCCATCCGAAGATAGTCATCAGTCGGAGTATATTGCTCCATGTGATGGCCGCCGAGGTTAGATTTGCGTCCATGAACCCTACCTTTCATCTTTTCCGACACGAATTTCCCAATCCACTACCATCGGTCGCCTGTATAGCTCACACCTGCCACAGAATTTATCTCTGGCTTCTCCGGGTCCGCTGGAACAGCCATTGTTTCTCTGAGCAAAGCCGCTCTGTCCACTGATGGGCGGTATTTCAACCAGGCTTCCAAACAGCTTGACAACAACTGGCAGCTCCTAAAGCGTGGTGTCGAAGGCTTTCCGACCTGGCAGGAATGGTATGATATATCGTGCATACATGACTTGTTCAGGATCGTTGGACTTAGTATGTGATTAGGACTACCGAACAAGCCGAAGGCGGTAAGGTCGTTGGTGTCGACCCAGCTTTGATCACAGCGTGTGAGTGGTTGGCCTTGTTCTTGCTAGCTCTTGATTCGAGAAGCTAAGTTTTCACAGCTGGTGCCCGTAGCCTCTCGGAAACCCTCAAGAAAAATGGCTCGACACTGGTGGGTGTTCAGCAGAATTTGGTTGATCTGGTTTGGGGCAAGGACCGGCCTGCTCCCCCGAGGGAGAAGGTAAGAGTTCATCC